TTCCGCGTGCTTTGCGGCTGCTGCTGGCGGCTTCGCATAATTAGCACGATTTTCATGTATGTAACGCCTACACACCTGCAGACAGCGGCGAGGTTTTGTGTGTTTTGTGATTTTTTTTTTTTTTTTGCATACACCGACATATTATACGATATAACTTTTTTGTTTTTGTTGCTCCAAGAAAGCATTTACATTTTGCTTGCTTCGCTTCGCTCGCAAGGGAGCTTTGTTGCTTGGACAAAAGCCAGACACTAGTTTGATTATTTTAATCTTGTAAAAGCAACTGCCCTGGCTATATTTAATTGTTTTCATTTAGCAGGGCTCGTTGTGCGAGTAGTTTATGAAAGAGAAAGAGTGAGAGAGAAGGAGTAAATTATTTTTTTAACTCGCCATGTGGAATAAATTTTCAGCATAACGTACTTTTCTTGAAGGTTTTAAAATTTAGAATTTAAATTTATAAAGAAGAAACAAAATAATTAAGGTATGAATGGTAGCACCAAAGAGGCGCGCATTACATATTTATACATCTTGTGCTGTGCTTATGGTGCATCTGTATAGAATCGTATAATGAAAATTTAGAGAAAAGGCCTTCTCATTGGAATAAAACAGACATTGGTGATACACTAAAAATAAATTGAAACATAAGAATGGTGTAAATACCAGAAACTTTAACCACATCCTTTCTTAGCCTGCAACCCATCTGAAACATCATTAGAAAAAAAAAACAATAAGCAACAAAAATGCGTGGCAACGTCAGAAGCTTCTTTCCGCGCTTAGACTTATACAGCAACTAAGCCTGTACGCATATAGTCGTAGCCCAATACTTGTATATTATTAAATATCGCATCAGCTTATAAATTCTATTTGCTCCGAGACTTTCCAGTATTTCACTCCCTAGGGGCAAAATATACTATTGGAAGCCCGGAGAGCTTCAACCCTCTGTGCACACGTAATCAAACAATAGAAATGAGCCTGTATGCTCGCTTCAATGGATGCACATTCAATGCGTGAAACAAAAAAATAATATTCTTGAAACCGGACACGAGGAAATGTTGCAACTAATCAACGACTGAATGCAAAGATATCTTCGACCAACAGCCATCCATAAAATCATTGAAAAAACATAGACATTGAAGATAATCATTTAGTCGGAACACGTATCCATATTCAAAGCTTTAATAGCTCAAGTAGTCGAATCTGGGCGTAAATCATTGGGACTTTTTCCGGTGAAGAAAAAAAAAGAACAGCGACCGCATCTCGTCGACCATACCATATACTTATGAGTTAGGAAATAATACGTCGGCGATGCGTACAGACGTGGATAAACGCGAAACGTGTACATGCGCGACTATCGAAGCGAGAAAAATTTATGTAGCTTTTATAACGTTGCTACGTCGCCGCCACATACCAGGAAGAAAACAAATGCGGCATCCCGAGACACCCTGTGTGTGTTTGTGTGTGTACCTACGTATATTTGCACTATCGCCGCGTTGCATCTTCGCAGGCCTGTACATACATCTACATATATATATAGTTTATACTCGCGGCAACATTTTGCAAGAGACGATGCTCCCAACGGCACGGATGTTGTTGTTGTTGCTGCTGCTGCTGTTGTACACGTATGTGCGCATGCGAGACTTGCTCAACGTTTCGGCTCGACGAGGACTATTATAATGCACTAGCCTGTGGCCGCGCGTTTTTCTCTCCGCTTTTTCCTTTCCTCTCTTTGAAATTGCACTAACTCGAAAAAGAAACTTGCCCGCTCGAAAGTTAAGTGGCATGGGACCGCGGCTGCAGAGCAAGGGACTCGAGACCAAGAATAAAGCGTTCTATAAAAACAATTTTACCGTCGCTGGGAGCTTTTTAAATTTCAAATCTTCAATAAAATAAGTTAAAAACTAAAAACAACAATGAGATTTAAAAATGTTACAGTTGCATTAAACCAACCTGATACTTTTTTGACACGACCTACGGCTAAGCTGTGTCTCTCAGTCCAACTTCTGGCACGAATATCATGAATTGATACTATTAATTTCTATTCACGACTTAATTTTTCAAGAAATAAAGTTATTAAAGAAATTAAGTTATTATTATTTTTTCATTTGATCAGTGGTTAGTGAGAAATAGTTTCAAGTGGATACAAATCACAATGAAAAGAAATAAACTTACACTTTGTTCAAAGCAATACTGATCTACTGCTGCAGAGAACTCTCTTTTATAAAAAAATAAAGTGAACGAGATAATAATTACAGTAAAAAAGTAAAAATTTTCGCCATTTCATTCGATCTGTTTTAAATGACTATCGTTAAACTTACATTGAAGTGATTGACTTGTATTTTTCAACGAATTTTATCTTGATCTCTCCCATATTCAATCGCACTTCAATACGAAATTCATATTTTCGAATTTTCGATGAAAAACGACAAAAGAAAAACAGCCTGGAGCATACATATAGTTGATGGGAGTAATGAATGGTCTCGAGCAAAAAATAAAAATCCCTTGATTATCGTACCTAATGGCGTAAGCTTGCCTTATGATGCAATTTCCGTCCGCTCAAGGTATACGACCAATGCACTCAAATTATCCATCGGCTTTGTTTCCATCGTTAAAGCTCTCGGTTCAGTACTTTCATACCTCCATATTATTCGTACATTTTACGAAAGAAAAAAAGACACTCTGCGAGTGTTGAGTGAGGTCAAAGCGATGCGTAGCATTGGGATTAAATGTTCCATTTGCGATACACGATTTGGGTAATTTGAATTTTATTCCGTCTCCAACTAGGATTCGATATAGAGCTTCGAACGACAACTTTAATCGGCAATATCATGCATCATCGAATGATTTAAATAGAATGTACGGACGATAACGCAAAAAAAACCCCGTTGCCAATACCCGTGTTAACGGATTAATCAGCCGAGATTTTGTTGGAAACTAGTTGAAAGCGATTTACGAAATACTTCCGAACACTTCTTAAATGGTTTTCACGTTCTTACAAAGAATTTCCGAAGCCGATAATAGTTTCTACAAGCTATGCAGCTGCTTTATAGCATGAACGAGCGGGAGGTGTCACCGTGGAAGAGACTTAAGGGCGCCAAGTAGAGATTCCGAGCTAAAGGAACTGCCAATTTTCTTCAATTATTATCCGATCATAGATCTCAATACAATTCGCAGGACTATCGATTTCGTGTAACAGCAAACAATGATAAATTGAAAGCTCTGGAAAATAATAAAATGTGAGCTTTCGCGCAATATTTTGCTGAGGAAATTATAAATTATGAAAATATAAGGCTTGCGATATCGGCAAAAGCTCGATATATAATGACAAGGTGCTCGTCTGCGAACACGCACATGAGTTACGTGTCCACGAGCAAGCACGAAGCTTTTAATAGAGCTATCCGATTCGTGGACGATTTATCACGTTTTATGCCCGGCCAACGGACAGGATACTTATGAAAATCGATGCATAAAGCGAGAGAGAGACACTACGAGTGGTATTAACGTAGGCGCACGTTACAGCTATTACACACTTTCACGACGGCGAGACGTGCGCGGCCTCTCATCGATATTTAACGAGCTTTATTAGCGGCGGACGCGTCGTTCGATCGCCGATCGATGCCCACCTACGATTAAAAGTTTATTTTCCAATGAAAACAAATAAGAGCAAACCATTTTTCGTCCTACAAGTGAAAGAAAAAAAAGGTAGGAGAGACGAGAGTTTATCATCGTCATTATCACGATTACGTATCGCAGTGCATATTTATCCGGCCTAAATAATAGGAGAGAGAGCGCAGAGCAATAACCCCCCCCCCCCCCCCCTCGGTGGATGCCGCGTGATATTTGGCGACGCGATGTGCCAGTGCAGCCTCGGGGGATAGGTGCACGCTTCGCTGAAAATATCGATCCCCCCCGTCCCTTGCTCCCTCGGCTGCTGCTGCTGCTGCTGCTGCTGCTGCTGCACACGAGTCTATGTGTGTATCTATATACGCTGCGATGGACCAATCGACGAGATAACTGTAAATATACACACACGCACGCAATAATCAACAGTGGGCAATCGTGGCCTACCGCAAGCTCGCCAGACGCAGCTGTACATTAATTTCTTTTGCAACTAGAGTATAGACGAACGTTTCAACAATTGGCTCGCAGACGACGTCGACGAATTGGTGGAGGACTCACCTGTCTGGATGCGGCGTGGATACTGCCACTCGCGGCTACGAATCCCAACCTCCTTCTTCTCTAGCATACGTCTTGGGACTCGAGATACGTATAGGCAGTCGGCGGGAGTGATATTATTGTTTATTCAAGCTCTCTCTCTCTCTGTTTGTATTTCCTTGGCTTCTTTTTGGCTATGTCTTGGCGAGTCATATATATACGACACGCACGTGAGTAGGCACACTTGACGCGTGCTCGTCTCGACTGATCTAGATAATACGGTAACGTTGATATACAAAGCTCGTCGAGATTACGCGTTCGTACAATGCGATATTGTTGACGAACGAACGAGCCGAAGCAATCGAGTCCCAACGACGAGTTGTACACACACTCGCGCGTGGATGTATTAACTTTACTATATGTATGTAGCGAGAGATAAGCTGCGCGAAGCCGTGAAGACTGACGCGAGGCGTGACGCGCGTGCAGTCACCGATGCGACCGTACAGGCGCTGCTGCGATGCTGTGCTGCTGCTGACTGCCAGTTTATAAGCTAGCTGCCAGACAGCTCCAGCAGCAGCAGCCCGACCATCTCTCGCGCCTGCGTCTTTCCGACGACCAACCCTCTCCCGTACAGCATCCCTTCCGTATCGTCTGTTGCACGCGTTCGCTGCGTTTGAAATCACTTCTCGAGTTGCGTTGGGGGGTTTTTTTTTTAATGAAAAACATTTTTTTCTCGCAAATCCACTCTGCGAATCTAATTTTAATTGTGAAAAAAGCTTGCGTAAATTTCACTCTAACTTTGATTCAAAGTGAAAAGTATTCTTTCATCCGTTTTTAAAACAATTCTACGCACTAATGTTTATGTACAGATTATTTTTTACTAAAGCTATTATCATACAAAGTCTGAATTCTTAATTATGGCAGCTTTAAGAATTCATTGTTGCAGTAAAGCCGTCGACCGTCGAAATATCACAGATCACACTTTCGTCGCGTCCAATGATCGTTCACTTCTTAGTAGTACAACTGATTGTTCCGAAGATCCAGCCGATCCAGCAGAGCCAAAATTTTCGAGTAAACCATTTCCGGAGCGCTGGGAGCCCACAGAAAGTCAAAGTGATTATAGGTCGAGTCTTGCACCTTGTAAATGCCCATTTTCAGCGGCAGTTGCTCGTAAAAGTGTCTCACGTCCTGTGGGCGAGGAAGAAAATTTTTGTTTCTTTAGATTCGAGGCGCTCGACTAATTCGCGATGTACGCGGCTATACCTCGCCAGGAACGAGCCAGTCGTTCTTCGACCAGAACACGGCGGACGGCACTTGGACCTTGGACAGATCGTACTTGGGCGGCCTGGCCGTTCCGTACACCTCTTGGTTTTTCGCTGGCCCGTAATCGAACTTGCTGAACTCGTTCACGACCATTTGCTGCAGCCAGTGGGTGAACAATTTAACCGAGGTGCCGGCCGGAAAGCTGCTCCATATGTGCGGCAAGAGAGTCTTGAAAGAAAAATTTTAACGAGTTCGTTTAGCGCGACTTTTTCATAAGATTAAGCTTGGATCCACTACTTACCGTGTTTAATTGCGTTGGATTAGGGCCGGCGATTAAAAATAACGGATTGGTGCAGAGAGCTTCTTGCAGTTGACTTTGTTGACAAATGTGCTTGGCCAAGACGTTGAAGATTTTCGCGTGCGGCAAGAACTCGTAAATCCCCAATTTGTAGCATATTTGCTACAACGATCCAATGAGTACGTATTAATTGCGATGCATGAAAATGAGCTTGGAGCTTGAAGCGATAAATAATTACCTGAAACTGTCGCCAGAAAGGGGCCAAGTAGCGCAGCGGTGCCCTCACGTGATACTCATAAGTGGCGGGAGCCAAGCCAATGAAAGCCTTAAACCTCCTGGCGATATCGGGTCGCTCGATAGCCATGACGGAAAAAGTCGATCCGGCCATCGAATGTCCAATGTATACCAAAGGTTGGCCGTTGATTTTCGATATGTGAGTAAACACCGCCGGGTGATCGTACTTTCCTAGCTCCGACCAACTGCGGAGAAAGAGAGAGAGAGAGAGAGAGAGAAAGAGAGAGAAAAAGCGTTGATATGCAAATATTAACGAGCTAATCGAGGCAAACGTTGACAGAGAGAGAAAACTTACGTGAAATTCCAGTAGCGCGGGTCATTGGGCGAGAGGTAGCGATGCTTCCTGGAAAAAGTATTTCCCCTGGCGTTTCCTATCCACACGTCATATCCATTATCGGATAGAATGTAAGCTAAAAATACATACAAGTATATTCATTGTGTCTATGCGAGGTCGCAATTTCCAGTCAATATTGCGCTCGACAATGCGCTGAGGCAAGTATAATTGATACCTAGAGATTTATTTTTCCCGCTAATTAACCAGTCCGCCGAGCTCTCGAGCAGGCCGTGCTGCAAGAATACGGGAGGCGAGTGGACGGATCCGGGAATTCGAAAGACCGTCAAAATGTATCCATCCTCGGTAGTGACCGTGTGGGTTTCCGATGGATAGCCGTCGCGTAAGATAATTTTTGCCTTGGAAAAAACAAACAGAACAATCGATGATAATTTTTTTTCTCCACCAAATTTTTTAGTAAGAAATTCATAAATGATCCGGGTTCTGTATTTTTCTGCTTAAAAACTGTAAACTCCGGTTTTTTATCATCCAGTATTTACCATAAATAGTGAGATTGCTTAGTGAATACTCAATTATATACTTGTTGCAGAACTAGAAATAATCGACATATGTGCGCGGATCATTTAAAATTACATACATTCCTAGATCTTGAATTGGGTTTGTACAAAATCATTTTATCACTTACTCGTTGACTTGGTTTCGACGAGTTTCAAAGTAAATATTAAATTAATGACATTCATATGTCATGTGCAACATGATTTGTATTGAAAAAAAAAAAAAAAAAAATTGGCACTCGAACAATTCTAGTATTTTACGACTTATAAATATTAATAGTGAATTTGCAGGAAAAAACTTAGCCTCACCGGCGATACGTTGCTGTAAGCGCCCGGCGCTTTGGTTGCAACGAAATTGTACCCATTCCCTTGGAAGGACGAAGCGAACGTCCTCGCTGCAAGGCCAGGCGTGAAAAGGCTCTCCGATGTACCAAGTAAATATTGAAGCAGCACTAATAATACTGCCGCCAACGACATTTTTTCTCGACACTATTATCCGACCTTTATTAAAATTACTATCTTGAGGTCTTATTTGAACCAAATTAACACTAAATCTTCGAAGAAAATTCACTCTATTCAACGAGAAAACTAAAAACAAGCTTATATACCTTCTTGCGAATGAAAATTAAAATTTTTATTGTCAATTCGTGAATCGTGTACGACGCGCGCCATAAAAAAAGTGACTCTTTTTTCGCCTTTGCATAACAACTGCTCTCGAGGTACTTTTATACAACCGGCAGCCTCCAACAAACAAAAATTTTCACTCACTCACACGAGCACTGACACATTTTACAGGAGCACACACAAACACTCACACAAAATAACACATAATGCTCCAAAGGTACTCCGTTGTCTGGTGCTGTGCTCCTCTGGTGTGTGTGCACCAAAAGTGAACGTTTTCGGTGGACACTCGTCGTTTAACTGGTTTGCTCGATCGCGATCGTCTTTGTATATTTACTCTTTCTCTCTCTCGGTCTCTCTCTCTCTCTCGCGGGGTGGAGGATAAGATTCAACTCGTCGCGTGTCAGAGAATTTTTTCAAGTAAGAAAAAAAAGGAGCACTGCCTTTTAGAGCGTAATCATGGTCACTTGTAACGGACTTGGAAATAATTACTTTTTTATATCGTAATTCTTTTTTCTCGCGTTTTTGTGTTATGCTTTAACGATTATTACGTTGACCGGCAGCGAGCGCATCGCGCTTGGAAATGGCGTTTAAAATTTTATTTTCAGCTGTAATATATAAATCAACGCGATTAACAACGCGTTGTAAAAACGATGATTTAATCGAATATCACTATGAATATGATCTTTCTCTATTTTAAATAATGTATTCGATGTTTTTTTAATTTTGTCACGATGACGCACCTGTCGTAAAAAACATTCGACGACGATTAATTATTTTTCAAAATTAATTGCGATTCGCGGTTAAATCGGTAGCGAGCAAATAATTATACGGAAAAAAGTGTGAACTAACGATTATCGAGCGCCTATGCGAATTGTTTTATTTCCTACTGCTTATGCCTTGACATATGACAGATTTTGAGCTCCTGCCCGAGAGACAGTTGACGGTAAACTAGAATACCTGGCAGGACAGCTTGGATTTTTTTTATCACAATGCACCGTGACAAAAGGCGTTGGAGAGGCATTTTCACAATCAGGAAACGATTTATGATTTTCTGCCTTGTTTTGATTTCTCAACTTTCATGAAAAATCTGTAACTGTTCCTGTTTTTTTATGGCATTGTAGTATGGATTTTTTTTGTCCGCGTCAGTCACTCAACGAGCATATAGCCTTCATGTGTTGATGAGTTTTATATGTATAAGAAGTCGGTTTATGTCTTTGGCATTTTTTTCTGGGGCATTCGTAATAAGATCTAATGAGTAGTAAACATTTGTCTGTTGGTGCAATTTATTTTTGGTTTCATTTCTTTTCGTCGATACTTTTTTTATTTACATGATGAAATTATGTATTTATTTACATAGATAAATCATTATTGTTAAAAAAAAAACGGACAAAATATGCTACATTTTCCCCTTTTCTAACGGAGTACGTCTATAATATATAAAAATAAGAAAATATAAAACAACATAAGCCAATATTTGCTCTACTTTTCATAAATTTCTAAATTCCTCCATTGTAGCTACTAATTTCTTATAAACTAATTTTGGTGCATCGACCGCCCATAAAAAGTCAAGATGATTGAACTTGGGATAATCAACCTTGTAGTTTATAATCTTATTGGGTAAAGATTTGTACAAGCGTTGCACGTCCTGAAATCAAGAATGATATTAAAGTAACGATAAGTGAGATAAATAAAAAAAAGCATCGTTTTAAAAGAATACTAACGATGGGACTAGCCAACCAATCGTTCTCCGACCAAAAAATGCCCACGGGCACTTGAACTTTCGACAAGTCGTACTGGGGCGGTACGGTACTATTGTATATCTGGAGATTTTTATACTTTCCGTAATCGTATCTCTGAAAATTTCCAGACTTGATTTCTTGCCCGTAGTGAATCAACGTTTTGGTCGACGCTCCAGCCGGAGAATGGCTCAAAATCACCGGCAAAAGGGTCTGAAAAAACAACAGTTCGCATTTTTGATTTGAATATTATTTTTTCTCGTGCATATTATCGTGGCATAACTCACATAATTGAATTGCGAGGCGTCGAAGCCGCAAATCAGGAACAGCGTGTTTGCGCAAATTTTTTCCTCGGAAACGTTGACGTCGCATCCGTGCCTGGCGAAAAATTTCAATAGCCAGTTCTGCGGCAGAAATTCGCCCTCTCCCAGAACTCGGATTATCCACTGCAAGGCATCAGAGGGGCAAATGTATTCAAAAGCGGCGCGCGCACGAAGGGTCGATATATAGTCGATGCGTGTACACACGCGCGATGATTTATGAATGTAAGGCTGGTAAATTTACCTGGATCTCGCTCAAGTAGTACGAGAGTATTCTCACCGGGCTCTTCAAGTGATTCATGAAGGCGATGGGAGCCAAGCTAAACATCGCTTTGACGCTCTTGGCTACGTCGGGACGATCGATCGCCATCGCATAAAACATGGTCGTGCCCATCGAGTGTCCAATGTACATCAGGCTGGCGTTTTTTATTCTCACAATATAATTTATCTCCGCGGGTAAGTCGTACTTGGCCATTTCTTGCCAGCTGTAATAAGCAAGTTATAAAAAAAACGCCTATGTAATGGTTGGTACATCAATGGCATCGGTGAGCGCGAGGTGACATTTTTTTTTATTTTCCCTTACCTAAAATCCCAGTATCTCAAGTCGTGAGTGGTGTAGTTAACGTGGCCATGAGAGTAGGTGTTTCCGCGCGCATTACCCATCCAGACGTCGTAGCCCAGGTCTGACAGAATGAACGCTTCGTAACGATAAAAAAAAAAATATCGTCAAAGTTTGCAAATTTTCAAGTCGACCAATTACGATCTCGTAGTCGCGTTTCCTTTTCAGTTTCGAGGAAGAAATAATCAAGATGGAAAAAGAGTAAAAAAAATACCTAAGCCTTTATTCTTGCCCGGTATAACCCAGTCGGACGAGCTGGCCAGAAGACCGTGTTGGAGAAAAACCGCCGGTCCTCGTCCAGGTATTCGGTGCATCGTCAACAGATAGCCGTCCTCGGTCATTATCACGTGCGCTTCCGACGAGTAGCCTTCCCGTCTAATCATTTCCGGCTGAAAACCACCATTGCCGGATTCGACTTATTATAATTGAAACTTAGTCATCGTAGAGTCAGATTTGCTCTTGAATCACGTTAATATGATACAGTCGGATCTCGCGCGGACGCTTTGTCTCGCTACACACGACGAGTTCGAATTCATCGTCTTTGAAAGAAGAGCTCGGCTTTCGTGTCCCATTATCGAATACTGATTCAGCGCATACGCGCGATAAGGAGCAAATTTCGAAAAAAAATAATTCAAATCGTAACGCTGACGCGCGACGAAAAATTATTTTCTTTATTCTCGCCAAAGTCTCTTCTAAAATCATGTATTCTTGTGAATGAAATAGAAATTCATCTTGATATAAAAGTATTTGTTTTAGAAAATGTTATTTTCTCCAACATTTTTATTTGAAATGAACTTTCTAACGATGCTAAAAAAATTTTAAAACTAAAATCTTGTATAAATTGAGAAGATTTTTCGAAATTTATTTGTTTTTTTTTTTCTTTAAATCGTTGTTTCTCGTTATTATCGATCGCAAGAATTAAAAGGGATCGACGATGATACTCACCGTGGTAAGATCGACATCAGGATTATCTGTGGCCTTGCTGAGCGATTTATAAGTCGGCGGTCTGGCGGTCGCGTCGTCATGGGAGCTTTGCCAAATCAGCTGAAAGGCGTCGACGACTTCGTTGAAGGAGGGAAAATCGCATTTGCCAGGCGAGAGGAAAGCCAGTAGCAGCACTGGCAGCGTCCAGGAGAACACGTGCTTCGAGCAGCGAACACACTCGAATCTCATGTCTGTGCAAATGTCTTCTCGTATTGAGCACGATTGTTTTTGCTCGTCGGATCGTAAAGTTATGTATTACTCTGCACGGTTAAAGCGTTCAAACGCGGGCCCCAATCAGGCCAGTGTCGGCTCGTTTTCGAATGTATTACAGAGTAATGTATGCACACAGGCACTCGGACACTGTAAGAAGCCAAGTGGTAATACGCACGTGTAGCTATTTTAATGGAGGCACAAACGCACGCGACTATTCAACGTCAATTAAACGTCTCAAGCGAATATATTACACGAGCGAACTAACTATGCATGACTCAATTTCTCAACATAACATAGTATGGCAGCAGTAGCCGCAGTGGATTTGAAGGCATGAGGTGGAGAGAGAAAGACAGAGACAGAGAGAGAGAGAAAGAAGTACACCGCGAGAGTCGACGTCTGCTCCAACTATAATGTTGTGTATACTGCGGCTCGTAACCGAGAGACTAACTGCTACTGTTGCTACTGCTGCTACCGATACACACAATCATATATGCGCGCGCATTTTGCGTGACTTTGCGCGTATAATTATAACGACACCGAAAAACCCGACGCAGAAAGTCCATCCTTCGCGGCATTGACAAAGCACGTATCAATTAATTCCTATTTGCTCGTGTGCGATTTATTATATTGTATTGTACTCGCGTGCCCGAGGCGATTTCGATTTGGTTTACATAGGAGCTGCGAGCAGTTAATGTGTGTAAGTTCGCAGCAATTATGAAACTGCATCGCGGATAGTACGTGGGTGACGCTTATAATAAATGATGAGCGGCTTAAAGGGGTCGATTACTCATCGCGCACAGAACCGTGTCAATGTACCTATACCATTAATAAATCTATATAAGACCGATTCCCGACGTTTCTTCGCCGAGCTCCGATAACGATTCGATTTCGCCTATCACTAATCTCATCGTTACGTCAAACGTCATCGAAAGAAATATTTAAAAAAAAAATATTATTAACAACAATCAAGGTGTTCACACATTGCATATATACAAACATTAAATACATGTTTATTCATCGAGTATTTCGTGCAATTTACATTTTTCAGAATTTTTGCATTAATATACATAAAAAAAATGTCATTTCTACGATTAAAATCGATAATCGTCACAGATCCGTGTATTCGACGAATAATGTCAACATTCAAAATTATTATACGAGGCATAAAAATATAAAATATACAAATTGTAGGCTTGACTAGTTGCCTGACTAGCTCTGCGCGCCGAACAAAACACGGTGTGATCCGAGGAATCATCGGTATTTCGCTATCAACGGGAACAGACGCGAGAAGACGAGTTTCGGCGCGTCCCTGCCCCACAGGAAGTCCAAGTGATTGAAGCGAGGATGATCGACCTCCACCGAGGCTATCTTGTTCGGCAGCTGATCGTACAGGCGTTTCACGTCCTAAGAGTTTGAAAATTTCACCTTCAGATTTCGTCGTAAACTTAACGAATCGCGCTTACCTCTGGAATAGCGAGAAAATCGTTCTTGCCCCAGAAGAAGGCGGTGGGCACTTGAATTTTTGAGATATCGTAAGCCGGTGGCTTCTCGTCGTTGTACTTGGCGAGATTCTTCTCCTTTCCGTAGTCGTACATGCGAAAATCCTTCGAGCTGATGCCTTGCGCGTAATGCATCAGAGTCTTTAATGACGTTCCGGCCGGAGTGTGGGACAAGATCAAGGGCAACATCGACTGCAATTATAGAAAGAAAACACAAGACTTGGGTTGAGAGATAAATTTCTTTTGTTTGTTTCGATGAAATCGACTTCGTACCGCGTTGAATTGTTGCGCGTTGAAACCGATCGTCGACATGATTAAATTCTCGCAGATCGTCCGTAAAATCGGTTTATTGCAGACGCAACTGCCCCCGAAATGTAGCCACGGCGATTGTGGCAGAAATTCCCGTCTTCCGTCGATGTTCAAAAACTCCTGTTGATTCATAAACGTATGGAAAAATCGGCATGAATAATGCGTGTCGTATAACAAAATTATGAAGCACAAAATGTCCACTATTTACGTGACGATTTTATGCGCGGAGCACACTTACCTCGATGTTCGTAAGCATACTTCCCAATATTCCAAAGGAACCCTTGATGTGATGAGTGTAGGCGACGGGGGCCAGCGCGAACATGGCTTTGACCTTGGCTGCCGTCTCGGGCTTCTGGCTGGCCATCACGAAGAACTGAGTCGTGCCCATGGAGTGACCGATGTAGAGCAGCCGATCCTTGGTCAAGGCGCTGATGTAGTCGATCTCGGATGGTACGTCATAAATGCCCATCTCGTGCCAGCTATTTTTTTTTAATTATTCATTAAAAATCATCGTTAATCGAGTTATCTTTCTTCTTGCTGTCGTCGCTATTCACCTAAAGTCCCAAAACTCGCTATCCGACTTGGACAGATTCTCGTGATTCTTGGAGTAAGTGTTGCCGCGAGAATTGGCCATCCACACGTCGTAACCATGATCGGCGAGATTAAAGGCTATAACAGTTAAGAGCCCGATCAGGTATAATTAAGCAGATGTTTACGTCCATTCGTCACTTACCCAAACCCTTCTCCTTTCCATTGATTATCCAGACGAAGGAGCTCTCGAGCAGGGCGTGATGCAGCAGTATCGGCGCCGAGCCCTTCTTGCCCGGTATCCTGTGCAGGGCCAAAACGTATCCGTCCTCGGTCTTGACGTAGTGCTCCTCCGCCGGATAGCCGAAACTCTTTATCAGCTCGATCTGGCGCGTCGCGGCATATCGACGAACACACGTCATTGATATATATAAAAAGACGCTTGGTCGCAAATATTTCGCATAACGATACAGTATACTGCGTCGTATAATAGATCGAAATAATACTCACGGTCGTCATGTCTTCTTGGGGATTGCTGCTGCAAAAGATGCTTCGGCTCGGGCCCTGACTCGCAGCGGCTCCTGATTCTCGATCGATTTTGTTGCTGCTGCTCGTGGCGTTGTTGAAACCGTACGGAATGCCAAAGACCACCTTGGCCAAGGCCAGAATGGCCAAGGAGCCGAGGATCGAGCGTTTCTTGATCATCATCGTGTCGAATATCTTCTTGGCCAGTGACGCGGGAACGAACGAGGTGCGCGGATTTACAACAACTGGTGAATCTTGCTCTGCGGCCAGCTGATTTTCAATGAGCATCGAGTACAAGCGACTCAGTGTGACGATGCACTATCGTTGTCGGAGCAGCAGCAACTGCTCGCTCGCATATTATGTTATTATTAATTGCGTCTGGAGCGAGTCGCTCGGGAGAAGAAAGAAAGAGTCGTCGAAGGGGTTAATATTCCACGCGCCGATCTCTTCTGAGCTCGAGCCCAAGCGACCGACCCCGCTTGACAGGCGGAAACAACGCGCAAGACTGAGCGCACGCGACACACGCTCGTATGTACAAGCGGCTATCGTATTCGCGCCCCGATAAATACGAATCAATCTATCGATACACACGCGGTAAATAAGCTAATCGATACGTACGATCTGGCCTGTCTCGGCGTTCGGCTGGATATCGTATTTGTATCGATTATAGTCTATAACTTAGGAGGCAGCCTAGAGAGAGCTCCGAGAAAATGTTCTGCTGCGTTATAGCTGATCGTCGAATTTTTGTTCGCGCAGGAAAAACCGATCGCGACGCCATGAGCTATACTCGTAGCGTATTTTATATGCAGCTGATATATTGCGAATGTTGTTCCAATAAACTCGGCAATGATTGTGATAATATTATGAATATGATGGACGAGCCTCGCGTTGTATTGACCTGTCGATATCGGAGCTGCGCGCGCGCGACGCGTGCGGGGGATCGAAGAAATTACGATAAGCATCGATCTAACTTATAAAAAAGAGATGGATCTAAAAGTGAAGCCAATCTATTCGGCCTCTGATTGGTCGACTGACTTTTGACTCGAGTCGAAACGTAATAAAGTGACATCTACGGTCAAAATAGCAACTTTTTCGAAACTGACTGAAAGATGTACGCGCGCGAAGCGCGCCTGAAAGTCACTATAACCTCAAGAAACGAGTGAAAAAATTAACACGCGCGGAGCGCGTTTGAAACATACTAGTGTATTAAATTCGCGATCTCGATGCCTATAATACTGACTAATTCGCACGTGAGAGAGGGATACACACGTCAATTATGATTTTATACAGAAAAATTGGCGAATCGCTGGAAGATCTACGGGCGCGATAACGGCTCGCGGCGCGAGAATTCGTGATAGATCGTTTCTTCGTGATTCCTATCGAAACGTGAGCGAGCGCCGATTTCTTTTTTAATACCCTACTATCCCCCGATCGTTTTCGACTGATTTTTCCGTTTTTAACTGTGTGCCTACTGATAAACGCGAATGACCCCGTGCACGATCTATAAGTCAAGAGGTCATGAGATCGCGAGCGTCGAAGGAATCTTCGAGTTTCAAGGTCTCACATCTCGAGACGTAATAATGTCGAGCAGACCCATCGTAATTTGATACCCTCTTCTCGAGTTCGAGGCCGTGAATATTCTTTTTTAATTCATAATATAAATAAATTCGGATACATTTTGATGGTTTGACGATTAGCAATGTTCCGGCTCGTCTGCTCCGTTAAAAAATATTATGACCTGTTTTCACACCAACAAGCTTATTAAAATATGATTCATTTCAGATATTATTTATGAGAAATAATTTCATGTCGATACTGCTTAATTTTAGTCATTACCACCTGTTGACACTCGTAAACACTCGTCGCAATATATTGCAAATTTTCAGCTAGAATATGCTAAACTTGTTTCACGCTCTACCCAGCGCAAGCGCAACGATTCTTTCTCGCCAATTTCGCGCGAAGAAGTAGCAGACTAAACTTGCCGCAATGGATTTTAAAACCGTTCAACGAAAAGCCGATCAAAAACAAAAAATTGCCGAATAACATTTAAGATATCGCGCAAAAGGTACGGTAAGCTCGCATAACATTTTAACTTCGTGATTACTTTCGATGCCTTAATGTTACATTGTTCCTCGCATGACATTATATCTGAACTATAATATTGGCGAATTCGCATGTAGTCTAAAACTGTTAACCTTCAAACATTTAATTTGATGAATATATCTCAATTTTTCAGAAAACTCTATCATAATGAATGAAGTAATATTACCACCATCGCCGAACTGGTATTTTAGTAGCATTCTAGCATGTGCCAACGATGGCACTGTGTCTTGGGGTGCAAGAAATGCCATCGTAGTGGCAAAGCCTGATGAAGAATCTGGATCGCTCAGTTATTCTTTTATTGATAGAGCTCACACTGACAGAGTAACCACATTAGCTTTTTCACCTGAAAAAAAAGATGGCATTTTACGTTTGGTATCTGGAGGAGATGACAATGTGATCAAAATATGGAATTTGACCAATTTGGAGAAGGAACAAGAAAATACTAGACTTGATGTTTGTATCAATTACTTTTGTTTTATAATTTTTTATTATATGAAATTTTAATATATTAAAAATTCAACAGACAACTCACAAAGTGGTTGCAGTTGATTGGTCTAAAAATAACAAAGATTTAATTGCTTATGTTAGCGAAAGTCGATTTTTAGTCATATGGAATGTGAAATGTGATACCAGCCAAGTTATTAATCTTGGTTTTAAAGTAAAACCAACATGTTTGAGTTGTTGCCCCCATGATAGTTTTATTGTATCGATTGGTATAACAAGTGGTTTAGTTTATATTGTGGATATTCGAGGATCTGGTACCATCAAATATAAATTAAGAGGGCATGATCGTGATATAGTTAGTCTTTCATGGTGTCCTATACCAGTTAATGTTTTAGAAGAGGATAAAAGTACAAGAGAATATTTATTAGCATCTGGTTCTAAAGACAGGTAAAAGAATGATTTCTTTAAACATTTTTACTCAAAAAATAAGCAACAATAATACATTTTTAGACAAATATTTATCTGGAAAGCTGGAACTGATGGAAGAAATCAATTGCAATTGTCATTTCCAACAGCTCCTTTAGAAACTACTAGTCACAAATCTAAAGTAAACTCTTCTTCAGGAAATTTCACATCAATATTTTGGCTAAAACCTACAATTTTATTATCAAGTTTGCCATGGGGTGAACTTGTCTCATGGGATCTTTCTGGAAATGTGAAAAAAAGGACACCTGAATTAATTCATGCTAAACATTCCAAAGGTATATTTGCTATTGCTGCTCCGGTGTATAACACCAAAGAAACTAATGAAAATGGGCAGGTTGAAAATTGGAGAACTGCTAATGACATGTACGCATTACATAAGTGAAACTTAATTATTAAAGTTATTATGCGGTGGGGTTTTCATAATCATTCAATTTATTATATTTTAATTTTACTACAGTAAATCAATTTGGACTGTATCACAAGATCGGCAAATAATTTGTTGTAACTTGATAAATAATCAAACATGTTTTGATTACATTATTACTAGCCAAGGAGGATTTGTATACTGTTTAGATGCAAGTCCTATCGATACAAATCAAATTGCTTTTGGAGTTGGTGATTCAGCGATACGTGTATGGAATTTGTCAGAACCAAATAAAAATATATTGCAACCTCAAATTTTATGGGAACAAATAAAAGGCAAAGTGAGAAGTGTAAGTTAAACATTTTTATTAGGCAATTTATCCAATTTTCGTTGTACTTTTATTTATTTTGCTTCAACAACTATTTTTAATAATATATTTTTAATTTTTTAATATTATTTAATCTTATACTACGTTATTTAAATATTTTAGTTAGCTTGGCATCCTGAAAAAGAAAATATCTTAGCTTTTGCAACTAATGAAGGTCGTGTAGGAACTTTTGATATTTACTCAAAAAAGCCACCTACTTTATACAAGCAATATCATAGGCATGTTGTATATACTATTGGCTGGGGTCCAGCTCCAGATGTTAATGGTTTTGCATTATACTCTTGTGGGGACAATGAATTAGTTTATTATAATCCCGAGAAAAATAATGATGGTAATATAAAATTTATATTTTATTTTATTAATATTTTTTAATTTTTAAATTTGACTAATATTTTTATCACAGTCCCGACATCCGTTAAGACAAAAGATTGTACAGAATTTTGTTGGAAATCAGATAAATCGTTGCTAGCAATCGGTTTTTCAGATGGGTATGTAATTTGATAAAAATAGTTTTTGAATCTTCAATTAATTCTTTTTAATTATTTTTTAGATCTATATCTTTTTACAATCGTGACTTATCACAATGTGGTTCCACAATGCATGTATTAAGTAAACCCATTCAAGATTTCAAATGGCATCCAATCAGTACTTTAGCGGATTCGAATATTTCGGAAATGCAAAATTATTTAGCTGTAGCTGTTAATTCAACTACAATCACAATTTTCGATATTTCAATTAACAACTCGGAAGATGAATCGGAGAAATTGACTTTCAAAACCGTTGCAGTGCTAAATGGACACAGTGAAAAAGTAGTAAGCTTGGCTTGGAGCCCACATATAAGTGGTTATTTAGCATCTGGAAGCTACGATCGTACAGTACAAGTAAGTTATTATTAGTTTTTTTGACCGGCCTTTTTATATCACTCTATTGTTTTGATTTAATTTTTCTAGGTCTGGAAAATTCATACTTCTGGCGATCACGAGATAATTGCTTCATACGTTTCACATTCAGCACCAATCAATTGCTGCATGTGGAGCCCACTAAGTCACGATTTAATTATTACTGGTTCCATTGATTTTTCATTGCGAATATGGAGCATTTCTGCTCAAAAAAATGTGCTATCTGAAATTCCAAAGATACCTACTAGGGGTAAAAGAACTAAAAAGAAAAAAACCAAAGTAGAAGAATTGAGTAAAGATGATACTAATGTCGTAAATAACGAAAAACAAGAACAAATAAAATTCATTACATCGTCACAAAATCAAAAAGAAATTGATGAAGATAATACACAAAGTTTGAGTGATAGTAAATCGATAAAAAAGAAAAAAATCAAGAAAATTTCTCATTTTCCGGGTTATTCACAATTAACTCTAGACAGTAAATTGTGGTGCAAGTCAATACAACATTTATTGAATTTCCAAAAATCTGATAACTGTATTGAACAAATTACAAATGGCTGCGCTAAAATAGTTGTTCATGAAGAAATCCCTCCAAATGATTCAACTGAAATTCCTTATTTTTTCAGTAGCAAAGAAGATTTGACAGAATCCTTATCACAAGAAAGTAAATAAATATTGCTATTTTGAAATAAATATCAACGTAAATAAATTTAACACTTGTATTTCTTTTTCAGAAAAAATATTAGAGCAAAATGGACACTACAATATTTGTACAGAATTAGATCACTGGTCTGGAAATTTAAAAGACAATCTTCAGAAAGCTCAAAAAGATAAGCATTTGAATGATTTCATGGTGTCTCTGGCCCCATCAATATCTACGAAGTATAAATTAATTATTTTATTAATTATAAGAATTTTCAATTAATTGTAGGATTTATAATTTATCGCTAATTTTTTCATTTCTCTTAGATTTTGGGAGGAGTTGTGCGAAGCTTATGCTAACCAACTTGTTTTTGAAGATAGTCCGCATAAGGCTGTATCGTATTTTCTAATGATAAATAAATTCGAAGAGGCGGTCAATGTACTTCGAACATTTAAACTATATAAAGAATTGTATGCCCTCATAACTTTAAGATTAGATTCAAATGACCCTCTCATCAAAGAAGTCTTGGATGAATGGGCATATCAAGCGCAAAAAGACGGAGATTTCCCAAGTGCAATCGCATGGTTTGTACATTTAAATTTCAATTATAAAATTAAAATTAAGTCAAGCGCAAGCCTAAAAGATTTTACATGAAACTTATTTTATAGTCACATCAAAATTGGAAATCTTGAAAAAGCAGCCAACCTTCTTGATCGACGCAACGATTTGGATAGTTTACTTTTAGCAATAAATGTTGCCAAGGTAGCGAACAATCCAGTTTTAACGAAATCTCTGGCTGATAAAGCAATTTCAAAAGCATTATCAAAAAATGATATTGATGCTGCCAAATCTATTATCAAAACGAATCACCTCATCAAGGTTTGTATTGTAAAGATGATGCAATTATAATATTTTTTTAATGTATAAATCATTAATTTTACCGTAGTACCGAGAAATAGAAGTGGAGATTTTCAATGAATTAAATGAATTTCAAACGAACGTGGATAATAATGAAATTTATAAATGGCTTAAGGGAGAAGCTACTAATTTATCTCTCTTAGATAAAATAAGCAAGCAATTTCCCGAATGTCCTAAGGAATATTCTAGTTTATCAAATGTTCAAGAAGTATCAGATTCAGAATCAAATATTACATTGGTAAGTATAGTAAAAAAATATTAATCATTTTATATTATAGAACATATTTTAAATCAACTAAAATTACAGATTCAAATTCAGGCGAGTCGTCAAATTGGTCTGTCAATTTTATCCAGTGAGAAGAAGCAAAAGATCGCTCATCTTTTGAAAGCTGCAGATATAATATATCAGTTTGAAAAATCGCCTACAGAAGCAAAGCGATTTCTGTTAATAAAGTATCTGTATGCATTCGATACAAGAAAATTTACAGATTGCAACAGTATTTATAACTATAACGAAAATAAATTCGGTGGGAGTTTACGTGCTTATTTATGTTGTGCATTGGTAAGCTGGTATGGTCTTGATAGCCAGCTTACAAGCGAAGAAAAATCAAAGATGTTAGAAACTTTGATTCCCATTCTTAAAACATATGTTGTTGACCTTATATCCAAAGAGTCAGTAATGTATTGGACGGCCGTTAATGAAGTCAAAACACTCGATGGAGAATTATCTTCAACAATGGGTAAATTAATAATGATATAAAAATTGAAATAAAATATAATAATAAATAAAAAAATTCTGTTCCAGGGAATTTTATAAAATCTTCGGACGAAGCATTGAAAGAAGTCTCAACTATTGAAAAATTAAATTTATTAAAAACTACAGTAGCAGCACTTCAAGCAGAGATAGTATGTACTCCAAATCCTATGTCAAGCTATGCAGCCATGATAGAATTAATTATGGAAATAAACATCAATAGTATGCAAGCTGACTTACTTAAACTTGTAACAGATACAATGGAACAATCTTACAGCATGGCTAAGAATGAAAGTCCATCAATTGTAGAATGATAAAATGAAATTTATAATTTTTTTGGATGAAAAGTATGTACAGAAGTTGTATATAAAAATTTTTTCTAATAATTTCTTTTACAATTGATTATCCACCCTCCAGAACAAAAGTTGTCTATCACTAGCTGCACAGACAATTGGCAATCTTTGATGCCATGTCAATCCTCCAAACAACATTACTTTCCCACACATTATTACTGGTTTTGACTTTAAATTAATAATTTTTAAAAGATTATCAGGTCTTCCAATACTTGCAATCAGATGTTCACTAAAAGGAGCAAATTTCATCATTGTACCTCCTTCTATGTGAACAGTTCTTGTTTCCAAAGGACGACTGAAAATAATATAGAGAATGATTATTTTAGCAAATTCTACACAATTCAAGGAAATACTTTTGTATCAATAATACAAAGACAAACTAATAAAACAACTACCTAGGCCTAGAAACATCCCACACAATCAGCTCTCCAGAAGCTACACAAGCGACTTTGATTGGATTTAAACTCCAATCAGCAGTTAGCATTGGTATTGTACCAGCATCCAAAGACATGATTGCTTGTTGACTTCTTACGTTATACATCCTTATAACACCGTTCTTTTCTCCAACCAACAACTTTCCTATTTCTTCTGCATGCCAGCGTACAACCATACCGGATGTGTGCAGAGGAAGTGTCAAAATACATTTTTGATCTTCTTTAATGGCCCACAATTTACAAGTGTGATCATCGGATACTGAAGCAAGGACTTCACCATCAGGATCATAGGCAATACAATTGACATAATCCTTATGGCCTTCTAAAACCTAAGGAAAATGTTTTTGTTTATCATTAAAAATGCATGATGCTAAAAAAATTTATGGATAATTTTCTACCTCAACAATATTATTTTCACTCAAATCGCTGTTGTATAGTCTTATTTTGAAGTCTGCACCTCCAACACAAAATGACACGATTCTAGGTACTACACTAAGAGATGTCTCTGGACTCCAAGCAATTGTATGAACTCTAGTTTCATGATGAAAAATTCTTAGAGGATTATAAATGATATCTTCAACAGTGTCATCTTCTTCCTAAAATATATTTTATTAAAATTATTAAGATGTTGTAATTTTGAAGGGGAAGTTGGTAAATCATATTTTACCTGGAATTTTATTAAAGCTACAATTATTTCTTCTCCTAAAGCAATGCACGCTAAATCTTGTGACCACTCATAAGGTGACCATTCAATGCATTGTATTTGTTTGGCAAATTTTAGTTTAAATGTGGGTTGAGTCAATCTAGCTTCTTCCATTTTTAATCTGAAAAAATTATTACTGAAATGAACTGCAAAAATTTAATATAACATTTCTAATTGTTGAAGAATTTTTGAAGTCTATTGTTAAAATAAACTGACAGACAAATTAGTCAGCGTCGAAAATTCAACTTCAAAAATGCAAAACAGCGAGTATATCAATTTTTGCACTACAAACTCTTCTATATTATTTCGAAATTTAAATACCCCATTCCGGCATAACCTAACTGAATGATCTATTACGGTTTTTTTACACAATTAAGTTAATTCACGTCAATTAATTTATAACCAATACGAAGGTATTTTCAAAGAATTATTCTGTATCATGAGAAACGTACCAAAGAAAATGAGAATAAACCAAAATAAAGTATCGAGGGCGAAACTGGAGAGCAGAATGCACTGTGGCTAAAGCAAGCACGGATTACCCGCTTTTTAATTCATATAAGTATAACATAACAGACTCCTTTTCTCTGTCGGTCTGCGCCCGCATGAGCGATACGTATTCACGCGACATCTCTGCACGTTGCCTTTAGCGATTTGCAACTTTTACAGAGCTCACTCTCGACAAATAGGATTATGCACTTTTTTGCAATAGTTCTGTCAATTTCATCATTCGATACTCAATTTACCAAACAGGCGCAAGTGTATGTCCATCAGTTATCCGTGCAATAAACAAACAAAAAATCGAATGAATTTCTTACCCAAGGAATTAACAACAGGTGGTGAGTAAAGTTCGCGTACGTGAGTTTTGACTTTATTTAAGATTTGCTCCTATCTCGGGTGAGCTTTAAAGAGATCGAAAACACCCTCCTGTCAAATAACAACGCGCAACAACAACAGGTTTTCATAAAGGTAAGGACGCTGCGTTCACGCGCCTTTTTCTCCCTCTACCCGCGTACTCTGTATTCGCTCCAAGGTATACGTACTGTATACACTAAACTGCCTCGGAGCATCTCTCGAATTCCTTGCGAGCATTGCTCGTCTTGATCTCGCGCGCACATCACGCATACACAGGTACAACAGACTACACAACCATAGGGACCGTCGCCGCCGCTCTCTGCTGATAATACACCGCGCGCACTTATGGCGCATGGGGAAAATAACTCGGTAGCATAAGAATAATTCAACAGTCTTGGGGCCTCGTACTCGTCGTCGTGCATTAAACACCGTGAGTGAGTTAGTGACCGCTTGTGTCCCTGCGCTCGTGCATGTCGTTATTGCATTGGCATATCTTACTGTCGTTCTCATTAGTTTACACTTGCTATTCGTCGGTTTCATCATTTTATTCGTTCTCGTGCAGCTGCTGAGGTACTGTTTTACACATCGATTTTTTTCTTCGGTCAAAACTCATTAACTTTGCCTTGTTCTATGCTCCTTCAATGAAGTGATCGCGTGTGAAGAGTGTGCGGTATGATTAGTATTAGTAGTTAGTAGTAGTATAGTAAATAAAAAAAGAGTGTGAGCGATCTTACATACATGGCAATTTTGAGGCAAGGTGTTGCTACACGAGACATTAGTCTTTACATTTGCACTGCTGGGATGTGTCTATGACTGTTGATATCGTTCATAAATCGTAGATCGCTTGTTATTTTGCTTCATTTATTTAGTGCATCTGCAACTTTCAGAGCTCATTATTTTTTGGTTAGTCATTTAAAGCCAGATGAAAGTTCAATCATTTAAATTCCCGTAGCAGTTAAAAAACCACGTGTTTATCTAGATTTCGCGTTAATTGACAAATGATTATTCAATAACCTACGATATTGCAATCATATCAATGCATTCTCAAAGAACCTGATAATATTTCTGTTTTGGCCGGTTCTTCATGAATATTTCTATCCAAACATATTGCATTTTCCGTTGAATAGTGATGAAATGTGAAATTTTTCTTGAATTATCACATGAATGAATTATTAAAATGCTAAAATTTATTTCCAGAATAACAACATAAAAATGGAGTTTGGAATGAGTGGTGATATTGCTCAAATTTCAAATGAGCTTGCTCATGTTGTGGAAATGATGATGTCTCCAAACATTCCTCATCAGCAAAGATTAGAAGTATATAATGCATGTGAGCGCTTCAAGGAGACTTCCCCATTGTGTGCTCAGTGTGGATTATTTTTAGCACAAAAAAGTCCAGATAGAAGTCCTATAGTTAGACATTTTGGGCTGCAATTAATGGAACATTGCATAAAATATAGATGGACTCAAATGTCCCAGCCGGAAAAAGTTTTTATCAAAGAAAATGCCATGAAACTGCTACATGAAGGCACCTCTCTTCTTCAAGAAGAAAATCACATAAAAGATGCATTATCTCGAATTGTTGTAGAAATGATTAAACGCGAATGGCCTCAACAATGGCCAAATTTATTAGTAGAGCTAAGTGAAGCGTGTACAAGAGGAGAAAGTCAAACAGAACTTGTGCTATTAGTATTTTTAAGACTAGTGGAAGATGTTGCTATTTTAGAAACCTTGGAATCTAATCAAAGAAAAAAAGATATTTATCAGGCTCTGACCACTAATATGACAGAAATTTTTGGTTTTTTCTTGAGATTAATGGAACAGCATTATGCTGCATTTCAAAAAGAAACATCTTTAGGAAGAGCATCTGAAGCTGCAGCTCACAATCGAGTAGTACAGGTACAATATTAATACAATTTACATGCAATATTTTTAATCAAAACAATTTAAAAAAGTAATTATAAATACTTGTTATTCAAAATTATGCAATCAACACGCAATGCATTCTTTATTTATTAGGTGGTGTTATTAACATTATCAGGATTTGTAGAGTGGGTATCGATAACCCACATAATGGCAGAAAAGGGAAGATTGCTTCAAATTTTATGTTTATTGCTTAGTGATCTAACATTCAGATGTCAAGCAGCAGAATGTTTACAACAAATTGTTAGCAGAAAGGGTAAAGTTGATGATCGAATGCAATTAATGATTCTTTTCACAGAAGATGCTCTTAAATGCATGTATGCTGCTGCAACAAGCCCTTCCCCAAGTGGTTCAAACGAACTGCAAGAAAAACATTTCTTATTTTTAAAGAAACTTGTACAAATGTTAAATGGTAAGAATAAACTTTTACAAACTCTCAATTTTATCAAAATATTTCTACAGTGAAATTAATTTCGCGCAAAGTCAAAGATAGAATCAGATAACAATGATTGACTCATTTAATATTTGATATTTCAGGCATGGCCACCCAATTGTGTTCTGTGTGGACTAAAGATGGAAACCGTCCTGTACATTTTGGCATCTTTCTAGACACTGTGATGATATTTACTATTCATTCCAGCTTCACTTTGGTTCAATTATCAAATGCTATCTGGATTACATTTTTCAAGCATGAGCATATTAAGACTGATTCTCTATTGTTAACTTATATTCCAAAATATATTGAAAGTATTGCCCCTAAGCTTATAAAGCCAATGCCTCAGAATAAACGTTTCACAAATGGTACAAGTGGATGCTTCTTTGAATATGATTCAGATGAAGAATTTAATGCACTCTATTTCCGCCTACGTATGGATGTAATTGAAGGTTTCAGAAATGCTACAATGGTGGCTCCTAGAATCACTTTTAGTTATGTACAACAATGGTTGACTGCCAAAATTCGAAAAGGAATGGAAAATTTAGCTTACAAAAGTGATCCTTTTGATCCAGAATATCTTGAATGGGATGCCTTGTCTTCAGCCCTTGAAGCTGTAGTATCACGAATATTACTTGTTAACGACCGACCTAACATTCAAAGTGGTTTACAGCTTCTTGAACTTTGTCTTACTTACAACCCTCAAGATCCATGGATTCTATCTGCATTACTTTCTGCTATTAGTGCTTTATTTGTCTTTTTATCAATGTCCACTGGTTCAATGGTCATGCCTGGGGTCGCCATTTTACCTAGGGTGTTGGAAAAAATATATGCTGTCCAAGTATTTAATTTACCCGGTGAAACACACGAAAATAGATCTAAGTCTGCTAAAAATGTAAGGAGACATGCTTCAAGTCTAATGGTCAAGATTGGACAAAAATATCCATTGCTATTACTTCCTGTATTCGATCAAATTCATGCCAATGTAAAAAAATTGATGGCAGAACCGAGTCAATTAACTAGATTTGAGGGGGTAGTTCAGTATGAGGCTTTGATGTTAATATCTAATCATTTTTGTGATTACGAAAGGCAGTCTAAATTTATAGAGGAGGTAGGTGAAACTTTAAAAGATTATTAAATATTGGGTTGATAATTTATGATACAAAATAATTTTTTTGCAGGTAATTGGTCAGACTGCGCTCCGTTTCACTGCCATGGGAGCAGAGGCATTTAAAGGTCCAATGGAATTGACCAATTTCTTAGGTTTAAATCAACCACCGATAGACAACCCAGTTATCAGTCGAAATATGTCAGACTTGAGATTTTATATTAACGTTTTATTAAGCGTGGTTAAACGTAGTACCATACCCGATGATCCAGATAGGGCATTAAGAGGCGGATTTGTTGCTGCTGTCAGTGAAAATGGTAATCCAGTATACAGAAACCCGGCGACACCCCATATTGTACCAGCTTTACCACCATTTTTTGCTCTTCTAAGAACAATAAATTCTATGTTTACACCAGCTGCTTTGAGTTTACTATCTGAGGTATGGAAAACTCATAAGATTTTTATAACTTGATTAATTTTTTCACTTTTACATTAATGAATAACTTGATTGATTTTTACAGAGTTACAAAAATGTTCACGATATGGTAGAAGTAGAAAAACAACAGTTATTAGGTCATACTAATGGTAACAGTAGTGACAGTTCCCTGGAAGAAGATCCGTTATTTTCGCCAGTATCAAAAGCGCAAAACTTTTTCCATTATTTACAAGATACCTGTTATCATCTTCTTGGAAGTGGCTGTCATAATATTGGTCGTGACTTTTATCAGCTACAAGGATTATCGAATGCGCTCATTAATTCTGTATTTTCTGATATGGAGGTATATAGTTCTATTATTAATAGAGTTCAACTATTTTGTGGCTAACTTTAAAATTATTATTGCAGACAATTCCCGACCACAGACTGCGTCCGATTATTCGAGTTTTTATGAAACCTTTCATATATCATTGTCCAACAGCATTTTATGAAACAGTTCTAGTACCTGTTTTGGCGCATGTTTCTAATCACAGTAAGTTTAAGATCAACTTGAATTCAATTACAAAAACTGGTAATTTCATTGATTATGTGTAATAATTTCAGTGCATCAGAGATTAAGCACGAAATGGCAACGAATGGCCATTCTTTATGAGGCCGGTGACCATGGAGAAGAAAATTCAGATGAGCAAGAAGTTATAGAAGATATGTTGAATCGTAATCTAACTCGGGAGTTTATCGATGTATTGAAACTTGTACTCGTCGGTGGCAATTCGAGCGACGCCTCTCCACCTGATTCAATGGACCAAGATAATGGTGGAATGGCTGTTGATCAGCCAACTACTCGAAGTACTAATAGCATCGTTGCTGAAGTCGTTAGTGAACTTGGTAGCTTTGTACTTAGACATCCTTCAACTTGTCACAGTGTTGTGCTTTGCATTCTTGGGTTAGTATTGAATTATTTAAATATGAATTGTGAATATTCTTATTTTAGTAATAAATTTATTCAACATTTAAATTTATTTTACAGCGCCCTGTCATGGAATGACTCAGGTGCCAGTTTGAAAGCAACAATGCTTACTGGACCAGTTGTGCGGGCTCTTGCTGCAGATGGCAGTTTAAACCCTCAAATGGCATCCCATATAATGGTTGCTGTTTTGCAAGGTCTGCAATTACATGGCCAACACGAAGCCAATCAAGGATCTTTGATTACTTTGGGAGCTCAAATTTATGAAGTCCTTCGACCTAAGTTTCCAAATATCATCGAGGTAATGCAACAAATCCCAGGCGTTAATCTAGCTGACTTACAGAGATTTGATGATAAAATGAGTGTCGTTAGCACCAAAGGAAATAAGATTGAAAAGGGGAAGAAAGATCTATTCAAGAAGATAACTAATCAGGTGATTGGTTTATTACATAAAAAAAAATTTAAGGTATGACTGAACGAGAATATATTAAACGTTCAAAATCCAATTTTTAATTGCAGTTGATCGGAAGAAACATCGGTCAATTATTCCGCAAAGAAGTAAAAATCGACAACTTACCGAGTATTCAAATAGCAAATAAACCAGTCGTGCGCGTAGACGATATTTCAAATACACCCAGTGAAACAGGTTTAACTGCGTTATTTGCTGGACCTACGTAGCAAAAAATTAGCCATAGCTTACGAAGCTACCAGAGCTTGCTAAGCATTCACATGAATTAATATAATTTTAGTTAAAAAATTTTAAGTAATATTCTTTACACTAAAATTTTCAAGAAATAAGGATTGCAGTCGACTAAGATAAAAATGATTCAAATAATTATTATCTGATGTAAAATTTAAATAATTAATATAATCTTTACTCAAAAGATTCCTACAAAATGAGTTCCTTATTTCTTTGAAATTATTGTTGCGCATCATCGTAATTTTTAATATCTATGTTATAAATATAAAGTTAAATTAAATTTTAAGTCTTTAATTTTTTTTTATCTTGTTGATTGATTTTACTGTTATGAAATTACATCAGTCAGGATTGCTCTTGTTTGAAAATCAAGTAACAAGAGCATTTTTAATTATTTTTAATTTTTACAGTGTGAATGTTATTATTGAGAAAATGTGAATATTTTGTATCTTTATAAAATAATGATGAATAATAGATATTCGAATGATTGATACTGAACTCATATTTGCTATGCATCAAGTTGACTTGATTACATTTCAATAATGTAAAATTTAAATAATTTCACAAAAAAATGTTTATACATCAATAGAAAAATAATGAATAGATAGTAACAATTCATTCAATATAAGTATCGCTTTTTATAGCTGGTACAAAGCCAAAGCATAATAATATCGAAGAGATTTTAATATAAACAATTCATATATCTCATTCAATTTTATCGGAAAAGTTTCATTCAAGAAAAATACCGTTTTGTTTAAAAAAATTTAATTACATCCCATTTTTTGTTAAAGATGCTATGAAATATCATTGAAAGTACATTCATTGTACAAAATTGTAAATTATCATTGTAAGAAATTAGGCTTTGAAATGTTTCTCAAAAATTTGAATGTTGTATTATTTTTAATTAAATTAAAAAAATTTTTAATTATGTAGCCAATCGCGGATTATTTATCTTAAAGTTGTCAACTATACAAATAAAACGACATTGCTACACTAATTTTGTGAATCCAAGATGTATATTTTTTTTTCAATTAACTAATTAATTAAAAATAAACTTTTGAAATAATGGGTTTTACTACCAGAATTAGTTTGGCAGTAATAAAACAATTTTAAAACAAATCGTAATTATTGCTGAAGTAAGTGACCAAAATGTATTATTTTTTTTAGATGTCAATAGATTACAGAGTTGAATATGGAACAAAGTCTTTTAATTATTAAATCGTAGATAATTCAAAAATTGCATTTATAATTAGTGCATTAACAATATAACAATATAAATAAAATCATTGCATCAAATTTTCACAAAAGTTATTTTTATTCCTTGAATTTTCAAATTTGAAATATGATTTATAATTGTTTGTAAAATTGATCTAATATATCTCAAGTTCAATGAACAATTTTTTTTTATTTCCTTCCATTTTAAATTTACATTTCTAAATTCTAACTTGTGGAACCAAAAATGTACAAAACGTGACGTGTTTTAACTTTTTTTTTCACTCTCATATTTATATCTCTCCCCGTCTCCGTGTTCCCGTGTATATATAGCAAGTCCATTATATTCGGGATTGTGTATACATTCAATTTATAGTTGCCGGCTCATGACTGATCTGCTCGCTCTGTCCGTAAAATTCGGCTGCAAGGATTATCTGTTTTGTCAACATGAAGCATCACAGAAAAAGGAAAACTGTATGATAAGACACAGTAGAGGTGTGACATCGTAAAAAAATACTCGTTAATACTCTGTTTGTAGATCATAAAAATTATTACTAAAATATCTTTGTATTATAACCAAACTAAACAGAATCTGTAAACGAAGAACGGCTTATTTGAACAGTGAATTTTATTTTTATGGCGATTAGTAATAAATAATTTATACTTATTACATATATTGTAATCAGGGGTTGAAAATCAAGTTATTTTGAATTATTTCCTAAAATTATTGTTCACAAAAAAATTCATTGCAATGGCTGCAAGTGATTTTCAAGACCAAAAAGTATTATTACTTGATTCTTTGCTTAGTTGTTGTTACTTTGCATGTATGTTTCTTTTCTTACATTATAGTGGAAATATGTATAATATTGGGTCTTATAAATTTATTTATATTCTGGCTACTATATTACTTAGTGAAATAATTAAAGTTTCTCTAAATTTCATTCAACCAAACAAATCATTGGAAAAAAAGTCAGATGCATCAGCAAAATATAACAAATCTTTCATGCCATCAGCAAAAAATATTGTTAAGCTGGTTATTGCATTTATTATATCAACTGCTATTTATTATATTATAATAGTATTTTTTGGTGCACCAATATTCACACATCATGAAGAAACATTTGTATTAGCTCTGACGTTAACAACGTTAACTCTCATTCCTACAGCTTTACATATTGGAATTGATAATGTGATTGTAATATTGATTCAAACAAATACTCCTGTTTATATGAATGTAAGACTTGTAAATACTGTGAAATTTCATGTAATGGTAGTATGGTTTGGCACTTGGTTGGGTGCTTTTGTACTACCCTTGGATTGGGATAGAGAATGGCAAGCATGGCCAATACCATGCATGTTGGGAGCATTGATCGGTTATTTTATAGGAAATTTTATAACTATTATAAAGACTAATTTGTACTTTTTAAAAAAATTGAAAAAGTCGAATATGGTTTAATAAAAATATTTTAAGAAAAATTATAAATCTTTTTTACTACAAACAACTCTTTTATTATTTAATTTTAAAACTTTTAAGCTCACATTTGTATTAAATAATATTTCAAACAAAAACTAAAGTTTCATGTAAATGTTGGCATTCAATTTTTGACTGCATATAAATTGTTTCATTGATTTTTGACATCAAACTACTTTGAGGAAATTAAATATTGCGAAAAAGTTATAATATAAACAAATAAATAAATCAGTCTATTAACGTTATCGACCATTTTGGACGATATAATCTGAGAAAAATTCTAAATGCTAAAAAATTAATTTAAATTTGATATTTGAAACCTAATAAAAAGTAAATAAACATAGGTAAATATGACACCTACTTTGCCCCGCATAGGGAAAACTCGGAGGCCTTAGAGACATCATGTATCTTCGCTGGGTTTTCGCTGTTATTGTCTGCGCTGTGTGTGCATTCAGTCCTATTTCATGCACTTAAATGCATATAGGTATTTCCCAACTTGCCATCTTAGTCATCGCAGAAAAAAAATCAGTTACGAATTACAAATTAGTGGACAGCCGATCATCATAATAAAATACTTGAATCATTTGAATTTTAATAACATTGAGTGCAGACAATATTATTTAGATCATTTATGATCCAAGACTTACAAAGATGCGACGCAATACAGTATAGTAGGCAATAAAAGCTTTATTTTTACTCCCTCAATCTAAATTTGCAACGCGATAATATTCAGGTTATATCAAATAACACTTCATGCAATGAATTATTTTGTGAAACGATATTGAAAAGATTGTTATTTACACCTGTCAGTGCGTTACATCACATAATAAAATGTTGACGAAAAACGTTAGTGGAGCTTGTTTCAGTGACAAAAAGTCACTTCCCATAGACACTGCTTGTTTCAGTGTTTTAAATCAGAATAAACATCCTGTTACACTATTTAGCAGCTTTTACGACTGTGTACTGGTAAATTTCTTTTTTCTTGTCTATATTTATTCCGAAATGTTTTGCTCTATGTATTTGCAATTTGCACTTTTACAGTGTGATGGAGATCCAATAGACATTGCAGCCAATGAAAATTTAACAATCCAAATATCTACAAAGTATCCACTTCAAATTCATTGCAATGATAGCACAGCGACAAATTCATTTCAGGAATGCAAGTAAGTATATAAAAATATGTCAATGACGATCTTTTTTCAAGAAGATTAATAAAACACTTTTAAAATTTCCCTCTTTCATATTATTTAGTAAAACATTTAGCTTCCAACAAAATGGACGGTATGGTTGGAATATATCAGAAAATGGGAAGTGTTCTGAAATTTATACTTTGTATGAACCCTTCAATCCATATTTGCGTAAGTAAAATTATACGATGATTTTATCAATATTAAATTTTAAAATATTCTTCATTTTCATAGCTCTTCTTGCTGCCTTAATGGTTTATTTTCTTGGATTTTTGGTACTGTTCACATCTAGAATGATCGTTAATGTTGTCAAAACATTTATAACACGATCAACAGAAGCTAATGATGTATGTGAAAAATTTAATTTTTTTAAACCAAAATATTTATACATTAATGCAAACATTTTTTTCTTCCAGGATTTAGACAGGTTACAAGAAACAGAATCAAGTCCTCAACTACTTACAGTATCTAAAACAAGTATGAGGCAACATGCTTTGGATGCTTTTCGTGGGTAGGTATATATTATTCTTTATACATGACAGGGTACTTAATTAATTTTATATTTCTTTAGTATTGCTGTTCTATTGATGATATTTGTAAATAAAGGAGGTGGAGAATATGTGTTTTTCAATCATGCTCCATGGAATGGCCTCACTGTTGCAGATTTAGTTTTACCATGGTAAATAATAGTTGTAAATGAAGACATATATATTTTAATATTAAAATTTAATATTAATCTTTTTAGGTTTGCCTGGTCAATGGGTTTTACCATCGTAAAGTCTGTTAGGATTCACCTTAGAGTATCAATATCTCGAACTAGGCTCATATTAAAGCAATTTCGCAGAGCAGTTTTACTAATTTTTTGTGGCTTACTTATTAATTCTCAACATAATTTTCTACATAAGACTCCATTGTCAGAGTTAAGAATACCAGGTGTATTGCAACTATTGGCTTTTTCATATCTTATTTGCTCTTTGGTTGAAACTTGTTGTGCTAGTGCACAAAGAACATACCAGTTTAGACGATTTGTATTCTTGCAAGACATTTTAGAAAGATGGACCCAATGGATAGTTATTCTTGTAATAATAATATTCCATACTTGCATAACATTTTTACTGCATGTTCCTGGTTGCCCAAGAGGATACATTGGACCAGGTGGATATCATCATCATGGTGAATACATGAATTGTACTGGTGGAGCTGCTGCTTACATTGATAAACTTATATTTGGTAATCATATGTATGCTAAGAAGACCAATTTGATTTATGGACCTGTATCTCCCCATGATCCAGAAGGTATCATTTTGTTTGACAGAATAATAACTTTTACAAATTGTTTTTCTAACTTAATGTTTTTGTTTCAGGATTGATCAATTCAATATCTGCCACGCTTATAGTTTTCATGGGTGTTCAAGCTGGTAGAATATTTGTTACGTACTATCAATCTAATGCAAGAATTATCAGATGGGTTGCATGGTTTATAATTACTGTATGTAGATTTTTATGTATTTCTATTGGGTCAGTTTCTTTTAATAATTTTATTCATGAAATTTTTATGATTACAGGGACTCATGGCTGGCATTTTGTGCAATTTCAGCAAAGAAAATGGAGTTATACCTGTGAATAAAAATATGATGTCATTATCATTTGTACTATGTACATCAAGCTTTGCATTTTTATTATTTGCAATTTTATATTATGTGATTGAGTATAAGAAATGGTGGGATGGATCTCCATTTATTTATGCTGGTATGTCAAATGAATTGTATTATTATTCTGGTATTAGGCAAAAATATTCTAGTCTTTATTCTGTTAACATTTAATTTTTTCCCAGGTGCCAATCCAATTTTATTATATGTAGGTCATTATCTGACATCAGGGCTATTTCCATTTGAATGGAATATAAACGGAATTCCTACTCATACCTCTGTATTGGCAATGAATTTATGGACAACCACTTTGTGGACAGTAATAGCTTATATTTTGTATAAAAAAGAGATTTTGATAGCTATATAAGGTTTAACTACAATTCAATTAAATTGGAAAAATGTTGGTGTTACCTAAAAAAAGAAGCCTTGTATTTTGAAAGAGAAATTTTCTCAGTTGATTGTGATAAAAATGTTTAATTCAAAAAAGAAATGATTATGTTCTAGTTTATCGTTTGAGCCTATAATTTTCTTCAAAAGATAGTCATCAATAAGTTTTTATTTTTTATTCACTGCTTCATTATATTATTATGAAGCTTATCATATTCTTTATGAGATTGAATTCAAGCGTTCTTTACTTATTATTCACTGCTTTATATCATATACAATGAAAAGAATTATTTTTATATTACCTGTTGAATATAACAAAAATAGTTTTTGTAATAATAGTCAAATAAATATAAAAACTTCAAGCTAAAGGATATCTTACATTTATTCGTTCATTTTTATTCATTCGTCAAATAACAAATATTACTACTCAATACGTTCATTCAACATCAGTTACCTTGAACGAAAATTGATGGTTTTGATTTTCGCGGGGGCTTTTAGCAGAAGAACGATGGCTCTTCTCTTTATTGGCCCTTATTGAGTCTGCTAGCAGGCTATCGAGCTGCCACTAAAGAACTTGCTGTCCCTCGTATCTCATATTAGGATGGTCTATGCAATCTCAAATCTGTGTCGAAAAAACAACGTGCAATGTGTACTACCGGCGCAACCCAATGACAGGTGCAAAAGTACCATTACTGTTTGAACGAAATATTAAGACGAAACTGAAGTAAAGTTGCAAAAAGTAAAAAAGAAACTTAAATATTGTAATCAATGCAAATTAAAGTAAAAGCAGCAATGAAAAGCACATGAATTAGTTAATTTTGCGAATTTTACTTAACCTTTAAAAGCAATATCGAAGTGATAATAGTGCCTCATTATTTTGATTTACTTTGTCGATTTATATAGTCATTACATATTAAACAACTGATTTTTCAGTGAAGATGGAAACTGGTGAATCAAATATCGATCAAATGTCAGAATCAATCAAAAACGTTTCTTCCGAGGAAAAGTTGGAAGAAAAACCAAATTTGATGGATACCTCGGAAGACGTCCCAGAAATAAAACAACAATGTCCTTTCAAATTTACATCGATGGATATCGATTCCACTCCTCACAGTCAATCTACTTCTACTCAAAGAGACATGGAAAGTACCACAATTCTAGAAGATGCTTCACACAATGAATTAAGACATTTTGATGTTTTGGATGATTTGGAAAGTCATGCCAACATCAATGAGTCCGATTCTGATGAATGTTCAAATGATAGTTTGGACTCAGATGTTCCTGATGATGAAATTGAAGCAATGCTTGAAGAAAATTTACCTGATGAATTTAAGGGTAAGCGTGCAGAAGGTAGTAAAGATGAAATGGATTATAAACAGACTGAAAAATTAATTCTAAATGAAATTGGACATAATCATTTTGATATTTTGCCAGAAGGATGGGTGCAGGTAATTTATTAAATTCTAAATTTTATTAAAAACTAAATTTGCAATAAAATAATAATGTTTCATCTTTTTATTTTAAGGTAACCCATAATAGTGGTATGCCATTATATTTACATAGACAAAGTAGAGTATGCACCTTATCAAAGCCATATTTTCTTGGACCAGGCAGTGTTAGAAAACACAATGTGCCTGTAAGTGCTGTTCCATGTTTACAATATAAAAGGGCATTGAAGGAACAAGAAGAAGAAAAGCAAAAAGAAATAGAACGATCAGAAGCCCAAGGTTGCACTCTACCAAATGCTAAAATTGAAACAATTCAAGAAAATAGAGAAACTCAATCGCTTGATGGTAATAGCCTTAGAGAATATTGTATGTCACTTTTTAAATTCAAATCAATAAAAGTGATGAGATTCAAATCTTGGTCCCAAAGAAGAAAGTATACCAAAAATAGAAAACACAGAAAACAATTAGAAAGGCCAACACTACCAGATGGTACTAAATTAATAACATTTCCAGTGGCAAAAAATGTTAATTATTCAGGTAATGCAAATCAAGAAGATGATTCTACTGGCAGGCCTCCTAAGCATTGGATTATGAATCCATCAGGGAAAAGCTATGTTTGTATTTTACATGAATATGTACAACATGCTTTAAAGAAACAACCAACTTATAAATTTAAGGAACTTGAAAATGCTGCAACACCTTACTCTGCAGTTGTATCAATTAATGAAATGGAATATGGTAGCGGTTTTGGTAGTAGTAAAAAACAAGCTAAGGCAAATGCTGCAAAAAAGACTCTTGAGATTTTGATTCCACAAATGAGAGATAAAATTTCTGGTGCTGCAGAAGAAGAAAATAGTTCATCTAATCCTGCTCAAACTGATAAAGCCTCGAAGGTTAATTCAGACACAGATTTGTCTTTTTTTGATGAGATTTCCATCAATGACCCAAGAGTAGCAGATTTCTGTATTAAAACTACAGAGCCTTCTCCACATGCTATTTTAGTTACTTGTTTGCAAAGAAACTTTGGGCATGGAAATATGCACATTGACTATTCTGTTAATACTTTAAAACATCAACGTAATGAATTTAAAATGAAAGTAGGAAAACATGAGGCAACTGTTATTTGCAGAAATAAAAAAGATGGTAAACAAAGAGCTGCTCAAGCAATTTTACAACTTTTACATCCACACATTCATTCATGGGGCTCACTACTTAGATTATATGGATCTAGAAGTGTTAAATCTTTTAAGGAAAAAAAGCAATTAGAGCAAGAAATTACTTTGCTTCAAGGTAAAGCATCAGTTAATCAACCAAATTATGCTATATTAGATAAATTGAGACTTGAAATGAAAAAACTATCAGACCAAAGGGAAGCAGTTAAACCTATTGGTACATTTATTCCTCCAGATCTACCAACTGGTTCCGCAGCCAATTTGAATAACGTTGATTTGTAAAATTCTGTAATTTTTATGAAATATTTTGTGAGAGGCTCTCTTAGTATTCATCATTTGCAGATTGAAATTCCATACCTTTACAAATTTGCATATTTTTATTTTGTTAGTATAAATTTGATTAGAAAAAATGAGTCTTGTACATCAAAGTAGAAAACAAGTTTATCATTAAGAATATTTTCAATTCTTTTTCAACATTGTAAATAAAAGTAGTTATTTGTACATTTGTAAAAATAAAAATTTTGTAGAAAATGCAATAAATCAGTATTACAAAAAATTGTTCACTTTATTTTCATTGACAATGCTTTGACATTATATTCATCTCACAAGAATAGTTTGCAGCATTTGCTTAAACAGTTGAGAAGATAACAACATTTATAAGAAACTTGAAACACTTCAGTTTCATTTGTTGGCTGTTAAACATTTTTTACAAATAGATTTAAATATTTATAATTCATTAATTTTTGATCTATTAACAATTATATTGATAATATATTTGAAAGATGATTTCCTCTTAAAAGATTTTTGTAAACACTTTAACAGTAGATCTTAAATATTTAGGAACAATGTAAATATAAAATCTTTTAGTCCAATGAATAAACTATTTGAAGTATAAAACTGTGACACAATTTAATGAAAATTTTACTTCTAAAATTTCAATATAAAATACAGTACTTCATTTAATTCTTCAATGTAACATTATAACAAAACGTGAATGACTTGAAATTCTTTTTACAACATTCAAAATTATAAAACAACAGTTCCAAGGTATATGTAGATTAGGGTATCCCTTGATTTCCAAAATGATAAATTCCCATTTCCTCGTCCACACATTGGAAGGTGTTAATGAAAAAACTTCAATTGTAGGCCCAGAAAAATTACAATTTGAAAAAGTTGAAGTTGAGGCTATTTTCATTTCTAGATCGAATGAAATGTTCAAAAGCGCGGATGCGGGATTCCATGCAACTTAGAAAATGAGGGACATCCTAATATATATAATTCATTGTACTAATCAACAACGATATAAGATGAATACTAACTATTATATACATTCTAAATTAATAAGTTTCTTCTGGACGGACATCTACAATTTTAAGTTGAACAAAGTAAGGTTTTTCTAAAAATATTAACTGTCATGTACTCAGAGCTGTGACTAAATTGATTGGCAATCATAATTGAGGAGGACATTTTTCATGCTGTTTGGATAAGTCTAATCTCTCTTGGGTTCTCTTAAATATTTATATAGGCACACGACTATAAGTAGCATTACTGTTTGTACAAGTACAAAAAATAATAAAAACAAGAGAAATTAATAATGCAGCTGCCAGGGAATAAAGATACAGCCAAAGTTGTTTAAATCTGTCTGGTAACCATAGAATTGTAAAATCTAAAGTTTTTTCTTGAGTATCTGAAATAAAATTATTTTACATAAATGAAATATTTTGATTTTTAATTAGTACATTTAAGTACATTCATGAATTTCCCAAAGTTTAATGACCCTTACCTATATAAGCTAAACCATATCCCATATTTTTAGTTCCCATTCTATAAGAGCACGTTGGTATCTGTAATTCATGTACGTCACCCATATCAAGTCTCAACTGATATAAAGGAGTTTGATGAGGTGGGAGAACCCAGACATCACTGAGCTGATCAGTTGCAGTATCTAAACTCATGTGCATAGCTTTGTGATCATGAGCCGTAAATATAATTTGAGGTGACAATTCTTTGAGAACCTATGAAAAATTAGAATGACTGAGATTTATACATTTGTATACTTTAATTCTTCAATACTTAAATACGATTATACCTACGTTTTGAACAAAGGACCCTGGTGTAAACAATAGAGGAAGATGACTGAGGACAATATTGGTAGTATTCCGTTCAGTGTAATCGTTAAGAAATGCCTCTTTTGGAGCAGGAGGAATTGATTTTGTTAATCTATTTACCTAAAAAAAATTAATTAACATTTTTAAATACTTCTTTTAACTGTTATTCAGTTTATATTACCTTGAAAAAGGTTGTTGTACTATAAACTAAAGTATCTGGCTGGGTATAGGCATAATTGAATCTTTCATGAATTTGAGAAGAAACCATATCTTCTTCCCCTCCTATATCATTATCGCCAGGAATATAAATTTTCTAAAGAACAGTAAAAGGAGTTTAATTATCATGTATATTTAAAATGAATTAATAAATTGAACACTGTTACCATTGTATTTTCAGGAGTATCAAAAATGTTTGAAAACCTTCTTTTATATTTTTCAAAATCTTCAACGGAAGCAATATGACCCTCATCCATTATGTCTCCAAGAAATACAATAACATTTGGTTGTACTCTATCTACAGCTCTGCTAAAGGTCTTCTTTAAATATCTAAATTTATATTTCTATTAATTTTTATAATGAATTGTGATTTAAAATAAGTAATGAAACAGTACCTGTCACTATCCCATATAGCCCATGATGACCCTTTGTAATTTTCATTTTTATATCCAAGTATTTGTGGATCTGCTACCAATAATACGGAAACACAGTCTGCACATTTTTGTACAGACCATCTGAAGGCTTGAATGTCATATGCAAGAAATTCATTGTAAAGGACTATCAGTCCTAAGAATGCAACAATAAAATAAATTTTATGTTTTGTTCTGAAACAAAGATACATTTTACTTGAGTTTGTGGGTTTTAAGTCATTAGAGTGTTGAATCTTAATGGCTTGACAATGCGTTCGTGCATTGGAGCACCAAGTCAAACCTTACAATAAAAACAAATGAAAAAAAAAACAACAACATTCAAGTATTAAGTTAAACCCGTCAATTAAGGTTAATTGCATAAGAGTGCGTTAGCCCCGATGGGCACGATGTATTTATACTCGAGTGTATACGGTATACAGAGGGTGAAAAAAAATATGCTATAAAATAAATTACCTTCCGTTTCGACGTATCATTTCACGTGAAATCGTTTGCTTTGTAATGAGTGAATATAGTAAGGTATAAATACCCGAGGGCTGGCATAATCGTATAAAATATGAGTACAAATACGATTTAATGTCACATTTTGGAACGTGCAACGGGCGATACTAAGTTCCGCTGTCGACGATCTAAATTTACGCATATAGATGTATCTATATATATCTATATGCGCCTCGATCAACACTATGATGATAAAAAGTTTAAAAATAAATCTTTAAAACGTGAAATCTTTAGCTTATTGAAACAAACGTTTTTTGAAATTCGATCACGAATTTCTCGTTCTTTTTAAGCAAATAAATGTTGAGCTTTTTTTATTAATTATTAACGTATTTGCAAAAACTAGAAGATGTTGCAGTACGCATGAATCGAAAAAATGTACCCAACTCTCTACAATACGCTCTTACATTTATGTTTTACACAGTTCAAAATCATGTTTTTGTTTTCATAATCTTCAAGGGTTGTTATTTGTCAATATTTCAAAGGTGCAGTAGAAAATAGATAGTGCGCATTCAATCTAGGGATATTTCTGTTAAAAAAAGACGAAATAGCGACTGGCCAATGATTGAATGATTTATAAATATGAGTATGCAATTCTATATATCGAAGAAAGTAATTGTACCAATCATTAAGATGAATTCGAATTAATACATTTTTTAATCAGTAAAATCCTAAGTATAAAACCATAACAGTCAAATTTCCCTGCACAAGAAAGCCCTCGAGCGCTCAACAAGTAAGTAGTAACAATCGTGTTCTACGTATGCACGAACTTCTCAAGTAGGCTCAATTGCAGATGACTCTGTGTGGGCTTTGCTGTTAAGTTGTTGTTTACTTGCTATGTGCTTCATTATTTAAAAATTTAGATTAGAAAAGAGCTTAATAAACAGACCACACGATTACAAAGCGCATAAGAGCTGCGCAATCCATTTTTTCTGGTCGATATTTTCTTTATTTATTTTTTGTCAATAAAATAGCGTTTAGTATTAAATTGTATTTCGCCGCTCTAATAGTAAGTACCCTTACCTACACACAAATACGCGTAACGCGAGTCGCGAAGAGAAAGATACTGACAAGTCTGTACTCGTGCGACACCGGTGCCAAAGATCTTGTTGTATAGGGTAGGAATAATTGTAGTTTTGTATGTTGTAAATAAACATCTGTGCACATCGTACTAAGTCGCGCGGCTCAGTCACTGACTGATTCGTCGATGTTTTTCCTAAGTTATCTATTCAGTATCCATAGAACGTTGTAGAATTCGTAGGGGTTAAGTGTCGATCTTATTGTTGACGTTGAATTCCAAGTTTTAAAAAGCCTTAGAGCTGTAGGTATTTATACATTTATAACGGAAATTAATATTAACCAAAAAAAAAAACAGTCAAAATGTTACAGTTCATTCAGCAAAATATGGTGGAGCCAATGCAGGTCGATGCACCACCCGAGGATAATGACAACACCGAGGAGGATCCCTTTATCGTGGAAAATCCTACACTGGTTTGTGAATCAATAAATCCTATTGCATATGCACAATATTTTAGAATCAAATAATGATTTCTTTTCTTACTTTTACAGGATTTAGAAGTTTATGCTAACAGTTATACAGGACTTGCTAGGTTGTTTCGACTAATATACATTGCTGATCATTGTCCATCATTAAGGATCGAAGCTCTTAAAATGGCCATTAACTATGTTATGGCAACATATAACGTTTCTATGTATACAACTCTGCACAAAAAACTTGCTCAAGCTGTAAGTGCTCCAGTTTTACCAGATGTAGCAGTTCAATCTACGTCTCAAGATATACCAACAATTGATCAAGCTTGGGTAGATTCACGTTCTAAAAAAGCTGCTATGAAGTTAGAGAAATTTGATACTGACCTCAAAAATTATAAAAGTAATTCAATTAAAGAGAGCATCAGGAGAGGTCATGATGATTTGGGAGATCATTACTTGGATTGTGGCGATTTAGTTAATGCACTCAGGTGTTATTCTAGAGCTAGAGATTATTGCACATCTGGAAAACACGTTGTCAATATGTGTTGGAATGTACTCAAAGTGTCAATATACATACAAAATTGGACACATGTCTTGAGTTATGTTACCAAAGCTCAAAATACACCAGACTTTCCAGACTTGCAAGGAAAAGAAAATAATATGGGTATAATAACAAAGTTGAAAGTTGCTGCTGGATTAGCTGAATTAGCCACTAGAAAATATAAAACTGCAGCTAAACTATTCCTGCAAGCATCTCTTGACCATTGTGATTTTCCAGAAATTTTATCTCCTGGTAATGTAGCTTTATATGGAGGACTGTGCGCTCTAGCTACTTTTGATCGGTTGGTACTCTTAGTATATTTATTTAATTATTAGTTATCTTCATTATCATTAAAATGAAAAATTTTTTAATCAATCAATTATTTTAGGTTTGAACTTCAAAAACAAGTTATATTCAGTGGGTCATTCAAATTATTTTTGGAATTAGAACCACAATTGAGAGACATCATTTTTAAGTTTTATGAATCAAAATATGCATCTTGTTTAAAACTCCTTGATGAAATTAAGGATAATATTTTGTTGGATATGTATATTGCACCACATGTCAATATGTTGTACACTCAAATACGTAATAGAGCTTTGATACAATATTTTAGTCCATATTTGAGCGCTGACATGAGACGCATGGCAACTGCATTTAATCGTACTGTGCCTGCTCTTGAAGATGAACTTATGCAATTGATCCTTGAAGGTCAAATTCAAGCTCGTATTGATTCTCATAATAAGGTGAATTTAACTAAATGGTGTTTTATTGAATAATATTCCAGAAATGATAATTTTCATATATTTTTCTCAGATTTTGTACGCCAAAGATGTGGATCAGCGTAGCACAACTTTTGAAAAGTCCATTTTGCTTGGTAAAGAATATAGACGACGTACAAGAATGTTGATTTTAAGAGCAGCTATGCTGAAACATAATGTTCAAGTCAAGGTATAATTTTAATGTTTATTTTTTTTTAAAACTTCAATTTAATAATTGATAAACCATTTATTGTAAACAGCCTGATCCAACCTATGACCCTAATTATGCATGAAATTAAAACTAAACGCTACTTGCAAAAGTGGCAAACATTGGTGATTTTTGTGGCTGTTAAATATCATGAAAATTTTGCAGATGTCTTTTTGAGAACAGATCCTCATTAAATTTTTAAAAAATGTTGAGGCTGATTTTTATGTGTAGATATTTTGAAATAAGTTTTTTTACATGAGAAAATAATGTTTCTTCACTTTTATCAATTGCCAAGGTGCAATTATGCTACTGTTACATTTGAAATGTAACAGTTATATTAATTATATTAGCCTGTATGATTGACTGAAATTTATGAGATTTTTTTTATCCTTTTACTGTAATTGTATAAGTAATACCACATATGTCAAAAATGATAGATGAAACATTTTTTAAAAGTCTAATAAATGACAGAAATTTTTTCACTGAATTAATTACTTTTTTTCCAGTGTCCAACAGTAAATAGTAACCTAAATTCCGATATGTCAATAGGATCTGGCTCAAGTTCACATTCATTACCAAGAAATTAATATGATTGCCTAGAGAGCAGTTTTAAAAAGAAAAATGCACCGTTGCTGAAAATAAACGGATACTTATATTGTCATGTTTGACTGAACAACAATGCAAGAAGACTATACAAGAAGTTCAATCACTCATGTATATAAAATGTAAAGGTCTCTTGTAATGATGAAAAATCGTTTAAAATGAAAACTTGATTTAACAAAATTTGCCGTCTGTACAACAAGACCATATTTTATTAGCTTTTCTCATTGAAAACAAATTTTTTGTACAACTTTCTATGTAGTATTTGAAATTGAATTATTACAGTTTATTATAATCTTAAAATATGTTACGACTTTATATCTAACCGAATCAGTTGAGAATAAATGCATTTTAATAGTTAAGAAATGATTAATTCAAAAGACAGTATAAATCCCGCGCATCGTAGTCATCTATAAGCGCCAAAAAAGGGATTCTTGAGTTGAAAAATAGCGTTATTGCGAAGCTACCTTCAATCAAACTGAAAACTGATAAGTAACACGCTTGCGCGAGGCAATAGCGAAGCCTCAATTACGCTGTCTAACACATTCAAAGTAATCTCCAATTTTTTTTTGTAAAAAAAAAAAAAAAAAAAAAATGACTCGTATACTCTTTCTAATTGCTAACGATATTGGTGTGTGATTGACTTTATCAAGAATAAATTCGGTAAATAATTCCAATCATCGAGCAAACTTTTGTCACAAAGCGACACACAGCTGGCGCGTTGAAAGTCCAGATCGTGACGTCATCTCGCGATATCCCAATAGGCAAATCGGCCCTGTGTGGCAGCAGTTCTGCGCGTCCAGAGTGGTGGGTGCGTAGTAGTTGCTGCTAGGGCCGCAGTTTCGCAGCGCAGCAGCAGCAGCAGCGGCAGCCGCGCGCCGACGTCGTCGTCGTTTTCGCACTCGCACGTCGCTGATCGCGTATTTTATTCGCGTTGCGCTAGATAGTAGTCGTACACACTACGGCGACGAAAACGTCGTACGTGCATACACAATACCATAACTAGGCTGCGCTTCGCCAAAGTTCTCCAGTGTCTATTTACACGTTATACGCGCGATACATTGAAGGGGCCTCTCTCTCTCTCTCTCTCTCGATATAATTGTACGCCGAGGAAAGTCCGATAGTGTATTCGGCGCAGTGCGGATTCACGAGCATAATTTACTACACGTATATATACCTACGACGTAATTAGTGTGCAATTCAGTGTGCAAAATTTTTCGCTAATTCTAATACAAAGCTCGTATATAAAACAGGCTGAATACGCGTGTGCCTCTTGGTTCGTTTTGCTTCAGTGTTTGCGGGCACATCGTCATTATCGTCATCGCACACACTGTAGAGGAGAGAGATAATCGAGCGTAAGTAGTTTTACGCAGAGAGGAGTCAGGCGCGGAGTGCTGCTTGGCGAGGAGGAGCGAATCCCAACCACGGATTTATCGAGCAGTAGTGGAGCTACCCGTGGACAAATAAGCCGAGCCATGTTCTCGGGTCTGACAAGTCAGGTATCGAGCTGGATGGGCAAGAAGGAGGACGGCAGCGAGGATCCAGCCTCGGCGGCTGCTGATCCGAACTTGGCCGGAGGAGCGGGTGACGGCACCGAGGCGACCGATCCACTTGCCGCTGGAAGGTTAGAGTCTCCGTCACGCATTTGATATATCTACGAATCAGCCCCCCGAGAGACCCGCTGGCAATGTCATCGTTTCCACGCGACAATAACAACGACCAGACACCCGATCCGAAACGAAAAGCAGAGGCTTTGTTTTGATATTTCGATTTTTTTTCTGGTTTTTTTTTTTTTTTTTCATTTTTTCATCTCATGAACATTCTCGATGACAGCTCGGACTCGCGGCTGCTGCCACTTGTCATTCTTTTGCGCTCGCTGTGTCGTTTACGCGTACAACATCGTCTGCTACGAGCGAGAGAGAAACGAGTGCGAGAAAGATGGCGAATGAAGTAGAGAGGAGAGAGAGGCGCGCAATCAATACCCTTATGCTACATAGGTACACAGACACAAACACATTCTTCACGAGCACTACTACCAGCAGCAGCACCACCACCACCACCAGCACCACCGCCACTACCAGCCCTGCTGTTGCGCGTGTACGATGTACAAATTTTTTTCGAACGAAACGAACGTTATAAGAGCTAGACTGTGTCGACATGCTCGAGAGTAAATTTTTGCTAAAATGTCACTGGCTATAGAATGCTACGAAACTATGACTTTGTTTTCGGGCGCTTTCACACAAAGTGTGCGTATCGAGCGTTGGCTTTTTGATGCAACAAACCATTCGTACGTGTCGTTGCTCATGAAAATTTGCGATGCTTTATTCATACAAACGAACTGCTACACGTACATTATGCAAAAGATATAAGTGAAGTGAGAACAAACTTGCACATGCATACAAACGCATACACTTTCAACAGAAAGGCTATATAATCGTATCGATCGCTTTTTACTAGAGAGAGAGAGAGAGAGAGAGAGAGTAACTCAAAGTCTAAGAGGAGAGCTTGGACTTTTAACACACGGGCACACAAAAGCAGACGGAATCGTTGGCTCGAATTTACCACCTCAGTTTCTCGCACGAACGTTCCTCCGAATCCTCGACTCGCGTGGATACACTTGGACTTGGAAAATTCGGAGCAATATCTCGCTCATAACGCGTCAGTTTGGCGAGAAACGATCGCTCGAGAAACTCGCCAAAATGATATAATCGAGCCAATACCGAGACACAACGAATAATACAGAGAAATGTCTGCTTGTCCTCCAGCATTATTGAATGGAAGACTCGTTGAATAATCGAGCTCTTTATTATTATTCCTTTTTTTCTCGCGATATATATAATATGTGCATTATACATTCATTATATTTAGCGAGAGCTCGAAAAAAAAAAATCAATCCGAGATGGGCAGGGTATAGATACGAAAGTCGAAAACTCAGACACACACGCACGCGTGGACTTTTGTGTTATGTAGCTTATATTCAATATGTCAGAGTAGTATGTGCATTCGTACACACGCATCGCTTATAAATACGCGAAAAGCACGAGTCAGCTTTGGTATAATTGAAAAATAATCATGTTCAATTCGTAATATCGAGTTGGTGAGAGACGAAGCTTGGCGCAGGGGTGAAAAAAAAGGTCAGCTCGAGCCAGTTCGAAGATGTTGATTTTTTTTCTGCTCCCTCCTGTACGAGAAGCGGGTTAATAATTGCGCCTTTTAACGCGAGCAAGCAGAAAACTCGGCTTAATCTGCAATTTTGCCTGCGCCGCGGTTGAAATTCGGTAAACGAGAGCCGCTGGCTCGAGCTGGCTGCAAAATTCGTACAGTACGCGATATGGATTGGAGATTTTACGAGCTCGCAATTAAAATTTTGCCCGTACAATGCCGGGAAGTATCGGTTCGGTTTCAGCGGCAGCAGTTTTACTCTTTTTCCTTTATATTCGTCGAATCGATTATATTACTCTGGCTCTTTTGCGGAGAGAGAGAAACGATCACACGTATAATACGTTTTTATACACGCTTGACCATGAACTTTTTCTATAACTCTGCCGAACGATATACATGTATACGTACGAAAGTATATCGATATAGACATATATATCTGAAATATCAATTCTCGTGGCTCGAAAGATTACGAATAATATATGTTTTCACGTGACGCGCATACGCGCAAAGAAAAAAGAAAAATATCTCGTCGACGGACACGAGAGATTGGGAGACTCACCCTTTTGAGTCTCCGACGCAATTATATCCCAATGTAATGGCTTTTATGAAGCACGCGTATCGCTCGCGAACGCGCGCCAACGTGATGGCTTATAAATGAGTGCCTCGTACATATATTATGCTATTGCGCCAATTAATAACGGTTCATTACTCATAGGTACACGTGAATTATACACGGCTGCACTAATGAAAGCCAAGAGCGCTTAATGCATCGAATGCCGATGGAGAGCTTTTACGCTCACACCCGCGCGTGTGCTGACGCTTTATGATTTTAATTTTAGGCCCCCGTACGCGCGCGTATACACAGTTACTCCCTTAGCCCGAAGCTGATATGCCATGATCGCGTGTAGTATATAGAAACGGAGAGGAAGCTTGATTCCAGTGCCCGAGTCTTTATACACATCTTTATATCGTCTAACATAATTATCGGAGAATTGAGCAGCAGCCAAAAATCACATGCGCGTACAGCAGCTACTTCTTAGGCGCTCGCTGCGTGTGCCGTGCGCGGAGGCTTAGGTGAAATCGATGCCCGACTACTTATTCGTGTGCTTCTCGCGTTTCTTCTCGTCGGGGGCTATAAGCAAAAGACATCGATACTACACCAGTGAGCGCGAGATATATAACAGTCAACGAGTCGTGTATATATATTATAAAATGTATACATGTAACGTGTATATATCGGCGTTGCTGCAGCAGATGTTTCGTCGATCGATTTTCCTTGACGCTTTGGAAAATGACTCGGGCGCGCTCGAGCTAGAGAGATTATCCGTTTCATAACGCGGCTATAGACGCGTACAGTGCATTCCGCATTTCCTCTCGTGCCATTATGTTTATTAGATATCGAGGGAAATGCGCGCGCGCGCGTATTATATTATAATCTTCGGCAAAGGGTGTTTGATCGGGGCCCTGACGGATTACGTCCGCGCGTGATTTATCGTCGCAGGCGCGCGATGATATAAGCGCGCTGAGTGCGTGTGACCTATTACACGACGGCGACAAATTCACTTTATCACTCTCTCGAGCAATTATATATCGGTGATGCAACCCTTGTTCGCTTGAGAAAATTGAAAAAAAACAACTACTCGATTTTAAAATTGGTTTACATTGCATCTAACTGTTTTTTTTTCTCTCTGTCGTCCAATTCCAGCAGCCCGACGAAGGGCAGCAGCAAACTGGAGATGCTGGCGGGCGTCAAGAGCCAGGTGGCCTCGTCGATGAGCGGCTGGCTCAGCGGCGGCATACCCGGCCTGAACCGAGCTGGAGCCGCGACCGAGGCCGGGGACACGGCCACGGCGACGGACGCCGACGCGACACAGGCCACGACACAGGCGCAGGCAACAGCATCCAACGAAAATGTAAAAGACGATGATGCTAGCAGGTGGGTTGCAGGGTACGTGTGATTATGCCAGCGACCAGCCGTATATAATTATGAAATCAGTTTCTCCTGTATCTTTGGCGCACCGTATTTCGAGATATATTATGCATAGAAAGAAATCGAAAACGAAACAAAAAAAAACTCGTAAAAGCTCGCCTGTGCAATGCCAAAAGTTCGTATCAACGCCTAAGCTACAACTGCCCATGTATTAATAGCAGATCGTTGGGACTCCTTATTTCTTTCAATTATTATTATTACTATATTTTAGTTGTGTGTTATTTTTCATCACGAAAATTTGCCTAGGCTACTGTTACTTTTCTTTCATTTTTTGTATTGTTATTTGCAACGTTTTCGATATTTTGTAAAGCACCTCTTAAAATTCGACAGTATAATACTTTGTAATTCAAATTTGATTGGTTTTACATTGGATTAATCGTACGCTTCTAGTACTAAGACCAAGTATTATACTTTTATTAGTGGTACAGCGTTTTTATTCAACTTTTTAAAACATGGAATTAACTTCACTACAATCATTCGTTAACTGGTCATTGGTGATTCTGTTAACAGCAATCGATTAAAGCTATTTTTCACTGAAACTGCGTGAGAATATACCAAGTACCAACGACCAATTAAATGCCAATGATAAGATTACATTTTATCTAGAAAAGTTAGATATCTCATATAAATTTCATATTAAACAAATTCACGGTCTTTTTTATCGACGCGTTTGATGTATTTACATAAAAATATGATTTTTTTTATTGCAATTTTACCAATTGAAGCGTAGATGTATATAGGCACTTAAAAATTGAATAATTCAAACGATTTTTCCATTCCGTAAATATCACTGAAGAGCCATTCGCTATCGAAAGCATTTGAAATAACATCTTTGAAACGCACCGCGATGCATAAGAAAAAAGTACACATAACGTCCGAGGTTTCCTTAACGAACAAGTGGGTTTTCATTAGTTTGTAAGGAAAGATTTTTGATAGCGCGTGAATAGGATTGCTATTTAGTCTCGTTTGCAGTTGCCTCTTGATGCACTTGGCCTAGATTATTTTATATCACGAATTGAGAAAAAAAACCCGTACGTGAATCGACACGCTCCTTTCGCTTTATTTCTAAAAAATATTTTTCATTTTCATTTGATTTTATTGCCGAAGAAACGCTGTGTAAACTTTTTTAAACGTAGTTAAAATGTTTCAACTTTGCATAATGCCGAGAGTACTTTCTTGTGTTGAAAACCGGCTCGTATAATATTTGAGGTACGATTTGGCCTAACATGTAAATTCAGAGTAAATCTTTGGATTTGAATTTAGCTTCACGACGAGAATGAGCTTTTTAAAACGTTGCTCAAGAACTTCGGTCATCAATAATGTATATCAATCCGGGATTTTCAAAAATGTTTCTTACCTTTACGAGAAAAGAGAGGGGGAGAGAACGAAAGAATAAAAGAGGAAAACGTCGAAGTACTTTTATCCTCATCGCCTAAAAGCCGATCATCCAATTAAAATCGTTCGAGCTAATTATTTTAACAGCAAAAAGCTTTCAATTGGAACGTATACCTAGTGTATTCCTTGTAAACACGATGCACCTTATAATCTACTCTTTCAATCTTTAAAGCCTCTCAAGACAGATGAATTCGAAGCGTAATCTATTATGATCGTATAAAGGCCGAGTGAAAGCGAGCGTGAGCTTTTGCCATTGTCGCGTGCTCTAACTTTGGTATTATGAATGAAAGTGAGGGATTTATCGCCCTGCAATTAGCGTCAAGTTTTCCCGAGACAGCCATATCCAAATGTATGCGATATTGATAATTAAATATGTGCAATAACGCTGAATGATTTGTGCGCATTAATTACACGTCGTCGTAGTGAATGACGACGTTCAGTGCTGAATAGAAATCGAGAGGAAGTAGGCACCGAATAATCCTGAGCTTGATTTAAGAAAGCTCGCCGTGCAAAATTCTCCACGCGTGATAGTAAAAATTACAATAGAAAAGGCGTGATACTAAAATAAAATTAAAAAAAAAATTATCGTCTATTTATAAACTTTTCATGTAATTGTGAAAATAATGAAAATCAACTGTATGTTATTAAAATGTTTTTCATTCAAATCAAAACGGGTTATCAAAGGATTTTTCTTATATTTTACGATACTTGGGCTAAATTGTATGTTACTGAAAATATTCAAGTCTAAGATAATTTCTATATTTAATTTAAGGCTGTAAACTTATTTGTATGGAAAGTAGGTAACTTATTTTCAAAAAAGCTTGAGCTCATTTCCGTTAGGATATCGGTAAAGTTAGGCTTTTTCGCCTTTAGTTTAGAAAGAAAAATATTATGGTATAAAATGTCCTCAAGTACGAGTTATCTCGTAACCTTATACTTCCAAGGTTTCTCGTTACTCTAAATTTGATTAATTTTTTGCTTAAAAATGAGCCAAAGTTTCACCTTGGATGATAAAACGTAGCCCTGAAACGAGACTTTTTACCGGGACATATCTCTCGGAGCTTGGAAATTACTTAACCGTCTAATAATTATTTAACTCTCACGCAACTCGCGATGAAAGCTGCACGCATCGAAAGTGCTGTCGCGCGCGCAATCGGCATTATCGCAGGTTTACGTCGCTTTATGCGTATCGGTTGCGCAACGTTCGAGCGAAGCAGCGGCGGCAAGCCCCCAACGAGCCTATCGGCATATTTTCGAGCAATAAACGAATAGAAATTCAAACGACCGGTATAAGGGATCGGATGAGCTTATCGAGAGGGGGATATACGGATGAGTATCGGTCATTCATTATTGCGGATTTAAAAGTCAATCGTTCGACGAGAGAGCTTACACGAGGCTCGCGTTACGTAGGCGTCATTTCGCGAAAATATTCATCCCCCCATACGCGCGCGACGTTATAGAGCGCGCGTCATGATTAGCGATTACGCAATGGAGTCGTATACATTTTGCGTGCTTCGTCGCTGCGCTCATTTTGCACAATAATATACATCTATATACTGTACATAGCATATAGCTTAGATATATTCTTTAAAGCTGATTACATGCCAGTATTACGTGGCCGTTACATACTTCCATGCTCTATCTTTCTATCATCCCTTTTGCCTAGATGTATCACAAAATTATAATAATCTCATCGTCCTTGCATATACTGCTGAATTCATATTATTATAATACACTCTGGTGCACCATCGCGTATATGGATTTCCATTTCCAACTTTATATTCACTGCAACATGTCTTTCGTGTTCTTAGCGAATAGCTTCCTCTTTCTTTGTCTCTGTATGCTCTCTTGGAAATGGAAGTCTTCGCAAAGACAGTTCTAGTCTTTTCGTCGCTTCTCTGTTTTTTTTTTTCACCTTGTATCGACGCAAACTTGCGGCTACGAATTTCATGTATGAATATTTTTCTCGCAGTGCGACCGGAGGGGCTGACAGCGTGGGTCCGGGCAGCTTGACCGGCACACCGACCGAGGACAAGGATGGACAGCAACCGTTTGGCGCGGGTAAGCCTCGCTCAATCCTCTATATTTTATCCCTCTATAATAATCTTTTAATAAAAATAATTTTTTTTCAGTTTCGACCAAGGCGCTGGCAGGAGCCAAGAGTCTGGGTGGCTTCCTTTACAGTGCCGTTAATAAGGCCGGCAAGTCCGTCGCCGAGGCAGGCGCTAAAATCAAGAAGACCGTCGAGGAAAACGTGAGTCTCCAGCCTCTCTCGCTTTATTTTTATCCCCTTCGCTTTTGCACTCGTCTGAGGCTGAAATTGGAGCGAGTGAATTATTAATGCAGTAGCTCCTGACTGTTAAATTAGAAATTTTCTGAAACGTTCGCCGTCACGAAAGATGAAAGAGTATAGCTTTGATACGATTCGTTACACGGTTACGCCTGCGTCTTAACTTTGCATTAAGGTCGGGTCCTCGTCTCGCGCGTGCCTGCGATAAGGTGAGCGCAAGTTCGTAGGCGTGTTGTTAACGGATCCGTAAAATATGTTGTTCCACAGGTAGTAATAAAGAAAAAGTGGCTCGTTCGAGGCGCGCGATGCTTGTATAGGAAGGAAGAAGATGCGTACTGCCGCGCGCGGAGTCGCGTTAGCTTGAAACTTTTAGTGCGTGAGCGCCCCGGTGCATTGTTGGTATCTGCAACTTTCATATACACTCGCGTCGCCAACCAAGAGAGCAGCAGCACTATTACAGTCAACTTTGCCCCCGTGCGCGCGCAAAAACGTGTCGACTTTTTAAGCGTGTCTTTAAATTTTTCACGAGAAAACTAGTCGGAGTGTATCGCAGGCCACGATGTTAAAAAAAAAAAAAAATAACACATACGTCGGACGTTAACCAGTCGCGAACAGTAGTAGAAAAGATAATAAGACCGTGGGTTTTAGCGCTTTAAAAATGGAATTACCACTGGAATATGGTAATGTAACATGAATAATGCCATTACGTCGTGAAAGCTATAAGACAATTTGCCGTCAAAGGCCCGGGAGCTTTATTTGCTCTTTGTCATTGTTACTTTAGCTAGAGACCAAGTTCTCTATCTTCCCTTTACACATTAAACGACGACGAAGACCTTATGGCATTATATTCGTCTTGCGCCCATCTTATTCATCCTCCTTACATCCTTTGGCAAGGGACATCTAAAAGCTGCATTTTATTAGATTAGAGCAAAACAAGTAGTAGCTGCATGCGCGACTCAAGGTTAGAGAGCGCGTTGGGGGTTGAATTCGATTCGATCGATTTCGCGTTTCAATTCATCATCTCGCTCTCTCCAGCGCGTTGACATAAAGCCGCGGTGAAAATTGCTCCGAGGTGTATTCCAGTCGCGTGTCGCAAAAGAAAAGCCATAAAAAGCGAAAAATTGTATCGCATACAATGAGCTCGCCCAAACGATTAAGAACTGGTCGTTTGGAGGCCAAAGCAAGTACAATAAAACACTCGGATGTTCTGCAGGATTTAATGGCCTCTTTCATCCTCTCTCTCTCAGTCTGTCTTTTTTTTTTTTTTTTATACTACTTGGTCGACAAAGAGAACCCTGGTTGGGTTATTCGCCCGTTTCGCTATTGTACGCGTACGTATACGAATGGCAAGTCGTATACACACGCTCGTTCATACGCATGCATAAACTCGCGCTATTATGGACTTTCCTTCGGCGAGACTCTTATGTCCTAGTCTCCACTCGTGACGTCTAATATTTGCTCTACGAAATTCCCTGTGTACTTATGCCGCGCAGTTGCAAACTAATTACAATTATCGTGCGCGCGCGCGCGTACAAATTGAAATAATTTTTTAGCCAAACACGTACCGAATCACACGCTCGTCTGCGCGCACGACCGTTAGTATATGTACTCAAATTGCTCGAGACTCGAAAAAGTTCGCAATTTTAATAACTAGCGCGCAAAACGCGTACCAAGGTCGGCATAAAATGCCAGTTTGACGTAAACCGTTTGTGCGCCGTGTCCTCATCTTCATTGATTGCTTCGCGAAGAGAGCGAGAAGATCAATGTACTACCTGCAGCTGTGTCGCTGGTTGCTTTTTACCGTTCCTGCATCGGAGACTGTGGCGTATTTTCATCGCGCGTTTTTATAGGAAAAGAAAAAAAAATGTACGTACGTCGTGTACAGCTCTCGAGTTCGAGAATGAATTTTCATAGTGCGTCGTGATCGAAGCGTTCGATCTCGTACAAGAAAATTGCATTTCGTTCAGTCATCGGGAAAACTTCCTTCCTCCTCTGTGCTCGTCTCTTCGCGACGCGCAGCTGTCGTCTAAGGACAGATAAAAATCCGAACGCTGTGTATAACCTTTGCCACCGGCAAAAAAGACTCGAGCAGAAAAGCCCCGAGCAGGGAACGTTGTATACATTGACGGCCAAGAACGACGCTTAATCTGACAGCATCTATAAGGCTAATAAATGTATAGCTTTTATCTTCGTGTCTGTCTCTCTTTATTTTTTGCCAGAAAAACAGGGTCTAGATCATTATATGCATACACGACACAATGTATGTATACGCGTGTGTAGATATGCACGTTATGTACGTGCAGAGATTCCGGTCGGGTAATAGGGACAGTTCGTATTGATCGTCGGTGTATACACACGTATACACACGTAAAAGCAGCAGCGGACTTGTCGTGTCGCCGCCGCGCGTCGTTGTAACTACGCTATGTACATGCATCGTGCACATATACACGCGCGTATCGGCGATACGACGAGAAATAAAGAAGCAGAAGAAAAAGGGCTTTCGCCACGCTGGCTAGCATACAATGACACGTGGACACGTGTGCGCTGCTGCAGTACAGGTGCGCCGTTGCCGCTCCGTAAACGTATATATATACGATTTCGACTTTGCGCGTGGCGCTTCTTTTTTTGCGCTCCGATCGAAGATGTACGCGTGAAAAATGTGTAAAAGGGCATGGATATTATAATTGTCGCGCGAGCCTCGAAGTTTCCTTAAGAACGTAGCCGTGTGCGTGACACCTTGAGAGCTATGTAATTACACGTTAAATACGATGCAAAGCGTGCTTGGTTGGTCGATCGACTTTCTTGAAATTTATCTACGCCGAATTAAATGCACAAACACTATTACGTATCAATCGAATGCATTATTTTCTTGAAATCCTATTCGTTTATATATCTATGTACAAATGGGTCATGCACGAGCCATACTTTTCCTCCTTTTCATCCCTTCTTTACGGCCTCTCTTGGCGCGGACTTGAGCGTATACTCTACAAGTTATATATACGTATAGAGGCGCTCCGTAAGCTCCCCTCGCGCACAGCTACCGAATCGATAAACGCACCTTGCTCTTTGACCTTTCAAGGACGCGTTCGAGGATCGTCCTGCTGCTGCTGCTACTACCACTACCGCCCCCCGTGCGTGGGAGGATATGCACGCCCCTCGTCAAATTCATTATGAGGTTTATCGCTCGGTGTAAAGTGATTTTTTTTTCTCCTTTTTACATTTAATTATTTTCGTGGGCGCTGCATAGTGGAAATTGATTCAAGACTCGTAACTCGTTGATAATATGGACTCTCTCGCGGCTCGGTGTACACGTAATTTTTGATTGGCTTCGAACGAGTTCTAACGAGTCTTTGCGGAAAAATTGTAAAAACTTACGCTGGACGCGCGCCATTGTTTTGAAATCTCGTTCGATCGATTAATGAATAATGTATACATGCGGGAAAGACAGCACTCTATTCAGCCGTTGTCTATCATTCTCATGGGGTTGATCGACAGCCGCGCAAGCTCGCTGTCTACTGCGTCGTTTCTTGAAATCGAAAAAACAAAAGATTAGACAATCGGATCACGCGGCTAACTGATTAAAAAGCTTTTAGCGATCTATCCACTGCACTTGGGATATGTATCGAGAGTACCTAATAAAAGCTTCACAATTTCTCTGATGAAACGTTAAATAGCCTCTTTCGACAACTAATCTAAAGTAAAAAAAAAAGTTGCGCGCTACACAATAATTTTTCTTTTTTCCATCGTGAATGCCATTGTGCAAAAAGTAGGTAGAAGTTGCGTCGGCTATATCAAAAGACGTGGCAAAAATAATTTTTCTTTCTCCGCGTGACCTATTCCTTCTAGTTTACTTTTCAACGTGTAACTCCATTTACATAAATTGAATTTATCAAAAGGCAGCGCGCGTTTGACTCGCAGAAAAAATAAAATCCTGTATGCATTCGAGAATTGAAAATATCTTGCGAATTTTCGTAATTAAAGCTCTATCAATCGCTAGGCAACGGTGCATCGCTCGTTGTTTTGAAATAATACGATGCGGTCACCCGTTCCGAACGATGGAAAGTGCTTTTACAGAGTTGAAATTACATTTCGCTATTGAAAAAGATTTTTTACGCAAACTGACGAGTATTATTTCTAACGAAAACAAAAAACTTTTAACATTCAGCCGTAACCGCGTTAAATTTCATATTCTAGTTTGGTTAAAAGTGCAAAATGAAAAAGAGGGAAAAAATCAGTTTACGACGATTTAAAAAAAAAAAAGTATAAACTTTTACGCTCGCGTACGTGGGGCTATTGAAATTGTTTTCAAGTTTTAAATGCCTATTTAACGCCCAACAAACATAGGATACGTCGGAACACAAGTGGGGAGGAAAAGAGTCAGAGTGAGAATGAGAAAGAGGACATTTTTACTTTGCCTTCTTGTGCACGAGCTACACGAATAATTTTTCGGACGTGCTAAAAGGCAGGAAAGAACAAAAAATAACTAGAATCATAATAGCTCGAAGTAAGTATACGAGGAGTAATTTTTCTAGCGAGTGTGTAACGGTAGGCTAATTTTGCAGCAACGGAGCACGGCTCAGGCTAGACGATAAATATTTTTTACTCTCAGCCAGATACAAAAATCTCGAACAGTCTGCATCTGCTTCCGAACTCGAAATAAAATTAAAAAACGATAAAATTTAGCGTAAATAGCAATCGTTTTTGTCATTTTCTCGTCACACGCATTTATCCTCGCTTTTCCCTTCAATTGGTACATTTCGTTACGGAGTTACATCGCGGGTTCTTGTTAAATGAGAAAAAACAGAGACAAGCCCCGGCCGTTGCGGCCAACGGTGTGTGGGTTTTTTTTTCATTTCGCTCGTTACTCGCTCCTCCTGGCTCGTATGACAGGTTCAGTTTGCACAGTGTAAAGCGAAAAGTAACAACAACAAAAAATTTTCCCAAAGAAAAACTGGAGCGCTAAGCTGTGCGCGTTGTTACGTGCATGTGCACGCCGCCGTCGCCACTGCGGGAGAGGCAGAACCGAGCAGAAACGGAAAAAAAGTGGATTAACCGCTTATGGGCTACACGAGCTCGTGGCGCGCGAGAATGAAGAGAAAATTACGTCACCCGATAGTTCTTAGCGCGCGAGCGCCGTATTTCATATACCTATGTGTGTGTGTGTATGTATAGGACGAGCAGCTAGGTGGTGAAAATGAAGGTACTTCCTTCCATTTGTCTTGGGCAACAAGTATTTGAGTTTGCACGAACTCTCCGTGCGTGTATATATATAGCGACACAGAACGCGAGGGAGCGAGAGAGGAAGATGAGTATCTATGTATATAGGCGAGAGTTTTCTTTAGCCTTGTAAACTGCAAGAGGAAATTGAGAAAAGCCAAGCGAAGGAGAAATCCGATTATTTTCTCTTTGGCTGATTGGGAAGGAAAAAAATTATCGAATTATCTCGTATTTACGGCTGGATAAGGTCTTGTACTTTGCGCAGAACTAATAATAATAACAACAGCCTAGTAAGGTGGAAGAAAAAAATTTTCCTCGCACATTAAAACTTCCGTCTCGTATATCTCATCGTTCAAAATCGCTCTCGAGAGTTCATACGCGCGACTAACTTATTGTAATGTACTGTACTGGTGCTGGATGGCGAGAGAAAGAGACAGAGAGAAGAAAGAAAAATGTAGTTGGAAACGACGTTACGTGCACCTATTCGACGACGTGTAAGGTGACGTCAGGGCGCGCTGAAATTTTCGCGCTCGCGCGCATGATCCTCGTCGTTTTACACCCCCTACACACTGTGCCAGCAAAGTTATACATACGATGTAGAATTAGTAGCAGTAGTAGTATACGTCCGCTTGGCCGCGCGCACACATACCTATATACATGCATGTACCTATGCGAATGCACACGTATATTATATATATATGCGCCGAGAGACACGAGTATACGCGTGTATTTAGGTCAGAGTAGGACGACTGGCGCGCCACCGCTGCCGCTGCACCGCCACCACCACCACCTCTACCTTATTTTCCACTGTGCACTTGCTGACCTACATAAAAGCGCATATAAATACAGATATGGATATGCGTGGCGGGGGTGCAGAAAACGTGTCTGTGGTCTGTATACGTTTGACCACTTCGGGCTGCTCGAGCATCGCTCAAATTTTTCAGAGAAGCAAAACAAAAAATAAAAAGAGAAAGAGAAATAAACAAGTTGTCGGAAGCACGACCCAAGCAAGAAGCCCGTCGATTACTCGTGCGCCTGCGAAACCGAACGCGAACGCGCGGCGCAAAGTTTTTGCCTGCAACCGGTTGGAGATTGAGTTTTCGGATAAATTGACGGTGTAAAGGCAAGTTTTATTAGTTCGTTCAAACGGGCGCAGCGCGAGCGAGCTGGTGCACGCGTACAAATGCATCGGGATGCTGCGCGCGAAAATAAATTGCAGGCTTTCCCCGCAGAAAGCAGACGTTTTATTTCATTTTTAACGGCGTCCCGATGCCGTTGCCGATAGTTGCGCCCCCGAAATAGTCTATGCTATTAAGCTATATAGCCTACACTTCGCTAACGCCAGCTTATGCGCGCACACGAGTATGCACCAGTTGTCTGTACAATTTTAACACCCCCCGAAACAATATTTGCTCTCGTTATTTCGCTATAGTGATGCGACTGCGTATTCGGTCATACCCGGGCTAAATTCCGGCCATTAAATATATCGTCATAAATTTTCATTCCTCGAAATAAGATAAACACACTCGCTTCGAAAATTCGCGCGCCCGTGATTCTCGCATTTGTAGCCGCCGCCGCCGCCGCTTCCGAAGATGCGTATTTTCACTCGGGGATAATTTATATATGTTTTCTCATCAGCAAATGAAGAGATATTATAGTAGTGGCGCGCGCGTAACTGCTTAAAAAATGCACGAGCCGCGATGTAAATTTGTTGAACTAATTTATGCACAGGAAGAACGACGCGTTTATGTACGCATGCGAATATTTTACGTGCATTTAACTTTCGAAATGATTCCCTACCTATTACGCCTTCGTTCACTGTAACTAATGCATAATTTCGGAGTAAAAAAAACATTTCTCGCGATTTGTTCGTTGAATTTGGATTGAGATTAACAGTCACGACTCGGAAAACTATTATTTGACGTATACACGTAATCCTTTTTACTTCAGACATTACGCGAAGAAATTCAAATTCAACGAGAAACGTATACTGTATATGAAGGTAATTTTTTCCTCATCCTTTGAGAAAAAAAAGCTGTATCTCATTTTTTCCCTCAAGGCTTTATTACAATTTTTCGCGTATAGGAGAGTAAAATTCTCAATCTTTTTACTCTGTATTTCTCTTCAAGCCTTTTTATATGCTATATATGTATTTGAATTATCGAGTGAACGAGCGCGCGCGCGAGATTTCCTAACCTTGGAAAAAGAGAGCTCAGACGAGAAGCTTTCGAACGATTGATTATTTTCTTTCTTTTATTCCCCCTTTATTTCTTCGTGATTGTTCACATTAGTAACATCACCCTAGTTACTCGTTGAAAAATTATTAATGAGTCAATGCCGAAAACGACGTCTGACGTGAAGTTGACTCAAACTGCTGGGAATAGAGCGCGCATCAATAAATTCACATAGACACATCAAAAATTAAGTTAGCCGCGTTTACAAGTAATGACATAATAAAGTTCGGCCGCGCACACGGCTTGTAATAACTGCATTGAAAGCAAGCAATTTGTCGATGATCGTATTATCGGACTATTAAATGAAATCGCCTGTTTCTATTTAGCTGCTCTATGTATAGAATCGATGTTTTCATTCAAGACCTGCACGTGTGACGGGGGAAAATACTATAATGAAATTTAAAACGAATACAATTTCAATTAATCCAATTTAAGTAAAGAGCATGCTATTTTCCTGTTATAAACATTTTATAATCAATACGGGATTTCGTAATACATTTTTTTTTGAAAATTCACTAAAAAAAAATTCTCAATCATTTTACAATATGTATAATTTGAAAATTACAATTACTATATTTAGGTATCACTCGTATATCCTTAGCTTTACAATAATACTTATTTCATCTTAAAATTCCACAATTCACGATTACTTTTTCTTTCAGAGACTGATAGCTGATCTAAACAAGGAGCAAGAAGCATTTATCGCTAGTAAAGGCGGCGAGAAGGGCGAAGCTCAAGCTCCATGGGTAGGCAGTCCAAACGAGGAAGCCTTGAAAGAAGAAATTCTTGCTCTATCGACTGTAAGTGTGACGACTTGGCATTACCCGATATTTTTTTCCTTTCACTATTTACCTAATAGCTCTTCATTTCTAGAAACATTGAGCCGTCTCGAAAATACCTCTAGTTTAACTCTCGTTTGAAAAATTTTAACAAAAAAATGTCAGGCGCAAAGATCACAATACCTTTTACGAGAGTGTCAATTATCAATCTTCGCACGCGCGTACACGGCTTTTAATTAAAATTAAACGTGGAAGTGTCGTCGTTAAATACGAGTTGATATTTAATAATTTGCCAAAGAGGCGAGTTACGATGAATTTTCGATTCCTTTATTATTTCGCACGCTCGCGCGCCAAGTTTCTCGTTAAAACCTCGGTAATCAGATTACATCGACTGATGTAAAGGTCGATTAAAATTTCAAAGTAAGGGATAAAAAAAACGGAAGAAAAAGTAAAAGGACCAGGCGAAGGGGTGCAAATTCAATTTCACTCTTGGCTGACAATCCAGTTTCCACTATGCGTTCGAAAGCAGTTTAGCAAGTTCGAGTCGAGGACGAGAATAGCTTCTTACCTTATTTTGTGTACTCCAAGAAGTGTAGTTAAAATAAAAAAAGTTGCTACTATCTATTAGACAGTTATTATTTCTCCGATTGCCTTGGTTGGAAGGCTTTCTCGAAAGAACGCAGGAACGAGAGGAAATGGAAAATATTTTCACTGGCCGACTTGTTGGAAAAATGGTCAGACGGATCGGTGTTGCTTCATTTATTCATTACAAATTGTGCGCCGAATTAACGTAAAGTATCGGCAGTATATAATATATTTATTACTCAGTTATTATGTGGAAACGACTTTAACATTGATTAATTATCGATTCGACCCTTGTGTGTATACAGAGCGGTGCTATTAATGGATCTTTATACGCGTCACACCCACGCGGCCGCCAGGGATGAAACAAAGTACGATATTCATGGGAGAGACGCGTGCCATAAACTTCGCCGTGAATGATAATACATAAAAGTAGTTTGTGTGCCGTGACTTTAGCTTCGATATATCGAACGCCTCTCGCGTACGTGAGGCTCATATGTAATTTACTCTCCTCTCCTCTCCTCTTTGCTGTTTGTAATTATGAACTCACGTATATACGTACATACATGCATGCAGGATCGGCGTAACTTTGTGAGAGCACCACCACCAGGAGTCGATTTCCCCTGGGACTTCGAAGCCGTCGAGCCAGTGGCCCAAGCAACACTTGCCTTAGATCCCAATCTTGAAACAATGAGGTTCGAGCTGGTGCCCAAAGTGTAAGTATTCAGATAGATCGCACGAAAATGCATTTGTGCAAAGGCCATTGGTGCAATGATCTATGCACAACTTTTTTTTTCTTATTAAAATATTCGAGAAAGATATTTTTTTAGTTTACTCGCGTTGAATGGTCAAACTCGGCCTTTTAATTATGCGACTCGAGAAAAAAAAAGTATTCGCTCGTGTGGGACGAAAGAAAATTCAACGCTACGGTTAATAGCTCGGGAAGGAACGAAACTAGCCAAATGGGAATCGTTTTCCTTCTTTTTCTCGTTTGCATTTCAAGCAAATGTACGAAACTTAATTGAACTCGACTCGCGTACTTTACATATTTAGATTCGATGGATGCAAACTTATACGCGTATATGCGTCGAATAAGAAAAATATTCAAAGTCGACTTTGTTTTCGAGAAAAACGACGTTATTTTTCCTTGGCTCGCTAATTTTGTCTCCGATAATAACCATGCTCGCTGTTTGTCTCTCGCAGAATATCGGAGGAGAACTTCTGGCGAAATTACTTCTACCGAGTCTCTCTGCTGCGCCAGAGCCACGAGATTAACGCCATGGCGAGTCAACAGTCGACGGAGAGCAATCCCACGCTCGCATCGAACGACAGCGTCGACAACGCCCAAGGTATATAAAAAGAAACGGCATATTTTGTGTTTACTCGTATACATATCGCCATTTAACGATCATCGCCATATCATCGATACATATTTGCTCGGGATAACGAAATTTGTAACGTATCATTTTCTCCATCATACGCATAAACATGCGCACTGCTCGCCTCAATTTTTTTATATAGCCCCGTACATTGCTTCACATAACGTAGTCGAAAGAGCAAAAAAAAAGCGTAGCGCTAAATTTTCATTATCTTTCACGCACTATACCGTTCAAAGTTCAAAGCTCCAGCCCGAGCATGTATTCTCAGGGTTTTGCAAGTTTTGCCTTTGCCGAACACTCGCTATAATTAAATCCCGGCTTTCCATCCTCTCTATCTGTAGCTGCGAGTCTCTTTGCTTTGGCGCTACACGGCTTGTTATTCCAAAACTATCACAAATACACTCGCAAAGTGCACGCGCATTATTATATGACTATGATGTAGCTGCTGTTCCGCATCCAAATCAACGCGCAAATGGATATATCGCCACGCTCGCTGGTGCATTTGTGTGATTTGCCGTATATATAAATCATTATATTTGCGTATCTTCCCCCGTGCGCCATGACGCTTTAGAAAATTATTCGAAACAGTCAATTTGGCTAGAAACTTTAAGCCGTTCAAAAGCTTCGGCGAATTTCATTGCGCAAAGAGGGGGGAGACGTGCAAATTTAAGCACCAGCTCACATTATTGATTTGTTTCTCGTAGTTTATAGAAAAATAGATTTTATTGTTTTAAAATAGTTTCGTAGTTTATCGTAGTTGTTATTTTTCACACTTATACGTATGCAACACAACTCCGTTAATGTAGTTAGAGCCAGTGGAAGCGAGGTTTTGTCGAAAGAAACCAATAGCACGAACGGTAACGATGTCCGAGATGCAACGACGGCCCAACAGGAAATCACAGATAGCGTGAAGAAACTCGACATTCAGTCCAATAAAGGTCAGTATGGATGATTGTGCAGTCGCACAATGCTATAAGGGCTTATAATTGATTTTTCTTTGCTCTCGCCCTCTCGTTTTATCCGTCGTCTCTCGAAGTAATGACGAATATTTGTCAATCTTTGGAATCGTCACCTCGGTACATACCAAAAGTGTACGTACAAATATTTTCGAAAAATGATGGCCGACCGATTTGGTGCATACAAATTGAAAATATAAACAAGGTCAAAATTTAAGCATTAAAACGAGATTGAGAGCAAGCAAAAAACAATTGGATCTAGTAAGAGAAAGGAAAAAGATAATGGCCAAATTTCTGAAAATTCGAACTTTCTAGTGAGTATGTTTTTGCAACAATTTAATTACTTGACTTTGTACAATTTTGATGTCCTGCTAGTTGAATATAGTTTTGACAACGTTTCATTTATTTATTAGTTAGTATTAGATGTTTTAAAATTACAATCCTTTCAAATGCTACACAGTAAATGCAACACAAATACACACGTTTCTACACAACTGTCACAGCGAATGAAAACAACATAACTCCAAATGTAAATGTCTCGTTAATTGTGTTCTGTATATAAATGTACATATACTCACATCAATTTTTATTCTGACAGAGAATGACTTATGAGACAGTAAATACTTTTTCTTACCAACTGTATTATACAATTATCAAATTTGTTCATTAGTAACTGTTAATATATTTCAAACCGAACACTGACTAAGATGTGCTTCTTTTTAATCATTGCACCTTAGAAAAAAATCAATATTAGCTATGAGATAATTGTATATCACGTTCATGCGAATACCCATTCATCGTCACATTTTTCGAAACAATTCAAAGGCAAATGTAATATATAGCTCATAGACATTTTTCTTTCGCGTCAGTTGTCTCGTTCACTTTCAGGAATGTTTTCACTCTTTATAAAAGTCATTTTTGGCACATTTCATCAAAAATTCTTAATGAAAATTGATGACATTTTTAAAACGTGAATTTTTTTTTCTTTTTGTTTATTCTTCTTTTGTCAACAGCCTAAAAGAAGAGGAGATTTCGTTAACCGTGTTACCATTTATCCGCAGCACTATATAGCACAGTTACTGTTCTTATATATATTTCAATTGAAGTGTCATAAAAAAAAAAATTTACGATCAGAACTATAAAAAAAGGCTAAAAATTTTCACATATCGTACATGATATATTAAACGTAATAATATATATGAAGAGTGCGAAGCCGATGAATATTAAGAGAAAATGTATTTAGTTGAATATCGAGTGGAAAGTAAACGGAGAATGACAAAGTTTAAAATTATTTTCACACTCAAACCAAAAATTGAGCATAACTGAAATGAACAACAGCATTCAGTAACAATTATTTTTAGCATCGATTGATCATCTTCACTTGCTTTTTATTCTACCCTTTCGAAGCTGCAATAATCGTGTTCTCATATTGATTATTACTGGAAGGGTTTACTTGAATAATCGTGAAAATAGATGTTCTTCATCGTTTTCATGTAAATCAAAGTACCTAACATTTCAAAGCAAAAATATTAGTCAAAAATAAAAGAATCGTCACGAAAAATTAGACTTTCCTAGTCAATGATAATAAAAAAGGATTCGCGCTCGAGAAATTGAAAATCAATCGTCAACTCCTCTCTCAGAAGAGTGAACGTAAATCTTAACTTCGCACTAAAGATTTGTGCATTCTTGAATAGCACTGCCTATTTATCGACGAAAACTAAACATGAATCGAGAATGCAACTGCAACAAAACAGCTTCCTGATTATGTACGCCCTGGATTAGCGATAACAGAAAACTTTCATAATATTTCCAATTTCGACTTCTCGAACGCGTGATCTCTAAACTAAACAAATTGATGAAATTGAAAGAAAATAAAAAAAAAAGAATCTTAAAATAAAAAAATCCTAAAAGAGATCAGGAAATTCTAACGATTAAACCAAAATTGGAATATATATTAATTCAAAATTCGTATTATATAGTGCTTGAATTTTTCGTCTCAAGTATTAAACTTTGACGCTATTAAATATGATTCAAAAACTGGTACTTTACATTTCAAATATATACGTATGTTTCTCTGTATGTGTCTGTCTGTCTTCATCATTCAATAATTATAAAGAAAATATTAAACTAGTCGTGTAATTCGCAGATGCTATGCCTATTCTATAAACTACTAAAAAAAGTATAAAAGTATCTAAAACTTAAATCGTAAAACTGTGAAACTTTAACCCTACCACCCAAATTTTCTCTCTTTGTCTGTTGTTATAGAAAAAATTTGTAAAGTAAATCTAATGAAGGCTGAGTTTTTAAAGGATCGAAAAAAGTCATTTTTTATCGAATGATACATGATACCGAAAACCGCCGAAACGGCAGATTTAAATGAATAATAAAGTAAAAATTAAAGTATTTACTATGCAAATACTCTAAAACTATAATAAACTATACATGAAAAAAGTTAAAATTACAACTAAAAATTACGTTAAAAGTATAAGTAATAATATGTTGAAAAATCCATTGAATGACAATACGAGTATGCACGTTAACCTATTCTAATTCGGTAAAAGTTTTTCAACTGTGATTAGATATTTTTTGAATGAAAGTGATTAGTATTTTTGAATTCAAACATGTACTCGGTTACCAAGAAAATGTTAAATTTTGCGCTTATCGATTTAATAATTAATTAATTAACTTGAAACATCAGAACCAATTCGGGATAAATCATCGTTGTACGAGCAGTCAAGAGATCGAAAATTCTTTTTAAATCAAATGACTTGTTTAATTTGAATGTCTTTATTTGAATTATATGAACGGAATTTCTACTTATTGATAATAATAATTCGGCATTCAAAACTTAATAAGAATTGTGATATTAAATAATCAACGTATTCGTATAATTTTGTCCGATCATTTTAGAAAACTAACTTTTACATTGCGATGCTTCAATTTGAAAAACTTCTTTCTTATCTATCAAGACATTTAAAGAATGAAAATATGTAAATTTTAGAATTTGTAAAAAAAATTTAATAAAAGATCTGCTTACTCGTAGGCAACGATTTAATATTCATTTCATCTACTCGTTGCTAAAAAATTTGCTCTTAAGTCGACGCGAGCGGTAAAAAATTTTTCTACAAAATGTTTAAACAACATAATATTCCGTATACATATATACATCTATTTTGATCAAACAGTCAATTATAATAAATCCATGAAATTAGTCACTTAGTAATTTTAATTTTCACGCAATATCTGTCGCTGATGAGCATAGTTGATTATTTTGCACCGACTTTAACGCCTCTGTTCGTATATTCAAATTATGAAAAGTAAAATTCTTCGTACACCTTCTTTCCAAAAAAGTTAAGGTAAAAAGATAACGACCGGTGCGTTATTCGCGATAATTGTATCTGCAGCTACACAATCTATAAAATAACATAAAACGAGCTTCAAATTATAAATAATAATTATTTATGAGATTAAAACTTATGACGGATTCTTTTTTATTTGTTGATAAAATTTAGCAAAGATTCTACTTATTAAAATGTAAAATAGTGTTCATGGTAAACGTTTATATACTAAGCATATCCATACAAATGTTAACCACATAGAAATATAAATAATATGAAAAAAAATTGCAAACAGAAACTTTTGTTAGAGTAGCGAAGATGAAAAAAACAGAAATGATTTAGAATCTAACCAACTAATAGTTGTATTAAAACTCTTATTAGCTGTTATTTCATTGATTTGCTACTCTCAATTGTACATATCCCTCTCCTTAAAATAATACGCTTCCAGTAATATATTTATTTCCCTTTTTTAATCTTTGGTTCATACATCGTCATTTTTCCACTAAAATGTATGTACTATTTATAGATATCGATGATAATAATAATATAAATGAAATAATAATTCAGGCAACAAGACACCAACACTAGAAAAAAAGAAAAAAATTTTATCGGGAGAGATCAATTGAGGGCCATATTTTAAATGATAAAATGTAGTATACATAAAACGACATTTTGAACTATATGGGATTATAAGTGAAACTTATAATTGATTGTTCCATATATCTAAAATATGTATAGGCCTTGTGTACATATTTACGTTTGCTTGACAACTATGCAGGCAGATGAGGGCTGAAAAAGAGGATTATAGAATAGAGCAAACATAATGCATGTACACCGCAATATATACGAAAAATGTGAAGATGACAACAAATTCGTGCAAAAGAAACTGCGAGGATGAAAACGTATGACGTTGTCGTATTGATAATAATTATATAAAAATAATACAAGTTATAAAAGATGGCCTTGGAAACTTGATTGTATGATGTGATGATGATTTACGCAAAAGTTTTCACCGAAAAAAAAAACTACAAGCAATTTTGATTTTGCAATATTATGAATGTTTTTTATCTAATGAAAAAAGTGGAGTAGTAAAAAAATGAATAATTTACTTTACGGACGCATATAAGACGATCCAATTTATCTAAGACATTTAATGATACAGATACGATACGGAAAACAGAAAACGATAAATAATATGTCCACGAATTTGAAAAATGCTTTGAAATAATTGAAATGAAAAATTGGTAAAAATATCAGAATATTCTAACTTCCAAAAATCTGCATTAAAGGTAAACTAGTACTTGTAAATAATTAAGATGCATTTATAAAAAGCATTTTTCAAATTTTACACAATACACGCATGCACAAACAATTGCATACACACAGACACGAAACTTCGAAATTTGAGCCTATCAAGTATTTCCTTATGAGCTTACGCTCACATAACAAATAATAAATAACATTTGACAAAAAAAATTGATGCGTGAACCATCATCAATCTCTGCTGTATATGCTACTTCCGCAGAAGAGGACTGGGAGCGCGAACTCGAGGCTGAATTGAAAGACTACGAGGTTGTACCGGGTCAAGAAGCTGCTAAATCAGACTGGGACGACGGTCAAATTGATGATATGCTCAAGGACGAGGAAGATCTTAAGTGAAGCACATTTTACTTTCACATTTTAAATTTCAATTCCAATAGTTTTTTGCATACAATTTAAATTTTCATTCGAGAGGGTGGTTGTACAGCCGGTGGCTTTCATTCCTATTGTAAATATAAATGTTACACGATATATATATTTAAATAAATATATATGCATACAAAAATATTTATTGTATACAGTCGCTTTTTGATGTTGTTTGGTCGTATATTACGAATAAAAAAATTAATTATATCTGAGTGTAAGTGTGTGCCTAACTAATTTATGATTTATAAATAATAATACAGCTGTAATATCTTATGAAATATTATTTACGCTGTATATTTTATTTTTAAAGCTTTTATTGCACCAGTTATATCATAAGATAAAATTTAAATTATGTTTAGGACACGATACAGCACATTGTTATCGTGTTCATTATAAAAGCTTTTATTAATAGATGAATGATGAAAAAATTTATATGTGGTGCTCCAGGTAATATTGTATAAAAAATATACATCATATCCTTTGTTCTTTCGGTTACAATGTTAATTATTGAAAGCGAAAATGGAAATGTCGATTGTCGCGAGCGAAAATGAAACTTGCACTCGATTATCAAGCTCAGTCATTTTAGCATTTAAAAATACGTGTATATAGGAACTTTGCTCGGGTTCGGAAAGAAAAGGCAAAAAAATTATGAGTCGCATGCATTTGTACGCAAATATTGTATCACATTGATGATGAAGACACTCAATCGCACAAGTTTAAATGGGCCTTTTTCACAAAAAATAAAAGTGAAAATTCAGGATATAGTTGCAAGTATGAAAAATTAAAAATCGTTTTGTGCTTCTCCGTGAAACAAAATAATAATAATTAAGTATGAAAAACATAAATGATCCGTGAGTTTTCTATTTCCTAAAAGCTATATTTATGCTTTTCAAGTGTTTAGTAATCACTACTGGCATATACTTGAGAGGCCCCCAGTGCAGAGCATTTGATGAACAAAAAAATTATAAAATCAGAAAAAAGCTTATTTATATATGGAAGCCATTAATCTTTTCGTGCCGTGAGTAATTGATAATTAACAATAAAAATCATCTGGCGTCACATCTTCTCCATACTAATGAAAAAGTTAGAAACAAGCTTAAATAATATTTATTTTTCTTGAACATTAGGTTTCATAATATATATATATATAAAATATTACATGTACAAGAATGAGTCGATTCCCGTTCTATTTTCGTTTTCATTTGATTAAAAAAAACATATATATTTATCATGGAATCAAAAGTTACTTTTATGTCTCGAAGTTTCCCACTATCGATAATTGAAATGAACACATGAAGTAAATTTTCTTTAAATCGATGCATTTGCAGAAGCACCATTAAAACAAAACGGCGTTATTTGAGTACGTTGGTAAGCATTTGTAAATTACATTGTTGTTATAGAATCCGTAATGTAATCATGAAGAAAAAAAACGAAATGTCATAGCGAATAAGGGATACGCAAATTAATTACACATTTAAATTACTTCGAGATTTAAGAAGGTTCTTTGTAAGAAATTTATATTCGATTAAATCATAATAAATATATGAAATACACTATTATATATTATGTGTGTAACTGTGTAAAGCAATGAGGCGGTAATAATTTAATGAGGATATACACATGAAAATGGAGTATGCCTTGGCAAGAAATCTCATAGAAATACGTAGATTCTCCGCGTATATTTGTTAGAATTCAAAATAAAAGTGATAGATTAATTATTTCGCATTGCAAAACAATGCACGAAGACGTATTACATAGTATCTATAGTTTTTTTTCTAACTTGACAATTTTTTCCTTCAACTCAGTTTTCCTCTGTAGCAGATTTATGGAAAAAAAAAGAAATGAATATTGATTAATAAATCATGAAGCAGCAGTTATAGTTTGAATTATCATTACGAATACATTTTTAATCGAAATTATGAATAATGAAAGAATGTGTACGTACGATGTATTAATAAGTAAGCAGCATAATTGCGCTTGCATTAAAACGATCGATTTTAATGGTCAAATGAATTTTAAACTATAATTTTCATGCCAGTGGAGCCATGTGTTATTTGGCCTAATTTTCTTAGAAGCGCGCAAATTATTCAGCCATACACGTACGTGAAACATTGGTTCATGAATCAAGTCGATCGTACAGCGGCATTTTACCCTATAGCAGGCGATAAAAAAGTTATACTTATAATACGCATAAATTAATGGACATTAAAAAGTCTCTTGAAAGCTACATACATGATAATAATAAAAAAAAAAAAAACAAGCAAAGTCGTACGACTCTACGCCATTTGAAAGATTTGTAGATGATCAGGTGAATTTCTTTTATGTCCGAGGAAATAAAGTAATGCATTTACTGGTGCGTGGAAGCGGTTAAAAGGTATAATGATGAACATAAAATGGCACTTATGTATACATAATACATATATTATCAAGTAAATAAATAAATATATATATGTTGTTGACTCCATTGAAAGTATGATATTATTCATATATAAATAATGTATCTATAATGAAAAAAAAATGATGAAATATTTGCGCCAATGCAGTTGAATTTGACGATTATAATAAATAAATATAAAAAAAAAAGAATAATTACACAGCAGAGTGGCATACTATGAATGAGTTGAAAAATGGATATTTGAAGAATTAATTAAGTTGATTATAAATAAAAATATTGTAAACATTGCCAGGTCATGTACCTTGTGAAAATAAAATCGAAATATATTAAAAATTTTATCTTGTCTCTTAAAGCATTCTGCTTTATTTTTCGACTGCGATAAAAATTTCTGATTCCATTTTATTGCTCAAATCTTCCCATGTCTTTCGTTCAGTTTCAACACGAAGAGGCGATGCAGCCGCTCGGCAGTGAGCACGGCGAAGGCCAAACAAACTCCCGTCGTGTAAATGGTCAGCAGCGGTGCGATTCCTCGTATTCCAATCGGGGAGTGACTGGGAAACGATAATTCCGCGTTCTCTACGAAAAAGGAGTGGGCCAATTTTTTAAGCACGCCGCTGTCCTCCAGCTTCCGCAAACTTTTTGCAAAATAAATGTCTCTAAATCGTGGCATCGATGGGCGCTTAATTAAATGACAATCGCAGACGGGACTCACTAATAATTCATGGACGTAACGTATGGACTTCGTTTCGGCAGAGCAATCGCCAAGCACTCGGACTGGCCTGTTTCGATGTAGGACAAAGCGCAGGGTATGTAAGCGCTGACACCCTTCAATGCGGCGCTACTCGAGTAGAATCCAATTTTTCCATCGCACACCTAGAGTGCATAAATCTAATTGAATTCAGTACATTAGTAAACGTAAGTATATTTTTTATTGGCTTCTTCGACACACCTGTTGAAAGCCCGCAAAGGCATTCGATGGTAAATCGTCGGGGTCTTTGAGGAAGGGGCGTAATTTTAATAAAATCGGATCGACTCCATTCTAAAACAAGTAAAAAAATTGAACGATGCTCAAATACATGCCGTTGAATTTTGTCAAGGTTAACCGTACCACGATGCTGTATTGGTCGCTGCTGTTCTGAACAACGATCAGTTGGTACGAGCCATCTCTAACGAAACCGTCGACGTCCGAGAATGACAAAGACGGCTCAAGAATGGTGAGAAAACTAGTTATAGATGCCGAAAATACGGCCCAAATTATCACCGTCAAGAGCAAGGTGGAGAAGTAAGCGAAGCGCAACGGAGTCGCCATGGGGAATTCTGCGAATCGAAAATGCCAAAAGCTCGTTATAGTTGTACGAATTTGTACATTCGAAGCATCGATCGTATGTACCCGAGAGGCCCTGCTGGCAATAGATTCCCCAGATGCGGATGAAGTTGTCCAAGGCGTAACTAAGGGAAAAGTTGAGCGGTCGCGATGCGCCATTGTCTCGGTCGAGGATGAACCCGACCAAGGCCGAAACGATCGACGCCGCCAACAAGACCAGTACGATAGCTATCCAAGACTTCACGGAGAACGCCTGCGACGATTATATCGTATTGAAAAAAGATCGAGCGCGGCCGGCGACGAGCGATGCACTCACTCGAAAGTAAGCCGACCAGGGCACGCGATAAGCCGCCGGCTGTCTCAGGTAGATCCTGTTGGCCGAGAGCAGCAGCGGCCTGGTAAAGTCGACGTAGTCCAAGCGAAACTTGGATACGGTGACGGCCGCGAGCCCCAAGTCGACCTGGCCGCGCGTCAGGTGGCCCATTATACCCGACCAGCTGCGGCTCCGACTATCCCAAATTCCCACGGCGTCCTCCTCGATCGAGTGCTCGACGCGGAAGGACATGAGGCCGCTCAGCTCGCGCAGCACGCTCTCCAGGTAGCCGCTCATTTTGCCGTTCGCCGATCGCGATTGGCGCGTGGGCTGCGCAAAGGAAAAGCACACGAATCGAATTTCCAATTTCACGCGTCAAAAAGGGTCGAGCAAAATTTCACCGTGGCTATTCTGATGGTGCTGCCTGCCAAATTGTAACGATAGTCGTAGTAGTCGCTGTCGTCCTTGAAGCTGAGCCGCGCCGGCGAATCGATCCAGTTGGCGACCTCGAGCCTCCTCGTTCGGTTCCTCGTCCTGGACAGCGAGTACCACTTCTGGACGACGGACGAGCCGTGGCAGACGACCATCATCCTCGTGTCGAAGACCAGATTGAAGGGGTTGCCCCGGGGCCCGTCGAGGCACTCGTCGTTCGCCCCTTGGCCGCTGAACACGACGAGCCAAGTGTGACAGGACATGTCTTGGGTCTCGGTGAGGCGCGAAAAGTCCGCGAAGCTCTCGACGCTCGGCAGAAACACCACGTAGAGGCTGCGACGCGACAACAGTCGATCCGAGTTCGACGACGAGCCGTCGAGTTGAGAGTAGACGAGACTTTGGGACATGGTGCCGTTGTCGGAAAATTGCCTCAAGTATTGACCGATCGACCTTTCCCCATGAAATCCTGCGCAATTTTACGATAAGAATATTTTTTTTCAAGAAAAATCCAACGTATATTTACGGTGTCATGCGGTGAGAAGCTTACTGTCGGAAAATTTGTCAGCGTGCAAGAGAAGAATACCCGAAGATTGGTAATAATCGTGTACGGCTAGTAAAAAATTCACGTAGCGATGGGCCTCGATACTCAGGACGCTTTCCTTGGCCAAGTAGAGTAAAAACATCAATGAAATTCCCGCGAGCGTCGGCATCATTCGGAAAAATAACTCGATCAAAGTTTCAAGCAACCATTCGACTCGAACGCGATCGCAAACTGCCCGCACACCGTGGTGAGCGTTGGAAAGGACAGTAAATATATAGCTCGTTATGTGCCGTTCAGCTTGTGTTTCATTAATGCGCGATATTTTTCATTCGCGCCAAAGAATACTAATCGCGAGCATTCGATCGACAGCGTCCTCACGAATAATTTATAACTCGGATGACTGATATGATCGTTCGTCATTGCGATCTCGAGTTACTAAAATAAATAAAGATTCGACATTTTCTTTTTCGCCATTGGCAGTCTTTATTTTACCATATTCAATATAATTTCAATTTTCTGCCGAGTCGACTCAGTTACTGATGGTTGTCTGTTTAATTATTGTTGGAAAGATGTACGAACTGGGTCGTTTCGGTTACTTGCGTATAAATTATAATACTCTTCAAGGTATACTATTTATGCTCTTCAACTCCAAATCTATGCCAACTTTTATCTAGCTTAGAGCTTCGCCTGAGTTTATACGATCGCAATCCACGGAGGCGATAGAAATGTTTTTACGTTCCTGCAAGAACAAATTTTACGGCCATAAGACATTCATTAACTGACTATAAAAACCAATGAATGCGAGTGAGCAATGCTTCGCGCTGATCCAAAGATTCTGCTTTCTTATCCTTTCAAAGTACATAATTGAAGTTTATCATCCGTTAAATGTGGTTAAGAAATTTTATGAAGATTCCGGAAGCTTCGACAAATTTGGATACTGATGTTAATAATTGGCAATAAAATTATTTTGATTTGACTCTTATGACGATATGAACGAAACAAAAAATGATGCAAGCATTTAACATTCCCTTTCAAAAGTTACCGCTGCTTTTAGTCGTCTGCTCCGATCTGATATTTTATTTGTGTTTAGTTTTGATGCCGCATGCGCTTACATGCTTCATGATTTGTTTACATTTTAGAAGCAGTCCTTGTCATTAATAAAACGTTTTTAGAGTGTTTTTTTTAGAATGTAATTTTTTATGTGTCCTCAAACAAAAAACAAGTGAAAGTGATGAGTACCAAACCAAGATTTCTAGCACCAGGTAGGTTGAAAACAACTTGCTTAGGTTATGTTTATTTTTGAAACTTCACGCATTGTTTTGTTAAAAATATCTTCACTCAGACAAGAAAATTTAGTAATATTTAATTTTTATGTAGGTGATAATATCTGGCAAGAGGATAAAGCTGATATTGATGCACATGTCTCCACTCAATTTGTTTACAATGCAAATAATTCATTGTCTCTTGATGTTCAGCGCAAAAGATTGCCCATATTTAAAGTAAAAAATCACATACTTTATTTACTTGAAAAGTATCAAACACTGGTTCTTGTTGGAGAAACAGGATGTGGGAAAAGTACGCAAGTTCCACAAGTAAGTACTTTTATCACGTGTTTATTATTTTCTGCTTGTCATTTAAAAATATTACATGAATGTGGTATATATACAATATATAAAGCAGATTTGAATGTTACAAAATCATAAATAACATATGCAATAGAATTTTTTGGATAAAATATTTTATACATCCAGCCACTGAAATTAAAATGCTATTTAAATTAATATTTGCTTTGACGTTATTTACTTTTCATAGTACAGTTGAGCTCAAATAAAAAAGCTATTCACATGAGTTCCCCAAAAACATGTTCAAAGGAAAAACTGAGGCATTAATAATGAAGTTTACAAATTACGAATCTGAATCTAAAAATTAATTACTCAATAAAATTAAGGTTTTCTTAGAAATAAATTGAGAAATCGAAATATAAAATCTATTGACACAGAAGAAAAAAATTTCATCACGCTAAAAAAAGCTTCAGTTCAATATACTTTACTTCTGCCTGTGAATTATAAACGTATCTATCACAAATACCCTTCGTTTATTATTTTGTATCGAAAAAAGAGCGCCTGCGCTCCGGCTAACATTAAGACATTCGGCTGCTATATACCGTAACATCGTCGAGTTTACTCAGGCTGCACACTCCTCTCATTCTCGCATGATTATTATATTTATATATTACATATATGAGTAGTAGGTACACATACTATACTATGTTCCACCACCAATACCAATGTATTATCGAAGACCGACAACTCTGCCGAGGGCAGAGGATATAGGGCTTCTTCGCTTGACGCTTCGGCTCGCGTCACGCGTGCTCATATAGCAAAGCAAAACTGTCTAGCGGCGACCAGTTTACGCCGCAGCTGCTCCGCATCGCGACATGTGGATTATAAAGCATCTTTGGCGCTCGTAACGAATTTTTCCTTCGGAAGAAATTAGGAGAAATCGCCAGTGGGCGTAATGGGATACGCCGTTTTTCCCGTATTTTTTAACTTTTGCCAAACGTCTCTGTTAAATGACACTTGAATTATTTACAGTTGCCTTGCAAGTTTAAAAAATCGAATTATCAAGTGACTAGTTGGCTGACGATTTTGTTGTTATTGTGTTTATCGACATGTTTAGTTCTGTGAAAATGTTGACCCCGCTTCAACCAACACGTGTCCTTATGATAATAGTAGCTCTTTTTCTGTGCTACATCATATTTATGGATTATGTATTGTACCAGCGAATGCAGAATTTTTCCATCAGGCCAGTGAAAAACGAAAAAAATTATGATACTTCTGTACCTTGTGATATTGATCCTTTCTGTGTCGTAACTGTGAAAGGATTAATGTTGGACTATCCAAATCTTTACATTTTGAGTCCATTAGCAGCTGTCATTGATAGAATTCTTGGCATAAGTAGTACGTGGACTTGGATAACACCAAATATGATAAGTGCCTTTCATGTTGTTGTAGCTGCTTTGGCTGGACATTGTGTAGCAAGTAGTTCATTAGCTGAAAGAAGATGGGGTGTTTTGTTATTTGAGTTTAGAACATGGTTAGATGATTTGGATGGTCATGTAGCTAGAAGAAGAAAAAATATCAGTGGAGAGAGGTCTGACATTGGATCAACTGGCTATTGGATTGATGGTATTTGCGATGCTCTAGGCTGTGTAGCGCTGATTATTGGTGTATTTATTTTTCTAAAAAGAAATCCTCCACGAAGAGGATATGAAAAACTACGTAAAATATATCCTTGCGTTGAAAGTCAAAATACTGAAGTCATTTATAAAAGATTAAGATACAAGGCAATGGTTAGAAATACGTTGCTCGTCATTGGACATCTCATGATAGTGTCCACTGCTTGGAACAGATACATAGCATTATATCAAGATTTATTGGAATCTGATGATAATTCTCTTGCTATAAGTACTGATGAATTGTACAACAGGCAAAGTAAAGTGATGAGATCAGGATTTTTTTGGGTTGTTACAACTTTATGGAGACTCATTAATTTCCACACAGCCATAGATTATCTTTTGATAGCAATATTTATAGATAGGCTTTGGGAATATATGAGGTTTGTAAGGTGGATGGGTTACATAATACCACTTGTTGTTGTTTATCTTACTGAATTTCATTTTTTGGAATCATATGCCTATGTCTTGAAAGGATCTTTTGGATTTGTATCTAAATCATCTGATTTTGCAGTTCACAACATAACTAATGGAAATTAATTAAACCATTGAATGACTTGTCTCATTACAATCAAATATTAAAAACAAGTACAAATAAGTGACTGCACTAGAAGATTCATTCAATTAATTTTTATTTAAGTAATCTCATATCTATTTGTAAGATAACTAGTGACAAAAATGTACCAGAAAAATTTCTTAAATTTCTAAAAAATTTTCAAAAATGTTTTATAAGTATTGAACAATTTTTGTAATGAGAAACTGCAAAGGCTGTGAATTAATAGATTTTTTTCATAAAAAATGACTGAAGTATTTATAATCTGATGTATACATTTAACTGTGTTAAAAGTAAGATTTGCTTGCGTCCTCTATAGCTTTGCAATCATAAAATAACTTATACGTAAAAGTAAAAATTAATTACTAATCATAAAAAAGTATAAAAATGTATTTTAATTTTTCAAATAACATAAGTGTTATATTGTGGTGAATAATAATATAGTTTTTCAAAGTGGTATTTTACTATCTATACGAGTAATTGGTTATTTTGAGTGACTTGTATTGTTTGATATGCATATTAAATATTAATGTCATATGAACTCCTGGAGAATACCACTTGAAAGAAAAAATGTGTGCCTATATATGTGATTTTAAAACGTGTTTATTCTGAAGCTCTATTTTCATTGTTAATATTTTTTTGTTATTATTTCAACCAATACTTGCTTAAATTTAAGCTAAACAATGAAAAAAAAATTTCTTCAACAAGGATTACTGAGATTACACAATGTTTCAATTATTTACGATAATTTAATAGCGTGACAAATGAACTTGTAGACTTATTTTTGAACATTCGTTTCGAATCTTATCAACAAGCAGCTCATTGATGTGGGCTTAAAAACTACAAAAAATATTAAATATGTATAAAACTAACGTGTGTTTATAAACAAATTTCAATCTCACGATTGTACGAGTTTGAAACGAGCTATCTGTGTACAGAAATTCTTTTTTCAAGTGGAAAAAATAGTACATAAGAATATCGATTAATAAGTTGGAAAATACACCGGCACCGTCTTCATCAACAAAGGGAAATTAGTAGAGGCGATGTCAACGGCATCGATGATAATGACAATGATGCAGCTAAAATTTAAAGAAGGGAGATTACGCTCGTTACACACGGGCATTAAATGCGTAGAATATTTTTTAACATGTATGCACGTTTATACTTTGCCGCATAGTGAGTAATATGCACATAAAATATGTGTTATAAATTTAAGCCATTGCGTTGTAGATGCATATTGAAATGTATGAAAAAAATTGATATTTCATGTAAAAGTAGCTAAAATTATGTATATTTTAATATAATTTACGAAAATGCTGCGAGTATATTTTTTATGAAACAAAGAAAAATCTGTCTAATCGTGAAAAGCAATTCAATAATTATAAACATGTAAAATAAAACCTGAATTTTTTTACTGACTGATAAAAAAAAACTTGTTTTTTTATCCTCTGTCATTTGCCAACGTCTAATCTACATACTTACAAAGAAGACATTGTTTCAGCTTTATTTTGTCGGCGTTCTACTTTGTTTGATTTTGCAATCAAAATATACATAGTAATGCAAACTTATTTCATTTTCAACTTCAAATCACTGACCATTATCTATTTCGTTTAAAAGAATTGTTGATATTGAAATAATAATTATTTCATTGTGTGCAGTTACATAATTCATTCATAATATGTACGATCCAGCGTTATTCGTTTTAAAACGCAACAAGTTTTAGCGAAAAGGTCGTCCATAGGATTAAAATAAAATTTTTACCAAACCTTTGTTGTGTGCAAAAATTAATACTGTCAGTTTTCTGAAAATTATCGAAGCTTACTCTACCATTTTTGTTATTTGCTAATGTACCATACCATAATCTACGGGGTGTCGACGATACATCGTGTATTGCATTTTAAAGCCTAGCCCTATTATCTCATAACTTTTTTTGTCGTGTAAAGATTATTGACTTTCAGGTATCGTGATAAAACAAAAATTGTAAATAAAAATGAGAATGGTAATAAGAGTAATGGGTGTTGAAAACGAGCCGCCGACACTCAAATATACAGCATATTATATGGCGACCCCGATTGCGATGATTGTGTCGATCGTGACACGCGCGAGCCATAGTTATTTATTAAAAACTATTAACCAAGCATGTATAAATCTACAATAGAGATTTTCATTGAAGAAATATTTAAGATTTACGCTGTAGGTGTGATGAGCTATATAAGAGTCACTGATCACATTTTCTTTGACTCGAGTTGATCGGTTTTTCACGGTATATCATAAAACCTTCGCTTCGAAAACCATCCGCATCTTTCATGTATATAAACTGAGAAATTTACTAATAGGGCTGCTTGAATTACGTAACGCTCGAATGAATTAATTTATTTTCACGGAAAACATTCTGTGAACCGGAAGAATTTTTAATGTATACATTCGTGCTATCCCCGAAGTAGCAACTTCAATTACAATAAAATTTTCGAGGAATAAACTGTTTCCTGGTAATATCGGCTAAAACTAACGATTATTATTTGTTTTATGGCCCTTAATTGTTTGAAATTGTTTAGAAATAACTTAAGAATAGTATAACGATAACGAAGTATTTAGGAAACAAAATGAGAAAGCGACTTTACAAAACGACTTGTTGGTCAGTCTAGTTCAAAGTCAATACGATCGCGCTTCTATATAGTTCTGGTGTAAAGCTCATCGCAACTTGACTATGATTTTAAAATTCTTCATATTTTTCTCTAGTTTTGTTTTGATCTTCTACCAACGTAAGTGGTTCACGTATAATTAAATGTCCAACAATTTTTTCTCTGCAACAAGGCTACAATTAATTATTATTCCAGTGACAAATGCTGGGCGGGCAGCCTGCCTCTTGGAAGAGTGTAAAAAATCATGCCTGGCGAGTTTTCCTAGCAGTAATCCAGAGTGCGTCGGAGGATTAGTTTGTTATTGCAATAAAACGAAAACATTATAAGAGTTTCTGGAATGTTTTATACATTCTCGTGTGTCTTTTCCGCTGTCGGCGACAAGCGCGGAAAGAAATAAAAAAAAATGCCATAAAAATTCTTTTTACTTGCTCATTTGCCGATTGGCGTTGACTATAATAGACGAAACAGCCGCTGATAAGGGTCTGTTACTCGGAAGTTTCGTATCACTCAAAAGTGCATCAGCGAAAGTTTTGTTCTTCTCGCTCAACACGATAACAAACAATAAGGATGGAGCTTAGGTTCTGCACTTAAACTTTTCTATAATGGATATTCAAAAATATATGCAAGATAAAGTAGAATAGCAGGAAAATAAATAAATGCTCGATGTTGCTTGATATCAATGAGAGAGGTATAAAAAATATTGACTATTATTTAATTGCATTAATAAAACTTTATGTAATACAGGATTTTCCCGAATTTTCTAAAAATCGTTTACCTCATTTCAGAACTTGTTGTTTTTAGAATTTTGAAATTTCAATAACAATGGAATTTTAAATAACAATTATACTAGAATGATATTGAGTTCGGAAATTTTTCCCATCTTATATTATTGTATGTAGGCTACACTAGAAAAAAGTTCAATCTGAGTATGCTATCGTATACATGAGCAACCTTTGATCAATCAACATATAAAGTATATTTTGTAATTGAATTTTTGATTTACTTCTGGTCAAACGAACGTTCTGGTCAAAGAAATTTTTTGATGGTCGATTTCGCTATCATGTGTAATATTTTGTTCGATGAAATTTTCGTATACCGATTTTTCATTAGGACTAATTCTTTCTCAGAGCGCTGCTCGCGCGTCAATTTTCAATCTCTCATTTTTCCGTAATAATGTATCATTGAAAAAAGATCTTTACTATGCATTAGACATGAGATACAAAATATGATTTCTTAAATAATATAATTATAAACACTTATTTTTGCTTCATTTATATTGTTAACTTGAAAATTTCATAACAAGACTTAAAAATATAATTAAATAATATTTATTAACGCTCAAAGTAAAGAAATTTTTCGTCGATGGATTCGTCAAGTAATTTTATGTAGAATTTAATGCCGTTTCAGAATCCGGGCTCAAATTTGAGATTTGATGCTTCGTTGATAAGTTATGGTTGTTAAAACAAAAAAAAAAATATAAAAGTTTGTGCGAAAAATATAGTTTAAAATTTTTTTCGAATCTTTGCGGTAAAAAACTCAAGATATACATATGATCAAAGGTGATCATGGGTGTAGCAGTACCTTAGGGAATTTTAAAAATTTTTCCCATCACTTTTTTAACAAAATCGTGGCCACTTTAACCAATTGCTAAAAAATAAGCAAACGAACATTCTTTCATTTTTTAAACAGAAACTTTTATTAATATATAAATAATATAGATACACCTTACGGAGACATTCACATTGAAAAGGGATAAACAACGATTTTTTCCATAAAAACGTTATTTATTATTAAAAAAATACTGTGTTGAAATTTTGGAACGAAATTTATATAGGAAAAATAATAATGATTTAAATTTCGTCTATTACTTTATTGCTGTATACTGAATTATACAATTCGTTTTTATTTTCATATTTTAAAATTTTACATCGTTACACGAAGAAAATCTTGCACACTCGCAAACATTTTTAAAGATTGAAAACAAAGTTGTCCATTTACAATTGCTCAACTTTGTTGCCTGAAAAAAATTTGGAACGTTTAGACAAATTTATGACAATTACCGTTTTGACATTGTATCACTTGTTTTGGCTCTGTTTTCTTCCGCTAGGATTTCACCTGCCATGCATATTCCGATCAAGTCTTCGTTCTTGAGCTTCTCGAAAATTTGTTCGGAGCAAAGAATTGGAAACCGGTTGCAGGTCAGCTCCAAAAAAGGATCCATTGCCCATTGATAGAAAAATCCTCGCGACATTTTTTCGCATAGGTGCCTCAAGCACATGTCGTGATATCGTTCGGGAATTTTACTGAAGTTGTTTGATCGCTCGAACTCGAAGTAGTCCATGTATGTGAGTAGTTTTTCCTCCTCTTCGGGTCGTAACTGGATTAGATCGTAGAGTGACAAACTAGGAATGATCGTTACCTCTTTTGCTCTGCTCGCAAACTCCTCGTCATCGTACCAACATTTTTCATCATCTGACGACTTTTCGAATAATCCGTACTTGGCGAACAATTTCATGATCGTCAAGACATTGCTTCGCTTCACATATTCTCTTTTCTCGAGACGTTCGAGGACGGCTAGAGCACCAGACGCCAACTTCAATTTATCCCAATTGTCACAATTTTTGTCGAATTTCTTGTAAAAGTCACTCTCAGTAGGAAAAACAAAACTAGACAGATCAGCACCACGATCCAAAAGTACATCGACCGCATGAGGTAAAAGATTCGCAACGGCCAATTGTAGCGGTGTTCGACCCGACTTGTCTAGGACGTTGAGCTCCACTGTTTGACGAATATCGTCGTTGATTTCGAAGAATTTTCTTACGAAATCATCATCATCTCTGGTACAAATAATATGTAGAGATGTGAATCCATCCTTGTTAGCTGAATTCGGACTAGCGCCATTTCTCAGCATCGACTCAGCCATATTTTTTTTACTTCGGGCCAGAGCCAAGTGCAATGGCGTGTTTCCACATTTATCTTGAGCATCGATTTGCACCGTCTGTTGGATTTCATCACAGATCTTGAAAAATTTTTCCGGCAAGTCATCATCTTCTGAACGTAGTGACATATCGTGCAGAGGACTTATTCCCTCTACGTCAGCTAAATTCGGATCTCCGCCTCTTCTCAGTAACATTTCTAAAATTTCTGGGACGAAGTGAGTCACAGCATATTTTACTGGTGTACAACCACCCTTGTCCTGGGCGTTGACTTGCAACGTTTGCTGGATTTCATCGATTACCGAGAAGAATTTCTCTGCCAACTGGATACCGAATGGACTGCAGCTAATGAAGTGCACAGGTTGATGTCCATCATTGTTGGCAATATTCGGATCCGCACCTTTTCTCAGCAACCACTCGACCATCTCCGTATCCTGGTAGCACACAGCCTCATGTAATGGTGTGTTTCCGTACTTGTCCTGAGTATCAATATGCACTGGCTGATATTTGTCATTGCTGAGCTCGAATAACATCTCCGCCAAGTTTGGATCATACATGATATAGTGCATCGCAGTCGATCCCTCCGAACAAGTCATATTCGGATCTGCACCTCTTCGCAACAGCATATCGACACTCTTTTTTGTAGAATACAAGACAGCATAATGTAGCGGTGTACAGTCCCACTTGTCCCGAGCATTGACCTGCACCAGCTGATGTTTTTCGTCGATGATCTTAAAAAATGTCTCCATCAAGTAGTCGCTGCGTTTTTTCAGGCAAATGATATGAAGAGATGTCAATCTCTGTGCATTAGCCGATCTCGGATCGGCATCTCTTCTCAACAGTAATTCAGTCACCTTCTCGTGTTCGTTCTTTAGAGCCAAATGCAACGGAGTCTGACCCAAATTGTCCCGAGCATCGATGAGCACCGGACGATATTTGTCGATGCCGAGCTCGAACAACATCTCCACCAAATCATCGCGATCGCCTCCCTGGCAGATGGTGTGAAGCGGAGTCAGCCCCTCGCTGTTGGCCAAATTAGGATCAGCTCCTGCTCTCAGCAGCAATTTGACCACGTTCTTTTTTTTTTCTTGTAGCGCCACGTGTAAGGGCGAATCGCCCGTTTCTTGCACGAGGAAATTCGGATCCTGCCCGTACTTTAGGAATTTTCTCACGCTGTCTTTGCAGCCAGACATGCAGGCCACATGGTAATGTGTAAGGCCCGACTCGTCGCTGTAGTTCACGTCGTACATTTTGAGAAGTTCACTAACCTTGATATCCCAGTCACGGTATCTGTGTCTAGCCGCGTGATGCACCGGTGTGGTGCGACGTGGCGATGGTTGGCCGTCTTGGTCGATTTCGGGCTCGTCTTTGTATCCGGTCTTTACCACAAAACTGATGAACTCGATGGGTCCAGCTTCCACGGACTTCATGAGCAACCAATCAATTTCTTCCCGACGAAAAATCTCTTGGAAATTTGGAAGTCGGCCACTCCACTCTCTGATCAAGCTACACAGTTGCCAGTACAATTCGTGTCGATCCGCTTCGATCGCCCAGTTGATCCGTTCTTGCATCCTCTTTAAACTTTCTAGTTTTTCTTGATTCGCCTCGGAATCGTCGAAACAATCGAAATTGGAAAAATCAATTAAGAATTTGTTGAAATCGTCGTCGTCCATCGTTTTACGCACTTGCATGGAAACTAGTATTACTGATTATTGATACAATTTATTTTTTTCCGACGAATTTAAATTTGATTCACGATGTTAAGTCTGTGACTTCATCACGTGGACTAATTAACTTGGATAGCTTAGACAGGCAAAGAAAGAAATTTCTAGATTAGGAACCTCAGCGCTGTCGCAATCGGTGGCGTTGTCAAAAAGTAAGAACTGACGTAAGTGACTGATCACCATTGCGCTGTCAGCCGCGTCGTTTTAAGTAGAAGCTGGAACTTGGAATGAAACAATTTTGAATCTTTTTTTTTTTAAATTTCAAAACTTTTTTTTTCGCTGCATTTTTTCGTTTAAGGTCTTTCTTTACAATCTAGAACGTCAGATAGAAAATATACCAGTTTTATTATCCCAAGCTATGCATATAAAGCTGTGTATTTTGAAAAACTGTACCTTTGCGATGAACATTAGCTTACGTGCGATTATCCTGACTCTATAACCCTGGTAGAAATCGTAACTTTTTTTTGGCCATTTACCAAACAATTAAAATGTAACCAAAAACTGGGCAAGCGAATTGGCGATTATTAATCCTTAAATGAAACAATTTTTGGACCAGTTTACCGCCAGGAAAAATATTTTAGTAGAAATGTCCAAAAAATGTCCAAAAAATGTTGTGCATCAAAATACCCTGGATTTATTATTATGATCATTAGGTGATTAGGTTAAGTAACGATTATCATGACCAGCAACAAAGCAGTTTTTTAGCATTTTTTGGTCAGTACTGACATTTAATGCACATTTTTTGACCATTAATGGACTTGATTCTTATAAGAAGACATCTCTCTTTTTGGATGCTGCAACTAACAAGCAATTCATTTTCTAGCCAATACAGCACTAGTTATTTGACAGTTCTATGAGTACATTTTTTTAACATTTATGCTGGGCATTAACTGCTCTCCAGGCCATAATAAATGTTATGATTTCTACCAGGGAATGCCTGTAACTTATCAGCAGGCTTCGTTTGCCCTACATTCTGCATACTTTGATTCATAACTTATTTATGTTAACAAAACTGAGTCGTTTCTAAACTGCTCATATTATTTAGAACGCATACAGAAGAAGCATTTAAAAAAAAATAGTCGAAAAATTCATCAATTAGCATTTGTACTCTTTCCATGAATTTCTTGGGACTTTTTTCACATTTTTATTCTAAAAGTATTCTCTATTTGTTAATCTTTTTGAAATGTTCAGCAGCGGGTATCAAAACGTGCCGATGCAAAACTCAATGCCGAACGGTCATTCACTCACGCGGTCCAGTTAAGTTTGGAAGCTGATTAGAGTAACAATGCAAGTAACAAATCGAACAATCCGTAATATGATGAGCAATGCCTTGAAATATGTAAAATAAATTTTTACAATGCAGCAGCGGGGCTATTGCAAACAGTTTTTGCATACACACCGTAGTCATTTATTGGATTTTAGTTTATTCAATTTGTTCTGTTTGTTATGAAACTCTGGCGTTACGCTTCATGCAACTAAGGATAAAAACTTGCTCCATTGAAGTACCTCAATACTCTGAATCATCAATTAATCAATTTTTATGCGTTTTTAATTCTAGTCTATATTTTTACAATCTCAAAATCGAAACCCGTATAATGGATGACAAAATTAATTCGTAATAATTTATCGTGACAGTATCTATTGGAGGCAGGATGGAGCGCGGACGGCAAGATAATCGGCATAACAGAGCCACGCAGGGTGGCGGCCACATCGCTGGCATCTCGGGTGGCTGACGAGCGAAACTGCATACTGGGCGCGGAGGTCGGCTACGCCATACGCTTCGACGATTGTAACGACGAGACAACCAAGATAAAGGTATCGTATTGAAGCGCTCGCAATCTATTACGCTTAAAATCGATTTTCCTTCTCTATATGCTACTATACAGCCGCACACTGCTTAAAATTAATCGGATATCCTCACGTCCTTCGAAAAACAAATGTTAAATGTGAAAGATACTAGTAAAAATTAATTATTTTCTTATTTCAGTATATGACGGAAGGGATCCTATTGAGAGAGATGATGGGAGATCCGCTGCTCACCAAGTACAGCATTATAATTTTGGACGAAGTTCACGAGAGAACGATGCTCACCGACATCATCATGGGTCTTTTGAAAAAGATTCTCAAGGTTCGTCGTTCGTGTTTATTTCATTACTCCTACAAGCTCGCGTAAAATAATTTTTCTCCATCGTTATCGCTCTTTTATCACGAGTTCGAAACGAAATTCGCTATTTATAAAATCACTCGAAAGGAAAAGAAAAATCTACCGTTTAGGCGATGAGTTATTTATGACGTTGTACAATCGTTGCAGAAACGCAGAAGCCTACGACTGGTCGTCTCGTCGGCGACGGTCGACGCCGAGGAATTGCGCGACTTTTTCAATTCTCGAAAGTCATCGAGCAACGAGGACGACTTGGCGACGATACTGAGCGTCGAGGGACGACTGCACCCGGTGGACGTGCACTACCTTGCCGAGCCATGCGCCGATTACGTCCAAGCTGTGGTCGACACGGCTCTGAAGATTCATCGGAGCGAGGAGCAGCAGCGAGGAGACATCTTGGCCTTTCTCACGGGCATGGACGAGGTCGACCGTGCTGTGTCGCTGCTCAAGGAACACGCCGAGAGAATCGGTATCGACAAACAATGTCGGTTGATCATTCATTGTGTGCTTTTACGCCCGCTCTTGAACCTTGAATTAATTTTTATTGAAACTTGCAGTGAAACTTTTACCATTGCCCATGTACGGATCGCTTCCTTACAAAGATCAGTTGAGGGTTTTCCAGAGGGCACCGAACGACACGCGCAAAGTAATCGTCGCCACCAACATCGCCGAGACATCTATAACGATACCAAACATAACTTGCGGTAAGATTTTTTTCAATCGATCCAGCAGCTAATTTTGAAAGATACAATAAAATTAATGAGGTGCAAAATGCGTGCAGTTATTGACTGTGGATTCGTGAAATTGCCGTGGTTCGACGTCGAGACGCAGACCAACAGTCTGATCGTGGCGCCGGTATCGCAAGCCTCGGCCGATCAACGGGCGGGTCGCGCGGGCCGCCACAGGCCCGGCAAGGCGTATCGGCTCTACACGGAGGAGGCGTTCGCGGCTCTGCCGGTCGCCACGGCGCCGGAGATGCAGCGATCCGACCTCGCGCCCGCTGTGCTGCAGCTCAAAGCCCTGGGAATCGACAACGTTTTGCGCTTCAATTTTCCCGCGGCGCCGCCGAGCAAGAGTCTGCTGTCGGCTTTGGAACTGCTCTATGGCTTGGGAATCATCGACGACGACGGACGACTGACCAATCCACTCGGTATGCTCATCGCCGAGATACCGCTCGAGCCGGTTTTTGCCAAATGCCTCATAGCTTCCGGTGAGTACGCGAGTCAATATCTCGCCAAATTTGAAATTTATCACTTATGGAGAAATATCGTTCGTTTTAGGTAATATGGGATGTAGCGAGGAAATAACTACTATATTGGCCATGCTGCAGGTGCAAAATGTTTTCATTCGACCGGCCGGCGGTCAAGCTTCGATCAAAGCTCGAATTGCTCATCGCAAGTTTGAGGTGGCCGAGGGTGATTTGCTCACCTATCTCAATATATACACAGCATATGAAAAGAATAAGACGCACTCTTGGTGTCAGCAAAATTTTATCAACTTCAAAGCCATCAAACGAGCTACCGAGATACGCACACAGATGCGCAAGCTAATAAAAAAATTAGGACTACCCTTGCTCAATTGTGGAAGTATGTGTAATGACTTTATTTTTAATTTTCACTCAATGTGTATGTGTAACAGTTTTAATGATAATTATTATTTTTAGTCAACACAGAGCTTATTTTACGATGTATAGCGGCAGGGCTGTTCCCTTATGCCGCTTATCTGCACTACACGGGGGTTTATAGAACTGTGAGAGGAAACCGAGATCTTCACATACATCCGAACAGTTGCTTGTACACGCTCGAACAACCACAGTGGTAATGTTATAAATAATTCAAATGACAATTTTTTGTATTCAAAAATAGATATTTAAAACGACGTTTCGCTGTCTAATTATTTCAGGGTATTATTTGGAGAAATTCAACAAACTACAAAGGTGTACATGCGGGAACTGACAGTTATTAAACCAGAATGGCTCGTGGAGCTTGCGCCGCATTTTTATCGAAGAACTGCCATCGATAATGATTGAATTAGACTTGTGATAATTAACAATGATTATGTACAAAAAGCATTAAGGAATATTACAATACTATTTATAAAAAATTTTTTTATTAAAAAACTGTATTTTATTATTTCAAAATACTTGTTGAACCATTCGTGAGTAATAATTTGCATACACAATTTCTCAATTGTCCAATAATTAATTGCCTTTTATTACTTCAGAAATTTCGACTGAAGTAAATTGAATATAAAATGCATACTTCAATTATCAACGTTTTTATTGTATGAGATTTTTACTATAATTGAACTTCTTTGAGACGATCTATGTCGCAGTCCTAAATAGAGTATTTTAAAGAGTCTTTTTTTATTAGTCAGCTTGATAAACACAATTTAAATCATTAGTAAAATTTAGTTCTTATGTGAATGGGTATCAACTTTATTGTAACAACTAACTAATTTTTCGTTTTGATCGCAGAGTCGAAAAAGTTCTAACAATTTCAGTACATTTTTAACCTAAAAAATCGTTTAAAAAACAGAATGAGAAACCACAAAAAATTCAACCACTTATTAGTACTTATGCAATTGAATGCGAGCACGATTTTATAAATTAAATAATATGAATATAGATAAATAACTGTTCTAGACAAAAGTGATTATTTAAATTACCCGCTTATATTCAAAGCTGTCTTGATGCATCACGTCATGTGCGCAGTGCGACGCTGTTTTTTAAAACTTGGACTTGGTGCGCTGCGCGCCAGCGGCAAGTCTTTGCGGCTGTAACTACACGTGTGAAGTGTTCACCAAGGCTTCTTTTTCTTAAATTAAGACCATGGTACTTATATCGTTCCACCAATTTTTTAAATAATTTTAGTAAATTTAAATAATTTTATAGTCGGCTGCAACACATAAATCATTTTTTTTTAATCTAAGTGTTAATTTCACTTGAGTGCAAAATTAAATTAAGTTTCAACCTTTTTTTACTAACTTTGCGAATGGAATGCATTCTAACCTTTCAATTGAAAGAGACACATGGTGTTCAATGTTTTTTATGCATCGATTGTTAAACTCGAAATTTTGAATTTATTGCTAAAACTTGATTTGCATCATGTTTTGTATTTTTATTAGTACCTTTTCAATTGAAAATTTATTTTAAATAATTTATGAATTATTTTTGCCTTTGTAGCCTTTTGAACGATTCGTGCAGACTGGCAGAGTGGCCTATGTTAGCAATGGGCCCAACAAAGGCAAGCTTGTTGCCATTGTTGATGTCATCGACCAGAACAGAGTGAGTAGAATTTTACTATAATTCTTTATAGCCAGATGAATGTAGTAATTAACTTGAGACAAGCATTATGATGATCCCATATTCTTGATAGGAATTGCCGGCTGATACTTAATGAAGCCATCTCTTTTCTGATGCTTAGTTTTAGTATTTTAATATATTTATTTTTTTTCTTTTCGTATGTCTTAAATGAAATTTTTTGCAGGTTTTGGTTGACGGACCAGCTGCCAAAGTCCCAAGAGGTCAAATGAGCCTCAGCAATTTGCACCTGACAAAATTCAGGTTGAAGTTTCCATTCACAGGATCCACCCGTGTCGTAAGAAAGGCCTGGGAAGCAGGTAAAATTGAAAAGAAGTGGAAAGAAACTGTGTGGGCCCAAAAAGTAGCCGCTAAGGAAAAGGTTTGTTAAATACTTGAATCACTATTAGTATAGTTTTTGAATTGACAAATCATTTAATTTTTACTTTACCAATTTTAGCGAGCTGCCCTCAGTGATTATGATCGCTTCAAGTTGAGAAAAGCCAAACGTGTGAGGAACGCACTTCGAACAGAGGCCTTCTACAGATTAAAGAAAGTTGCTAAGAAATCAAAAGCTAAGAAAGCAACTAAGAATTAATTGTACATTATAAGTATGAATGAAATAAACTTGTAAATTCAATTTGCAATAAATTTGCTTATATTTTAATAAACCCTGCTAATTTTTTTTATATCTGCAATAGTTGTTCTTTGGTTTAAGTAAACTCTTTTAAAACCATTGCTTATTCAATATTGAAAAAATAAAACAAATTTTTAGCAATGATCAAATTTTAAACAGATATTTACTAAATAAGAAAATATTGCAATTATAAAATTCTTTGAATTAATAAAATCATCCTGCTAAGATATACAAATGTGGCTGACATGTTAGAGCTTTTCATATCAAAATTTTTTTCAAATTAATCAAGTCTCAAGACTTTTACAAGCTTCTTCATGTCTGAAATTAAACATCTCACTTTTGTCCTAAATCAAAAAAAAGCTAAAGTTGGTCTTGTGATGTAAAATAATCTTGAGATAATTGTAAAGACATAATTAATTTAAGCATTTACATATGCTAAAAAATAATTTTCAAAATGTTGAAAAATTTCGGTAATATGTATTTTTCTCTTAAATTGGTTGAATTTCACAAAGCATACAAGGTGATGCTGGAATTTTAAATTCAAAATTAAGAAATAAATTACAGCGAACAATTGATAATTTTGCCATTTAAATATAATTATAGCTTTTTTTGCTTTACTTAAAAATCAAATCGTTTCAAGTTTCTGGGTGGAAGATGAAGCAAAAAATACATTTTTTTGGTAAAAAAAAACCTTAGTGAATAACATATAACAAATTTTAGTGTTATGTTAATAGGTAATATTTGAATTTTCCTTTATACTGTATCTGGCCACTAAGTTGCTGTGTAGTTATTTTTGCGAAAATAATGTCTGCCTTAAGAACGGATGTCTATTTTCAAGAATAATTTAATATTATAATAGATATATTTACACTATTAAAAATTTGTTATTTATGAAGACTGGAACAATATGGAAATATTCTTATTTGATATTATTGTATTGATTTTTTTATTCTTCTATGAATAACTAGTATGACCCATATATTTTTATAATCATTAAAGTTTACAGCGCAAAATGATCTAGAAGCTGCTTCGATGAATGAAAAGTTTTTTTATAATCGAAACTTACTATTTATCGTAAAAAAAGTTATTGTATTGTTGAATATAAATGTCAAAGTAATTGACTTAGTTTTTCGTGGTTACTTACTCATATTAATTCTTCGGCGTAGCGTAGAACTTATTTTATTAGACTATAGAGGCAGAGACATATCTGAGTTCTATGTTGAGCGGACATTCCCATTGCAAATTGTAAAAAAAATCACTTTTAAAATTTTTTTTTTTTGAAAACTATAATTTTTATTCATTCTGGACCTTTTGAGTATTGTTCCTTACATATTAAACTACAAAAAAAATTATGGGACTTAAGACCCATTTTGTTGTCTGTAGACGGAATCTGCTGAAATCTGTGATACGGCTCTTGCCAGCGATTGAGAAAAAACTACTAGTCTGATCTTTACATTTTATATCTCGTTTTAATCGTTACCACTTTCTCTAGAAGACAAACCTCTAAAAAGTTGAAAAAATCATCCCTATTTTTTTTTTATGGGGGTGAATTCACCCCCATAACCATCGAAAAGAGCGTTTTTTTAGAAAAACTCATGCCAAAATTGTAATAATTGAAAATATCAATTTTTTAGAGGTTTGTCTTCTAGAGAAAGTTGTAAAGATTAAAACGAGATATTAAACGTAAAGATCGGACCAGTAGTTTTTTCTCAATCGCTGGCAAGAGCCGAAACATGGATTTCAGCAGATTCCGTCTACAGCCAACAAAATGGGTCTTAAGTCCCATAAAAAAATTTTTTTTTGTAGTTTAATATGTAAGGAACAATACCCAAATGGTCCGTAATGAATAAAAATTATAGTTTTCAAAAAAAAACATTTAAAAAATGATTTTTTTTACAATTTGCAAATGGGAAGGTCCCCTTAATAAATTAGGACAAAGACAAGATTTTCATTTTTCGAAAATTTACAAGAGTTGGCAGGGTTTTCAGACCTAGTTTGCCCAACAAAGTTTAATTTTGAACTCGATCATTACGGATGATAAATTTCTGTAATATTTTGAGCGCTCGATCTAAGCAACCAGTGAAAACTTTTCATCCAAACTACCCCAAGATGTACGCTTACTTTATGATATACTTATATTAAAAAGGGATTGTCTAATCATGATAGAAAATAAATATTTTTGTGATAACTTAATTTTTTGTATTTTTTTGTTTTTAAAACTTTTGTTCGAAATGTGTGGTCAGTTTTTCCAATAAAATATTACAGTTTATTTATTTTTTTATGCTGGTTACATTGAATACTGTGATAAATAATTTTTCGTTAATTTGATGAATTATTTGACGAATTGATTTTTTTTTCTCAATGCTATTGCCTCTTGGTGACTTTCAAATTTAACTTGTAGTCAGTAACTTGCAAAAATGTACGATTGCTGTATGGCAAAGGCATCGGAGTATCTTTGCACAATGAAAAGTTGTACCTCGACAAAAGCGTAATCAGGGCAATTTTTCCTTGCATGAAAGCTATTCGTTTGGCTAAAAAAATTGCAAATTTTAACGGTCATGATTACTTAAATCAGTTAAAGGTTCATTTAGATTACCTATACAAATCCGTGGTCCTTCGCCGAACGGCAAGAAATAATAAGAGTTTCTTTTTGCACTGTTTTCTTTGGAAAAACGCTCGGGCTCGAAAACATCTGGATCAGGATAAATATCAGGATCATTTTGCAAGCCGGATACGCTAATGGCAAGTCTCATCCCTTTTGGAAGACAAATGCTCGTGCCTGGTATCGTGTAATCTTTGGTGCACAGCCTGTTCACAAATGGCACCGGTGGATGCTTTCGCAATGCCTCTAAATTAATTATTTATCAAATATTAGATTATAGTAATTTAAATTGAGCTTAACAGCTAGATCAAAAAGTGTACTTAAAAGCACTTGCACAGCATCAAGTTCATTTTAATATCCTTTTTTTTATAAGATATACTTGCTTACTATTGTGTCGTGGAACTTTAATTTACAATTTATGTCATAGCAAATAGCACACTCGAGTGGATTCAAGCTGTGCAGGGTTAAAAAAATACGATAACAGCTTTCAATTATCCTTGTAAATAGTTCAACTAACTCACCGTTGAACACCATGTCTAGGTACTTCATGTTCATCACATTTTCATAAGTAAAGCCTCCAGGATATTTGGCAACTTCGTCAATTTCTCGCTGTAATTTTTCCTGCACTTTTGGATATCGAGCCAGCTCGTGAAAACAATACGTCAAAGTAGTCGAAGTTGTCTCGAAGCCAGCAATAAAAAATACGAATACTTGAGCCGCGGCCTCCAGCATATTCAATTTTTCACCGTTGATGTCTTGAAAAATTGAATTAAATTTTATCAATTGAGAACAGATTATGCGTGGATTGCTATTAAACTACCTGAAAGTTTTTCCACATCGCTTTTGCAGTCTGTTAGAGCCATGAGAGAATTGATAAAGTCGTTTCGCACTACCGATTCTTCTATCCGGTGTTGCACGACTTGTTTGAAAATTTGAATGAAAAATTTGTTGACGCTTTGCTTAAATACGGGCAAACGCCAGAAATCTAAAATATTCGATCCAAAAATACTTAAAACAGCTGTATATTTGCCCATATCGGTACCCAATATTCCGTGACGGCGAAAATCGTTGCTGGGATTTTTTAGACTATTACAATTGAAACCAAAAGCCACGTTCGATATCGAGTCAGTGATGAATCTGTGAAAAATAATTATATAATTAACTAACAACGTATTGTACGGCTATTAATTTTTGTCTTAGCTGTCGTACCTTTCAATCAAATCTCTGACATCTATCACATCCGATTGCTCGAGATTTTTATCGAAAACGTCTACGAGCTCGTGAGAAACCTCCACTACTAAAGGAAACAATTGTTTCAACTTTCCTGAGGTAAAGATAGGTGTCAGTTTCGTTCTGAGATGCCTCCACTTGTCGCCAGGCAATCGAAACAAATTGTAAGACATCGGGTCCGTCTCAAGATTTGAGTGAATACCCCGGTCGGAGAAGTAATTAAAGTCTTTAACCAGTATCAAACGTATTAGTTCGGGATCGTTGACAAATAGAATTGGATTGTGAAACACGTAGATGCCGAAAAATGGTTCTTTGCAAAATTGATCGTAATACTGTTTTACCATTTCACCTGAGCAGAAAAATGTTCATTGGTTTATTTCAAAACGGAGCTCGCTGCTTGTACTGGTTTTGACCCCTTACCGATCGTTACTTTGCCAACAAGGAAGTCCCGATTGATGTTGCCGAGAATAACATTCGGAGAAGCGTTCGGTACCTTGACTTTGTCCCAATAATTGTAGACGAAAAGTTTGAGATACAAGTAAGCAGCGACGAGTACCAGCGCCGCCCAAAATATCTTGGAAAACAAGAAATCTTGCAGTTGGACGATCATAGCGAAAGGAAAAGCAGACTTGCACTCGATGAAAATTATCGCGAGACGCACTAAAGCAGCCTCGGCTCGGAATCGCGCGTCGCAGTGACTGGCGACTGATTTATCTTACGATTGATTAACATATTCTCGCATTTTATACAATGAATTAATAAATAATCGAGCGAGATATAAGGCGAGTACGAGAACAAAGTATAGTTGCAATAAAAAGAAAATGTTATCCGACTGAAAGTGTATCTTTATTTTCTAGCATAAATTAAATTCTATATACAAGTTTATTAATCTTACATTTAAATTATCGTTGAAGGCAAATGCGCCTAAGCGTGTATTTTCGTACATTATGATTGCGTATACTCTAAACACCCGTTCGACAATTCTACACAAGCAGACGCACAATTGGATCACATTCGCATGCATTCAAAAGTTCATATTTTTTTATTTATTTCCTCACTCTCTCTCTCTCTTTCTTCGTCTCATTCACCTAATATTCGGCATGTGCCGATTAAATATACTATTTAACTTAGAGTCAATTAAACAACAAGTAGTCAACTAAATAATGCGTGATAAAAATGCACGATTTATATCGTAGCGATAGCACACCTTGGAGATAAAGATGCCTACGGCCGATGCAAGGATACGATTTCGTTAACTCGCGCAGCGACGCGTCGAGTCAAGACCCCGAGCCAATGCTTCGGAGCTGTCTCGCGCATCGCTTCGTTAACAAAAAAAAAGAACTTGAAAAAAAAGTCAAAACAATGTACAGGTTCGCTCTTGTCGAGCGAGATCGTCTATGCATTAAAGATTTGTTTGTGGATCGTACAGCTGGACTACTACTATTTGGTGTCGTCTTCGTTGTTGATGAGCTGCTGCGTCGAATTGTCGTGGCTCTTGTAAGCCGAAAAGAAGGCCAGCGCCTTCATGAGCTGGTAGCTCTTGCTGATCGGTATGTTGCTGTCGTACAGGCTCTTGGAGGCTTTGCAATCGACGTAGAACCACCAGTTGCACTTGAGGATCGTCTGGTCGAAGAGCGTCGACTCGGGACAGAGGAAACTCTTCATTATCAGGCCCTCGTCCGTCAAGGCGCACACGTGGAAGACCTGCGATGGTTGGGGGGGAAAAAAAAAAACAAAAAATACGTAAGTCGTTGGAAAAAAAATCGTCATAGCTCGAACGAGCCATTCGTCGCTGTCTCGATTGTATTACCATGCATCCCAAGTCCTCATCGGCGTAGAGGCCGGGAAAATGTTTCTGATCGCCGCAGTAGAAGGTGGTGTCGGGCAAGTCCACTCGACTGGCGAAATTGTCGTCGAAGTTCTTGTCGTAACCAACTGGATAATACTCGCGGGGCGCGTTCATAACTTTCGTCGCTCCGGTGTTGCTTGGTTTGCTGCACGACAGAGCGAGAAGAAGAAAATAATGTCATTGCTGCATAGGTATAAATGCCACGCAACGCGTGTAATAGCACACGAGACGCTCAGACACGCGCGTTATCCAACCGCACGAGTTATTTGCACTGCGAGCGAAATTGATCTAACGGACGCGTTTCTTTTCTCAGCGAGTTCGGGGAAAACTCGTGCATGCGAGCGGGAAAAAAAGTACTCGGATAGACATTATTTTTTCACGTATATAGTTGCGACGAAAAATCACCGAGTGTCGTAACGATTTTTGTCGATTATGATATAGAGCTCGTCGCGTTATACCTCTTGACCGGAGCCAGAGTAGTGGTGGTCGTCGTGGCGGGCGGTCCCTGCTGCTTCTGCAAGAGCTGCTGCTGCCTCAGCGAGATGGCCGCTTCGAGAGCCTCGAGGGTGATGTTGCTGGCCTCGGCCAGGGCCTTGAGGGAGGGCTCCATGCTCTGGATGGGCGCCAGCGACGGCAGAGACGGCATCGACTGGCGCTTCTCTTGGTCGCGCAGAGGCTGATTGGCGCTCTCCGAGGCGACGATCGGATGCAGCGACATCAGAGTCATTTTGTTGACCTGTTTTTGCATATCATCGTCATTTGTCAACTGTATCGGGGGAGGGACGAATCAAGCTTTATTCTTTCGTTCAACTGTATTTATATGGTGCAACTTTAGCGAAGGTCTAGGTGTCGAGGCACATACGATATCGGACTTACCTCGTTGGTCGAGTCGTCGAGGGTCGGACTGTCGCTTATGCGATTGGTGATTCGGGCGGCCGACGACGGCATACTGACGAAGGCCGGGACTGCGTTGCCCATCTTGTCGAGGCTCGCCATACTCTTGACCGGCGGAATAGCTGCCACGATGTTAGGAAGACGAGCCGGCTGATTCGCGCCCTGCTTCACAGAGAGAGTTTAGTTAGAACGGGGACGCGTGCTTAAATTATATCGCTGGCAAATGAGCATGTCGAAGCGAAGAAGCGTCAGGTACAGATAGATCGGACAGGTGGGATGGCGTATAGGTTAACGCTCGTAACGATCAAACGGCTCGATTATACAGATGGGATCTTCGTAATGCCATTATATACATCATCGCCGAGACGTGCGCGCAGGTCCTATCGTCAACCCACCTACCTGATTTATTCTCCTGGTTTGCATGATAGCAGCTTGCAAAGCTTGCGGATTGAATTGAACCTTCGGCTGGTTGTGCTGCTGCTTCATGGCCTCGAGCTGCTGCGTTCTCTGCTGCTTCAGCATGTACGCGGCCAAGATCTCCTGCTGGTTGGGCTGCTGCTGCTGCTGCTTGAGTTTGGCCTCTTGCTGGACTCGTTGCTGCTGCTTCAGCACGTCCTCCTGGAGCTCGGCGAAAGTCGGACTCGGCATGGTCCTCAGAGCGTTGGCTTGGCTGCTGCTGCTGCTGCTGCTGCTGTTGTTGTTCTGGACCACGAGACGTTGACGCTCCGGCTGCTGAGCCATGGGACGCGAGCCTCCGTTCGGCAGGGGCTTGAACGGCGGCAGTGCAGGACTTCTGCCGGCCTGTCTTGCAAGGAAGGGATTCATCTGTGCGTATTTGAAATCATGCGTGTGATAAGTGCGCGTGTATCGAGCATGCGACATTGTACAGTTCGGTTAAGAGGATGATCTATGGATTTAGCACGATCGGCGTCAACGAGGGGAAAAAATCGTAAACGTCTTACGAAGCCTGTGTATATATGTATACAAAAAAAAGGAGATACGAATTACTTCATATCGTAAATAGCAGAGTCACAGTCGAGATATTATTTCGCGCGTATACGCGTTTGTTATTGCTCAACCCGAGCGCATGCATAAACGCGGCAAAAAAGTAATTTGTATCCTCGCGCGCGCTACGTTTGAAAAAAATCTTCTACATTTATGATGATTTCTTGAAACTCCGAGTGCCGTTGCTACATTATATTATATTTATATATTAATGTCTACGCGTGCGTGAGTGTTTGTAAGAGCGGCAAGGGTCACCGCAAAAAAAAGATGCCGTTCACGCGCGTGCATACATATTTTCGCTATGAATCGAGATAAACTCGCCGAGGCACGCGCGACTAAATATATAGGAAATTGTCATTAAGCTCGTGCAAATGTATGCCGGAGCAACGAGAAATGTGCGTATTACCATAGTGTAGTAAGTGGCATGGCCCGCTCGTCTGGCCGAGTCCGGTGCGCTTCGTCTGCTGCTACTGCCGCTGTCGAGATTCGTCAGCGAGTCGGCGAATCCGAGCTCGTCGCCCACCGATAGACCTGGAAAAATCACGCGCACCAATGTTGAGTTATGAACAACGTGTACACTTCTACACTGAATTGTCATACACGCATGTATTAATGGTTCGTACACAGACGTGCATTGTTAGAATATAATGAGACATTAAAATGAGTAAGTTGAGTTCACGGACGGTACGCGCGTTGCTCGTAAAAAAAGTCATTAAGTTCGTGCTAACTCTGTTTTTTTTGTATAAAATAAAAAAAGGCCAACGATGCGACTCGAAGGTTGGCCGGTTGTTTGCCGTGCGATCGGTGCGAGGAAAAAACAAAACTTGAGCAATTGACAATTACATCATTCAGATATGCGGTGTGAAAAGTCGATTGGGGAAAAAAAGTCAAGCAAAGTCGTCGATTCAACTTTAGCTATGCGAAGTGCGGCTGATACGTTACTCGAGCCGCGATGTGGCGCACTCGCGGTCGCTGTTTATACAAAAAAGATTCAAAAATTCAATCATCTCGCGGTGGAACGTTCACGCATCTTTTCTGATGTATACACCCATTACCGTCGCGCTGATTGCGAGCGATCGAGATTATATACACACACACACACACACATACACACGTGTGCGGCTGAAAACACCCGTACTGAAATATAGCAATCATCGCACGCATATAGTGCAATTTTAGCGGGATTCCAAATCATGCGGTTACGTACGTACGTAACGCGCGCCATAATAGTGGATCGTCCTCTCGCTCATGTACACGAGGCAGTCTGAGCGGAAAATAAAAGAATATTTATTTCGTTGGCTCGAATTTCCATCCAATTAGAGATATGCTGGTGGAATTGAAAAAAAATGTATAGGCACAATTTTTAATTGATTCGCGTCGATGGTTAATCAATCGTGAATCGGTGTATTGTGTGGATTACATTCAGAAAGAATACACGAGTCAAAGCGATGTATCGTTTTTTTGCTCGTGCATTCACCACTGAAAGGAAAGAAAAGACAAAAATGTAGCCTCTACAACTTTGCAAAGGAGCGTTTCGAAATTTCATTATAATTTTAAATAACGAATAAAAAAGCCTCGATCGTTTAGCAGATACACGCTAAAAAAAACTCCAAATACACTTGCAAAAATCTCGCGAGCTCGAAACTCCGCTTTTGTACAGGCCCGGCTGCACACGTTGCTTATAAAGGCTCGATTGTTTGAAGATCATCCGCGCCTTCGGTCTTCTCTAAGTCTATATGCAATTAACGTTGACACATTGAATTCACATAAATTTATTATATGGATACGTATATATGTGTCTCGGTGATGCAATGCAGCGTGATGTGTATTTCTTTCGATACAGACTCGGTGAAGGGCTTGACGATTCATCGAGCACGAAAGAAATAGGATAATGCGAAAAAAGCAATATAAGTTAAGTTATATGGATCGAAAATTTACTCGGGAATACGACTCTCTGCAAAATCTAATTGTTGATTCAGCTCGCGATCGGTATACCCACGTGTGTATGTGTGCGTATAAGTAAGTAAGTAAGTAAGTAAGTAAGTAAGAGTGCACACTGTGCCGTTTCGGTGCGCTTAGGTGGAAAACGGTACTTTTTGTGCACATTGTGCACACAGGCGCGTGTGCGTGTGCGTAGGCATACATAAATTTGTGCATATAAAGCATAGCCACTGGCATCGGCTCGACTGCTCGTGATTTTTCATACATCGCATATATTATTACATAGTCGATTTATGCAGGTGCAAAGCGTGCAAAGCGCGAGGATGTAATTTGTATCTGGATATACATTTTATATAAACATCTCATGCGTGAACTTTTGTTGTTTATTTTTATCTTGCGTAATTTCCTACTACGTACTCGCGCCTTGTTCCGAGGATATTATCGTACTCGACTATTTTTGTTCAATTATCGCGATCGGGTCGATGACCGATAAATCGATTTTGGATTTTTAACGGTAACGCTCGGATCATTATTATTGATTCACTCACAAGCTCACGCTCGTTGCAGATTTTAAAGTTCAACGTGATTCAAATTTGTTTTTTTCGAGCCAGCTATTTTTATTAATCCACGTAGAATATCAATACGCGATACCACTCTCTTTTTGCAAATTGTATAAAATCGAAAAAAGTCCAAAACTATCAAAGTCTGAAACTTAATTTGCACTCTCGTGTATCGCTTCCATATTCTAGAAAGACAGGCGAGCGCAGCAGCCTCGCAAATTTTTTTTGATCCGAGTTTCAAGGCTATAACAGTGACTATCCCGGTTCTTTGCTGGCCGCTGTGATTGTGTGTATGTATGTGTGTTCGCGCGCACACGTATAAAACCCGAATTATCCATTAGTCCGCGTGTGCTTTATATGTGGTACTTTCACATTACAAGGTGCACGAGCGCACCAACACACACACACACACACACATAAACATCTATATTCGCGCAGAGCAGCGCCGCACGCGTAAACCAGCTGGCGTTCCGCGAAAATCCTGAATTTTAATAAATAATAATATGCACGAATCAGCGAGCTCATTTCTTATAGTTTTGTAGGTTAAATATTTGAGAGAAAAAAATGTTTTCACTTGTTATGGTTGTTTTTTTAACCGAGTCACATTGCGATCATCTACTCTTTTTTTCTTCTTTTTTTTTTTTGATATATTCGAAAAAAAGATCGGAACAACGGTATATTGATATAAAAAAAATGGGCCAACGGTATAATCCAATCTGCTCAGGTTCCTCTCTTTACGCGCGAGATGTGCTTAGCCGGCACGTTATTTTTAAACTATTTTCGCGATAATCTGCATTCACAAACGTGTACGAGTAGCGCGTTAATCGTCCGAAATTCTTGCCGGCTTCGTGACACGACTTTCTCCCGCTTCGTCCGATGGATTCGCGGCAGAGATGCAAGCTCGCGAGCCACTCGTGAAATCAAAAAGCAAAAACAGCAGTATACGTATTCTATGCGCTGACATAATTACTGTCCCATGAGCACCGGAGGACGGAGTTATTCTTTCGCGAATCTCTCGCGGCCGAAACAAATCAGTTTGTGCGATTGATGAGTTCTGCCAGCTTCGAGGTTTTAGGTCAATGCAGAGAAGGTGAGAAAACTGTCCAAGTATCGAATTTCACTCGTGCGATTTAAATATATGGCCAGTGTGAGCATAAATACGTGTGTGTGTGCCGTGCAATTGTACGAGCAAGTCGTTGACGCGTGCATTGTTGTTAGGTGAAAATAGTCAGATGAAAAAAGTGAAACGTACCACCACACCATTGATTAGTATCTCTTTTACATATTATTTATGTACAGCGAGTATGTGAGCCCGAAGGTAAGACTCGAAGCGAATGCACCTGTTTATTTTATTTACTTTTTTCCTCGTTCATCCGCAAAGGCTGAGAAGTAAAAGTATGCGCGAAGATTCGGTCGCCGCAGTTTGATCGTTTTCAATGACGATGCAAGTAAGCGTAAGGGTCGCGCGCGCACGGCCTCTCGTTTCACAATGGGCGCGGATTTTCGCAAGGTTATCGCAGGATTATAATGACAATGACATTGATGATTATGATGATGATAATATGCATGGTGATGAAAATTAAATTATGGGAAAAACACAATAAAGCGTATAATTTTTTTTGTTTTGTTTTTTTTATGGTGCCATAGTCATATCACTCACCAAGACCAAAGTAGCCTTTGACTCCTCCGAGATTACGGATACGAAATAGGCCAGACTTTTTCAGTGCGCAGCTGAAGGAGAAACCAAAGTCTGAATTTAAAACGCACGTACCACTGATTATTTGCCACGTACAGCCTAAAAACCAAGTGGCAACAAAAACAAATGCCATAGATATCATGTTAGGTAAACTGTGATGCCGATTTTTTTTTTTTTTTTCATTGATTTTCATTCAAATCGTGTGTATGCGCAGCAACAATCGAGCTGGCAACTTAGGATAATGTCGACGAAAGTCTCTCTTGGGTTTTTGTTTTATTTATTTTTTGAAATATTTAGTTTTTGCTATCGATCAAGAACTATACTCTGTGCTACTAAATCTTAAAGTTTGCTGATCCATTGACTTGCATTATTCCGGGCATCTTGCTGTATAAATTATTGATTAATCGTTTATTTTGACAGTACAAGCTCTGAGTCTTTCGTGCAAAGTAAAAGACAGGAAAAAATGTTTGTTTTATTGCAATAAACAGCCATGGTTGACCTCGATTTTTCCTCCTCGCCGTAGCTTTGAAAATTGTTCATGAAATTACGCCTATACGAAAGAATAAGAAAAAAAAAAGAAAAAGAAAAGACGTCAACGCTGACGAATCGATGCAAGTGTACGTAAACTTTCGATTGTCCCATACGATGAAATCGACGTTTATTTTCGCTGAAAATCCATTGAAACATCCTTTCGCTCTGACCGATAGTAAGAAAAAGTGTGTGTGTATATATGTAGGCCTGTGCGCGATAGGATATGCAGTTGAGCGAGTACACGCCGCGTGACGCGAGCGCGTAATATTCTAGTTTCGCGGCATATATTATCCGCTGCATATGTGCCGCGTGCAATCCACGATTTTTTATCGATATAATCTTAATTGAATGAAGGTAAAAGTCAACGGACTACGAGTGGCTTTGAATTTTAATCGTATGCGTAACCGAGAAATATTACGCACATATTAGACGGGCGCGCAGATGCCTGTAATTTACAGCGACCTTTTGACGCACGAACATTTGATAATCGCGCAAATATTATTCAGGAGTATGACGAAAGTGCGAGGATAAACAAGCACGAAAAAGGATACGAAAATCTTTTTCCTCGAGATCCGCTTGCGGTCGAATACGCATAAATTAATTCGAATCGATGCACTGACTCACGCAAGCCATCGTCGATTCATTCGCACGTTTCTCGTCTCTAAGTAAAGAAAGCAACGACGTATTTAAATGTCTCGCGGATGTTCGCACTTACGGACGCGCGTAAGGGCCGAGGAAAGATCGTCATTGGGCGATCTCGGTGGCGCGCATTATCATCGCTTTTAACGATCATCGCCTCTCTCTCTCCGTCGAGCTCATTATACGAATGTCTTTGGAAGCATCGCGAGTCCGCGTGTGCCAAGCGATCGACTTCCGGAAATTCCAAGCCAGCGAGAGAAAGATCGAGAGAGCCTAAGCACACGATCAGCCTGCGAGCGTATAGTCGAGTATATACGAGCGGGGACGACTCTGTGAGTGTGTGTACGTATAGCCTAGTGACCCACATCGAAAGCGTGTCTCGGCAGGCGCGATTTTTATTATATTATTATACACACATCCGTACGCGCGCCTCTCTCTCTCTCTCTCTCTACTCAAAGTATCTGTCAGTGTGGGCCTGAGTGTGTGTGTGTGTGTATGTCTATACCGATGACGAGGCGCTTGACCTCTCACTCGGACGGAATCTCGCGGGACACCGGCCAAAGACGGCTTTTTCGGATTCGCACACGTTTCGCGCGTTCCTCCGAGCTGCAATCTTCAGCGAGTTCGAGGGCTTCTCGACCGACGAACCATTTTTGAAATTCCGCTCGGCTGCAGCACACTATATGACTTGCTGTCGAGAGCTTGCGGTTTTTTACGATCATTGAATTGTCTTGACTGCAAAAAGTCACTCTCGGCGATGCAGCCTCGCGGTAATCCGCGCACAGGAGCACATCGTTCGCGCGTTCACACTTATATGCAAATATAATTGCAAATAAAAATAACAGCTCTTAAGGAGATGCCAAGACCGGGATAAAATGATTATTTTGAAATACCTTTTTTTTGAGATTTCTGTTGAATATTTTTCTAAACGATTACGTAAAAGTCTAAAAAATAACGCAAAGTTATGTCTTCGTTCTATTGTTTTCCAAACATACGCCAAATTTTCGGATATCTCGAATAGAATAGAAATCTCAAAAAAATTTATTTCGAAATAATCATTTCAATCTAACTTGAATATCTTCTCGACGACACATCTTTCCTCTTTTGATTGAGAAATTTCAAAATCCATCAGCGTCGATTCGACTTGCTCGAATGATAATAACATTTGCCTTCTATACATACAAATCCATATATACCTATATGCCTATGCGTGACATTTGAAATGCTGCGATGAAATTATAGCGGTATCCTTGGAAATAAAGTGAAATTTATGAATTTCACAAATGTAGGTATGGCTAGGCTAGCCAGGCTGTATCGAGTACGGACGACGACGAGACGACAAGTTTTACGAGGATGCGTATGTATATAAGTAATACTTATAAGTTATAAGGCATACTTATTTTACGGAAAGTGAAATGTTGTGGCAGTGAAACCATACAATGATCGTGACTAGCCAATAATCAGACCATTACTCGACTCTTCGTTGAATAATTAATATAATATATATACTCTTTTTCTCGACGCCGTCCATGCATATAACCATGTACCGATGAATCGCCCGTGCACAACTGCACGAGACTCTGTTTCAACTGCAGTTGTTTTAAACTTTACGTATACGTACAAGTTTAGCGGATGAAAGGCGGATTACACTTTTTTTTCTCTCTTTGTTACTTTGTCAAATGCATAAATTTGCTCGAGCTGACCTATTTCAAATTCCACAAGTACCTTTCTTATACATGCGAAGCTTTCATTTGCTACTCGCGGCTTATGGTACATACGCGCTTCTTCGGCATCGATTGCGACTCAATATCTCATCTCAAAAGTCATTTATCTCATTAGGCAAAAAAGCGAATGTTTCCTTTAATAATACATGTGTACGGCTAGTGTATACAGTGTGTGTATGTGTCTCGATGTGCAATAATTATGACCTCCGCTTGGTTTACAGCATATCTTCGCGTGCCATAATATGCCACAGACTCTACGCGGCATTCGTCCATCTATCGTTTACTCTTTTTTTTCACGATCGACAATTCGTGTGATTTCACAATTTGATTAATAGCGAGCGTATCGAGCCTCTCACGTATAAATTCACGGCCTAATTTTTACACGACTTTTTCCCCTCGAGCCGAGGCATTTTTTTTCTCTCTTTGTCTATCTCGCGTCGATCCCTCGGATATTCCTAATTATCGGTAATGACTCGACGGCGCACAAGTCCAGGCAATCGCGCCGCGGAATGAAACTACACTCGTCATTATATATCGACGACGAGCTCGCGATTCGATCAGAGGAATAAGGTATGGCTCGTGTACGTGCGCGTCTGCTGTGCCGAGTGTAGTTTAGACAAACGAGTTCTTACGATTGCTCATTTTTACCGTTTGCCTAATGATACGCGCGAAGTCGCATTATCAATTTACGCGCTCCAAGATAGATGCCTTGGTTATATAAAAATACGTAAGGGAATAGTGCGTGCGTACGCGTGATGAACATTTGTGGGTGATATAGAGATGAAAAATTACCGGATGACTTATTTGAGCGCTGTAACTGTAAAAAAATATCACCAATCTTCATCGCTGAAATTTCTTTCTTTTTTTTTTATCTAGCAACGATGCCGATTCTTACGTTGGATTTCGGAAGCGACTTCTGACGTTAACTTTGAAAAGAATTAGATATATTTACATAATTTACAAGGTAAATCAATAACCATTTATATGCATACTGGATGTACACGTTAGTCTATAAAAATATCAGAAAAAGATTGAGCGTCAGATATATTAATTGATAGTATAATAAGAGCCATCAAGTCAGTCTTAAAGTCAGAAATTAATAGCACAGAATATGTATACATTGTAAATGAAATAAAACCGTATGAAATGTAAAAGGTATAGAGATACCCCATAACCCAATAGAAATCTCGAGACTCTTAAGACTAGAAAAATTAAAATAATGATCTAAGATTTAAAAATAAAAATAATTAAAATTTGATGTTTATATCGATCGAACGATTCCGTCTACGCGAAGTGCCGGATAGCATCAAAAAAAGCTCTCATCGCGTGCGTTTACGTACCGCGTGCAAGTTCGCGAATTGCAATGGGAAATAAAAGAGAACTCCCGATACAGAAAAAAAAAGAAAAGAAAAGCCACGGGCAGAGAGAAACACTCTTGTCGTCCCGCGATCTTTCTTTTTTTTTCATTCCCGGAAAATTGCCGCTCATTTACGCGCTCGATCGTGCGTGATGCTGCATTCGTGTGCACCTTTGCTCGCGCGCAAATCGAGAAAATACGAGACAAAGTTTCTGCACACGAATATTCTGGAAAATGATTAGGCACACGCGTACATTTCATGACAAATTGAATTTTTTAATTCGAGAATGGTGAAAGAAAAATGTCGTGTTTACATACCAAGAAAGATAAAAAATGACAAAATTTCGACGATCCGCATGTTGATGCACTTAAAAAAAATGGCTCGAGACAACAACAAAAAAAAATAAATAAAAAGCCCTTGCAGCAATGTTCAAAGGCTGTGTTTTCGGCGAAGAACAACAACACTGTATCGATAGGCGCACTGATACTCGTCGTCTATGGGGCTCCGTAGATTCGCGCGTGAACGACGGAGAGAAAAAACAGAGAGCGAGAGAGAAGGTGGCCGAGCTGCGCTCGAGTTTATACCGCGAGGCCGCACAGGTATACACTGAATAAAACGCCGTACCGTATGAGAGAGAAAGACGCGTGTCCGCGCGCGCGAACGGACCCCGACCGCGGCACGTATACTCGGATAAACGGGGCCCCCCGTGTGTGTGATATATAGAAAGGAGCGGGGACACTCGCGAGAAAGAGAGAAAGGCCTCCTCCCCCTTTGAATTACGCGCGATGTACACCTGTACGTACACATGTGTGTAGCAGGTACATAATATCCATAAAGAGAGCTGCCGTTTTCGGATTTATCGCGTGCGTAAGCCTGATTCGCCCTCGGTTTTCAGACATTAGACCGACTCGCGTATCGTGGACTGGTCATTCGATAATTGCTCCTTTTCGTGATGGTCGCTAATTCGTACTCGAATCGTCGCGGCTTGTTAAGAGCTTGCGAACTTGGATTTTTTTGTCGCTTCGAGCTTGTAAACCGATTAGAAATTGTGTCTCGATCGAAGGTGAAATCGGTAAGCCGATCGTTGCATCAGAGTCGACGAAGGAGAAAAAAGATTGAGATGTATTTTCTTTTGTCGCATCTCGGTGACACATCATCTGAATCAAAAGAGAGGAGCACTGACCCACTAGCGAGTACTCGATAACGGGATCGATGAGTGCGATCCGATGACTTTTGAGCCTGAGAGCACAGCATATGTCGCGAGCGCCATACAACATTATCAGACGTAAACGATGATGTTGCTGTTGTGAAACTGCGAATCGGTGATGGTCATTAACTATTTATGATAAACGCTCGTTTGATTTGCATTTTCTAACGATGTTCACAGTTAAAAAGTATACGATATGGTACTGCACAGGGTTATTGACATTTTTTATGAGTAATAAAGCATTTAATACCATCTTTAAAGTAATTTAATAACGGACTTGAAAAACAATTTATAACAGTAAACACTTTTACACTACGACATTGTCTACCACGAAATATTCGTTACAAATTAAGATGAACAGTGTTTGATTATTTTGGTCAATCACACTCTACATCTATCTAGTTTGACGGTTGAACGGTACAATTTCCTTTTCAATTTAAAACAATAATTTATACAAATTCTCATATAAAGTTATCGAATACAAACATAGATTTTGGTTGAATGTGTGTAAATAAAAGGAACATGACAACTTATATGTTTACAGCTAAAAAATCAGATACTTATTTACAATTTGATTTGAATAATTTAAAATTAATTTTTGCTTTTAACTTTTTTGAGATCAATTAAAATTATAATTTAACAAAATGTCATGCATATCTGTTGTCAGTTTTTTGTTCATTCCTTACAGATTTCTATTTCTCCTACTTTTGAAAATTATTTAGTGATACATTTTTAACAAAAGATGTTTAAAACTCACAATATTAAAAAACATGGAATTTTCAACAGATCCTATTTTATGAAAAAATTTTTTTAGCAAGGCTTAATTTTCTTATCCGATTTCAGTGAGCTATCATCAGATTGAGTATTAGATTCAGATTGGTTTTCATTTGCATTTGTAGTATTATTTGATATACTTGTATGTCCATCCTCTTGAACAATACTTTCAGTTGGAGATTTTCCATTTAATTGCAGATCTTCAGTTGACAGATCGGAATTTACTTTCACATAATCTGATATATCACTTTCACAAGAAACTTCCACAGTTTTAATGTCTTGGTCACTACCCGCAATATTGTCTTTAATTGGTTCAGTTATACTTTGTTTAGTTACAATGTTATGATCAGACGTAACAATGACTTCATCTTCAGTCTTTAAATCTTTGGTTTGCTCATTATTAGAAGTACTTGATTCGTTCACTGGAACTGCATCACTATGGACACATTCTTCATTTGATTTTTGTTTTAATTGGGCTAACATATTTGCTCTTTCCGTTTGTAGTGAGTGACATAATCCTTCAAGAACTGTACATTTTTTATTTAAGGTTTTAATCTCAGCATCTCTCTTTTGTTGATCAGTAACCATTTCTAATAAATTTGCATTACTCTTTTCCCATCGTTTTTTCCACATATTTGTTTCTTTTTCTAATTTGACAATTTTTTTAGTCATCTGTAAAAAAGAATATGAGTAAATACAACTTTTATGGATAATAAATAAATAAATCTAATTTCATGTAAATTTTCATGATCTATAAATTTTACCTTTTCAATTTCGGTATTGAATCCACCGAAAACCTGATTACTCTTGGTCAAAGTATTTTGAAACTCTTCATATTTTTCAGAGTACATGTCTACTTGTGAACGTAAGTTAGCTTCAATTATTTGAAGTTCTTTTATCTTAGCATGATACTCTGCAAGTTTTTGCAGTAATGCAGCCTTCTCTTTTAAAAGAACTTCTTTTTCTTCCGTCAATTCTAAGGTGACTTGATTTAATTTTGCATCTGCAGCTTGAAGTTTGCAATTCATCAATTGATGCATGCTTTCAAAATGTTGCTCTCTCAAGTCCATTTCATTAAAAACTGACTTGAATTTCTTTTGAATTTCCATATTGTCGTTGTTTAATTTGGCATTTTTTTCATTTGTTTCAGTCATCAGTTGCGTGAACTCTTGCAAAGTTGTCTGAAACTGAGCAGATACTTCTTTTCTCTTTTCTTCTTCTTCTTTTAGTTTGAGAAGGCTTTCTTCTTTTACAATTTTATTTTGTCTTTGTAATTCTCTGCACAAACTTTCAAGGCGACTCTTAGCTAATACAGTTTTACTTTTTTCTGATTCTGCTTGACTTTGCTCTTTCAGAGCTGATTCTACTCTTTTGTGTGCTTGTTTCAAAGATGATTGCAGTTTGCGGTTTTCATCCACAATGTCTAAGTACTTTCCACTTAAAATTTGCAGTTTTTCTTCCACTGACAGGGGGCCATTTGGGCTTTTGAAGAATTGTTCAAGCTGTTTTTCAGATGCTTTTCTTGCTTTTTTGTCTTTGGCCAGAGTTTTGTTATCGACAGGAGCAACCTTAAAATAAAAATATAAATTTTGAAAATGAAAGAATGAAAAAATTAAATTAAAGATGAGAGATTATGTGTTTTGTCATAACAGTAACAAAAATAATAAAAGGACGATTATTATGAAAACTATGCAAGTGTGGTTTTTACAAAGGGTTATAGTACTTACAGTTTCATTACTGTCGGTTATCACAGCAGCACGGGTATTGGTCTCCATTGTTTATGCTCATCAACGATTGGAAATTGCAATGAAAAGTTTCCCAATTCAGTCAGTCTTATCGATTAGTATCAATAATCAAATGAATGCACAGGACAACTGAAATACAATGAAATGTATGTGAGTAAACAAACAGAGATTGCCGGTAGAGTATGCAAGTTTACAGAGGGCGCGACGGGCTTGAAAAGACAAAATTATTTGCCGCAAGCGTGAAGCGATGCGTGCATTTGCGTTCTGCAGTAGCATCGCGCTTAGAATCCAAAAATTCTGAGATAGAACTGTATAGAATTTAAGGAAAAATTTGATGTTGGATCGAAATCGATGCAGACGCACAGACAAAGAGAATTGAAATTTCTCGAAAAACAATTGGAAGGTGCTTATAAGGACGCTAGATCGTTCAACAACTTGGCGCATGAAAATAAAAGAAAAACAAAGTTACTCAGCATCATTATTATTGGCAAAGAATAGCGCGGTACGACAAATAGGCAGCAAAACTAAATGTAGCTCGCGTCGTCGCGTTTAATGACAAACTTGAGATTAGCTCGACGATTGAAAAATAAACGGTAATGTTGAGTTTTGCGTAAACGTAAATGTAGGCGCGATAATAGTTACAGACACACGGCTATCTTATACACGTATAATAATTCAGCATCCGATTTATTTATAGCCCACACTCTATGGGTTTTCAAAGTATACGTGCTTTACTGCACAGCAGTGGTAATTAACTTTACAAATATCTCAAGGCTCTAATCTAACGGAGCAAATAGCAGCTTTTTCGAGCAAAAAAGCTCAACGTCCGGATAATGGAGAAAAATCTGAGTACTACTAAAAGTGTGAATATCTACCAGAGGTACGTCGTTGAATCGTTTTTCTGGAAATCTGCGACCTAGAGAGGGGCACTCGTTGCTACAAGCACAGCTGCGATCGAGCTTTGAAGCGCAGTAACGTTGTATCGCGCGTATTATCGATATAATATCATGTACGTGCGGGACGAAACGGAAGGTACTACTGTCGCTCGGTGCAAAGACACACGCGTTGGCTCATCGGTTGCGTATACGCACGCATAATACAAATACACGCGAATCGAAGCAGAGAGACGACACATAAGCGTATATACGTAGCAGCAGCAGCTCTGGCCCACGCGTTATTTTCGTCGCGTTCTAAACTTAGCGTCGACGGTGGAGATGGTTGGTGCTTTCGGAGCTTGCGCGCAATGCCACAGCTATACGACACGCGAAGCTCTGGCCTTAAATTTTCCCTCGTGCATCATCCGATGTGTTGCTGCTGCTGCTGCTGCTGCTGCTATCGATCATGTGACTCGTCGCCTACGTGCCCATAAGGAAGAATTTCATGGTGGACGAGTATGAATAATTTATCTGACTTTTCTTTACAATGCTGCACGCAGCCGCATGCACACGTGTACGCGTTCTGCTGTCGACGTGTATAACGGAAAAAACCGGCCGCGATGCGATGTACGCGCACAATTAGCTCCGAGCGGCATAATTGGAATTGCCATGGGCTCGCTATGATAATCGGCCGCGAGCGTCTGATTAATAATGCAGAGCCTACGCTCGCGAGCTTATTATATATGTAACTGCTCGACGGCTAATTTTTCCCTCGCAAACTTTTCTCGGCCGTGCAGACATATAGCGACGATAAGCTTCCGATCCCACGTTGGTCGCGACCGAAATCGCGAGACAGACTATAGGCGCCCATCGTAGGTATATATACACCCGATCGTAGAAAACAAAAACGTCGGAAAAAGCCCATAAAGTGTCGGCGCGTTCCTCGATGCAGGCGCGTACGTGCGTGCTCGCGCGTGGATGCACTGTAGGCGATGCACATCGACGACGACGAGTCGAGCTAGCTCGAGCTGCAGCCGCCGATTAACATGCAGCGAGCGCAGCCCAACGCTCGGCACGCACCAAGAAAATCGATTCGCATGCGCTGCTGCTACTGCTGTCTATATGCACACACACGGCCGATGCGCTCGGCGATCGGCGCGATCCCTCCCTTTCCCGGTCGAGGCAGCTGTGCGCGGCTATATACCTGCCTGGCCGACTGCGTGACTGCGTTGTCCAACGAATTGCCCGTGTGTGTATAAGCTGTGTGTTTATACACTTTCGGCATTGTCCATTGTACCGATCGCTACGGCACCGATGAGATTCTTCCTCTTTTTCGTCGGCCGTTTATCGCTTCATCTCGCAATACCGAGAACGAGCTCTACTCGGCGCGTTTCATGTCGCGCCTGCACCTTCCTTCGGAACACACGCAGCTTTTTCTACTTTATTTTGCTCGCTTTTTCATGTACGATCGACGCCAAGAGGAAGTCTGATCGTTCGCACCTTACTGTGCTGCAAGTCGCACCACGTGAACCGCTGCGCTTGGACTTTTCCATCGACGGCCCGCGAACCATCTTCTCGCATACTCGTAATTTCGAATTTAGTTCTGTAAATGAAAATTGCGTGCCAGTCGATAGACGATGGATGGCCAGCAGCTAGTCTAGCGCGTGTGGCATACGTGACTTCGCGAAGCTACGTAACGCTATGTACGATCGCGCCACTTGAATATTCATCTCGAGTAATTCGTGCCTTTTGCTATACACACTCATTATAAACGATCACAATGACAGCTGCGAGCTTCGACTACGATTACGCTCACTCACACATGTGTAACGTTGATCTATACGAGAGGAGCTAAAAGATAAACGCGATGCTCGGAGCCTCATACGAATTGTTCTATTTGTTTTGGCCGCGCGTGTTGCAGCTTTTGCACGAGCTTGCGAGCTCGCTTATATAGACGATATTTGTACACCATCGCGTAACACGGCACGCGCAAGTTAATGCAACGCCAATTACGTGTCGAATTATTTAGCATACAAGATCGTTTTGAGAGACCAGTCGACACTCGACGAAGAAACTCGTAAAGTTCATCGGGTGTATTACATCGTGCCAAAAAAAATATTTACGCTCCAGTCGAGAGGAAAAGAACGACGAGATAGCGAGCTTTTGGAAATTATTTATTATCGTGTGATATGTACATATTGTCCCTTTAAAAGTTCGGGATCGATTGCTCGAACGTGATATACCGAAAGAGCCATACGGATCAATTGAAGGTTCAAGGAGCTCCATGCAGAGGACGACAATGATTCAAGATGTCCTTATTGAAAAATTCAATCAAACTCTGAGATGCGAACGTTTCGGTGATATATTTTTCAGCGGACTATGCAAAATCGACGTAGCAATATTTTCTTTTTTCATCTGCATTCCATGCAAATACATTAAAAGATATTTTGTTGGCTACCTCATCCACACAATAATACGCTCGATTGTTCACCGTAAAAAAGAAAAGTCGATTAAAGTTATTCGCAGCGGGCACAATTAAATCTATTCAGATATCGCAGCGGAGTAACTAGGTCGCTTCTAATCAATGAATAATTGTTGTTTAAAAATGGAAATAGAAAAAAATGGAGAAAATAACCCGTACAATCGTGGCTATTATTTCATTTCGAAAGAAGAGGGATGAAGCGAGCGATCGTGTCCCGAGCAAATGACGAAGCAACGAGCGTCGAGGGAGTAGGAGAAAGAAGACGCGTCGCGCTGCCGGCCACGCCGTTGGTCAAGCGCTCAAAACAAAACTCCTTAGGACCGCGTGGATTCGAACAGTTGAGTAAATACTCGGCCGAGGTAAACATCGCTCTCCTCTTTTACTCGAGATCAGAGAATTTTTATTCGTACATTTCTCTCTCTCTCTCCCTCGACCGAAGAATTAATTTATTATTTTTCGACCGATATCAATCGTCAATTGCGTTTTTTCCACGTATTTCAAAGTGCGCGGGTGTGTGTTTGCCTACTGGTTGTAAACGTGGAGTTTCAAGCTCCGCAAACGAGCTTGCGAATCATGAACGAGTTCGCGAGGCTTTGAACGTCTTTGGTTCGTTACGTCAAAGGAAATAGATTACAGCGAGTGAAATTGAAATCGAGCAGAATCGATCAATTACCGTAGTTGGCGCAAAAGCTGATTCTCGATCGAGTCTTCGCTCAAAGTTTTTGGGCAACTGTCGTAAGCTAATTCTGCATTGAACAAAAAAGGTGTGAATCAAATCAATGGAGAACATTCGAATACCATTGGAAGCGGCAGCGGCGAGTCTCGCCAACGCAACCATGAACGCGACGGCCTCGATACCGGTGAAAAGTCGATCGACCAGCATAATTGCCTTCGTCGTGTTGAATCTCGTGTACGTCGTCGGTATCGTGGGAAATATCGTGGCGCTCGTCATACTCTTGTGCAAGGACAAGGTAAGTCGACGATTCGGCGCTGCTCGCGCGTTCACGATCGGCAGTGGCCTACTTTACGCCGATGTTTATTTATCGAAGTGAAGAGGCGGCGGCACGCGGCACGACACCTGGGTTAGTGTCACGGCGAGCTGCCGAAAGCTCGACGTATATAAATATAACGCGTGGATCGATCGATTGCAGGGCCGAAACAGAAAGCACCTGCTGATGCTGCGCTGCCTGACCGTCAACGACTTGATCGCCATGATCGGCACCTGGGCCCAGATGTACATCTCGCGGATCTTCGTCAACGGCAGCTTCTGCTACCTGCACGTGATCTGGCGGCTCTTCGGCCTGTTCAGCGGCTGCGTGGCTCTGGTCATGGCCGGAGAGAGATGGCTGGCTCTCACCCGGCCCTTCGTTTATCAGAAGGTAGGCGTCGTGTACTTTTGGCGTACTTTGAACGTTTGCCGGAGGAAGAAAAAAAAATGACCCGAGTATAGATCATGGAGCGAACGCGTCAATTATTTTATTGAATTGTTCTTATTGAGAGGCGGCAGGGGGTCGATTGAGTTGTCATGCGCTTGCAGCCGTATCAATTATTAGCGCATCCACGTTGAATAACGGGTACACGATGTGCGATGAAGCGCGTCGGCGCAACTTTTAAAAGCTCGAAACATCCCGACGAGTTGTCAATCTTGGCAAATTATGGAACTTTCGAGTCAAGGTTATCGAGCGGCGCACGAGAGCATCGCGACGAATCTCGAAGATGCGCGTTTATTTCAGTCTTGGCGGAAGGATCGCTGCGATTCGCGAGCGCAATCATTTTTTTTATGTTTTGCGCCACTCGAGTCTTATAACGCTCGTGTAAACTCGCGATCGGCTCGTCATTGTGTCGCTGCCAAGAATAATTAAGCATCACGAGCATTGCTCGCGAAGAGAACCATATATAAATCGACGCGCGTTACACGCACACAATGAGCCTTAGCGAGCGAAACGGAAAATTTTCTATACGACTCGGAGAAAAAAAAGAGCAGAACGAGAGACACATCGTTAACGGCGTCTGGTGGTGAGCGTCGCGCGAAAGAATCTTGACGATCATTTTTGCGAGCATTGAACTTTTGCGCACGGCGGGAGGGCGGCAATTCGAATGCTACGATCGCGAGCTGTTATACAGCTGCTGTAATTGCGGGTCACGCGAAAAAGAGATAATTAGCTGTGGTACATCGACGAACTCGGTGACACGTTGATATTTAGCAGGTAACGTCCCAGATGATCGTACGCTGCATGATTGTCTTGTGGCTGGTCGCGCTCACCCTGACGATGCTGCCCTTCTTCGGCTTCGGACTCTACGAGAAGGTCACCGACAAAGGCGTCAAGTGTCTGAGGTATCGGGACGCCGTCGAGCCCGTCGACGTCGCTTACGCCTACGTCTGGTTCACCTTCGGTAAGCCATAATAGATACAACGATTTTCATCATTCTTGCGGGCCGATCGCTCTGTTAAAGGAAAATTAATCGAGCTCGATATTAACAGGTACGATCCTTTGCCTGTCGATCGTCTGGTGCAACTTGGCCGTGGCGAATGCGCTGCGTCGTCTTGGCCGACGCAACGGAGCCCTGCGCCGCATATCTCGCGCCTCGTCGAGGGCGAGACCTCTGCTGAACGTCGACAGCCAACCACCGGAGCTCGGAATAACGGCGGAGGAGCGAGCTTTCGCCAAGCTCATGGCTATGCTCTCGATTTCCTTCTTGCTCTGCTGGATGCCGCAGATGGTGCGTATCATTGATGTACTTTTACTTAATTTGCTTTAATCTTTCATTTTTTTCTTCCTATAAAAGTTCTCTTGATGAAAAGAGATGCTCGCAGATTTGGTTGTGCGCGCGAATAAAAAAAACACGCGAATCGAACTAGAAAGATGATTTTTATTTCAATCGAGTATTTTTTTTTACACCACGTAACTAAAAATGATCCAAGTATAAAAATATTGATTAAAATGCATCGAGAAAAGGATATGTTATGAATCGACGTGTATTAAGTTCGAAATCTCATTGTCAGGATTGACCATGGGTCGATCGGAAACGACAATAACACGTGCCCTTCGTTACGCGTACGCGTCGTCCAACTGTGATTTCCGGAAGCCGCAATGCCGCGCTCGTGTGCATCGCGTGCGAGCCACGGCTGCATCCCTTGAGAGGGCTTTTACGGCCGTTTTACAAATGCGGCACGAGGCTATACGCGATGCATATACGCTGCAGCAGCATCTTGCCGTACGCACGTGACCATTATACAAAATTATTATTTTGTATTTATTAGCGCGTCCTTCGTATCGCCTCCCCTTCTTTCCTCTCCCTCTCTCTCTGCGAATCGTGCGTCGATCGAATTATCAATAATCACGATATTAGCTTTCAATCGTCGAGATGTGAAACTTGTTAATATAGTTTCGCACGCAAGTGCACTTGCCTACGTACCATTTTCTTAACCAAATCGTTGCTTCGTAATGAGTTAAGGTATTTTTTGGCAATGCAGCCACGCCGAGTATCGAACTCGGCTGGTATCGAGAAAAATCATAACTCGCAGCTCTCCTAATTATGCGCACGTTCTCTTCTCGATCGCGCTCCAACTTCCGGACGTTGAAAAATCATTCGAAATCCATATGTGCATAAATCGGTACACGCGTCACGTACGGCATCGAATACTAAGCGTGTTTCCTCGATGGCTCGTCCTCATCGCGTATTCCTTGCATTTTCTCGCATGTGCCCTCTCGCAACCAAGTTGATCTCTCGCCACGACGAATGCGGCGACGACTTCTACGACCATCGACGAGAATCGAGAAGGAGAAATATGCGCACACGAATGCACGAAGCTAATTCTAATACGATACATTGTGGTGATTCGATGTAAAGACGCGCTCGTCTCGTCGCGCTCCCTCTTGTTTTGCAGGTATCAATTCCGCTGGCTCAGTACTTGCAAAGGTTGCCGCAGGATCGCGTCCTGCTACGGCGTCTGATAATAGGCTTTCAAAAGGCCGCCGACATCCTCCTCTGTCTGCACTTCACTCTCGACCCGTACATCTACGTTCTGTTGAGGCTGCGCTCGGGGCTGCGCTTCAAACTGCTCAAGCCACTCTGCCGCGTCTGCTGGCCGGCCAGAAGTCGAGCCAGCTCCTTTACAGGTCTGCATCGTTCGTCATATTAATTTACCTCGAGCCGTAGCCACAAAAAAGAGCGTCGAGAAATAAAAATGAATCAATTTTTTTTTTTGTTCAACTGCAGCGACGACGGAAAATCCAGCTAGCAGCGGTGACGTAGGTGACCCACCGACGCCCATCACGGAGACACCCTCGACACCGGTGAGCGAAGAGCACGAGTCCCAACTGGTCGCCGTAGCTGTGTAAATGCCGACCCAAGCAAGTTTGACAATTTGTTTCGGAGCGTTGCTCTGAAAAAATATATCTCTTTCCCGCCGGAACCTATCAACTATTGTTGTATTTATCCTCATTCGTCTCTGTAAATTGCCAATTATCTGAGAAATCTAATGGCTGACGATTTTTTTTCTTTTGCTGTCTTGAGAAACTTGTTCTGTATGTCTTAATTGTCCCTAAAATTTATTGAAATTATATTCGGACAATCTATTACCTTTTTTTAGAGGTTCATAATTGGTGCTTCTCTTAATTACACAGGTACTGCTTATATTGAAAAAAATTTTCAGCTTAGTCCAGAGGGATTTTAGAAAAAACGTACTAGTTTTTCCACTGAAAATTGACTATACATTTAGAAAAACAATATTCCCAAGGATCTGAGCCTTTTGAGTAGTTTGCCACTGTGGAGAGAAGTATAAAAGTGGAAATCTAATTGCATAAAAGTTTTAAATTTCCTTACGATGTTAACTAGTATCTTCTCAGTTGTTGTAATAGGCCTTCAAGTCTATCGGGCATGAAAAATTCGATAGTATGGAAAAAACTATATGTCGAAAATAGGCTACTTTTCGCTTTTTTTGGCCTTTATTTAAACATTTTTCCACAATTTTTTGATACTCGCAGATTTTTAGACGTCGTTAGTATTAGTGGCCCATTAAAAAATTTAGGAGATATTAGATGAAAATCTTCATCGAAAATGATAAAATATAGCTCTTTATGTTTCTATGTTAACATCGCTCAAAGTTGAGCTAAGAATTTTTTTAATATTGACTAAACCATGAATTTTATATAATCGTCGACTTTGTGACCCTAAAAAAGGTAGTGTGCTCTGAAAAAAACTAGTTTTTTCGTCAGCAGGAAAAGTTTTATTTTGGCCATTCGATTTTCAGATAATTGTCCATATGTAACTAGTAGACAGTAAAAGAATCAATTTTCAACTACCCGATTCGTTTGACTGTTAATCGTAGTTTTAATATGTTGATATTTTTTTGTAAGTTCATGACACTTATAATGTGTAATAATACAATCTTTGATCATTCCATTAATGTTTATTTTAAAACTTTCAAAATATTTACAAAATTATTAAAATTATCAAAAAATATAACAGCGTGAATAGATGTTGAACCTTTTTTATGTAATCCAGAGGTAGCTAAGGTAGAGTAAAAATGGATAATTTTCAAACGCTTTGAAATAATTTTAAACAACGAAGGCATCTTTGAAGATTTTATCAACATTTTCAGAAGGTTTCGATAAACGCATTTGAAAATTTCCGATATCTAAATTACAAAAAATTTAAAATGAAATATCTATAAACATATTTTTTCACCTCAAGATTGATCTTAACTGTAGTAATAGAAAATAAGTGTATGAGTTATGTGTGTTTGTAGATAGGTATTGACAAATTTACTTAGAAAAAATAAAGTAGGACGTAAACTTAAGTTCAAGTGTGTAAATTATTATACAAAAAGAAATAAAACTTATCGAGAAAAAATGTTCATAAATTTTTTATATCTTCGCTCCATCTTAAAAATCCAATCACTTTGTGTATTAATTGATCACAAAATGACAATATTATAAACAATTAATAAATTAAATTTCCACTACCTTTGTTTAGTTTTTATTTGTCTCACACACATTCTCCATGTGCATACAAATAAAAGTTCTCAACTTTAATTGTTGTTTAGCAATGATAATAACTAAAGTAATTAAAGTTATTTAGTGAGATTTTATGCCATATAAATCAGTGAAATTTGATTTTTCCTCGAAACGGTTTTACTTTCGCATTTTATAAATTAAGATCATTTTTTCAATGCATTGTTTTTTTGCACATGGAACATGGATTTTTGTTTGAAACAACAAAATTCGGCAATATTAGGGTTTTTCTATAATTTTCATGTTTTTACATGAAATAATTAAATACATTACCATTAATCGGCTTGTTTTGTAATTTTTCTGTTACAACTATTTTATAAAAATTAAAAGCATTTTAAGTGACGTGTCATAGTTTTATAACAATCTTATTCTTTTATTTATAAGTTAACTTTATTCATAAAATTTTTACTAAATTACAGTAAACTGCAAATTGCATCCTTGGACCCTGAAAGAGTATTTTTAAAATTAGGGAGACATATCATTGTCGATAAAGTAGAGCGAGTAGTCTGCTGCGCCAGCCATCTGACACATTTATAATAGGTTACAATGCAACGCTGCACGGCTAGGCTATTTCAACGCACTCATCACTGTTGATTGCTGAATGTAGACTGTAGTTTACTTTAGCGAACACGCGCGAATGTAGACGCATATTTTTTACTGTCGGTTTTGTGTCAAAATCAAAAACATAAGCTTGGAATCTGTGCATGCAACGACTTTTAGTGGACATAAATGTATTCTTCATTACATTTATGTGCAGTGTTTACACTTTATACTGGATTCAAAGCAATGTTGTGATGGCGATTTGTTGACATTCATTGCCGAAAGCGACAAGTGCTATCGACAATTGTGCGGCTTAGCAGTTATTTGTTTTTGAAAATGGCCAAAATGCAGCAACAAATATGCAGAACGTGTTTAGCCACCTGCGGTGAACTCGTCAATATATTTTCAGAAGATTATTATGTGCACAATTTGAGCGAAAAGCTTTATAATACTACAAACATTGAGGTTAACTTTTTAAAAAAATCTTATTTACTTATTTATTATTACTTAACATCATACTAATTCAGTTAATTTATATCTTTCCTAGTTCGAATTTGTATTCTCTATTTATCTGTACTCTAATATTTTTTATAACATCTCTTAGTATCGTTCCAAACAAAACCCTTATATACTATATTTTATTAATTTATTTTTGCTTTCTAATAAAATCTTTTATCTGAGTAAATAATTTGTATTTATGATTGATTATAGGTTCAAAAAAATGATGACTTACCACAAATGATGTGTAAAAAGTGTATATTTATGGTGGATTCTTTATATTGTTTCAAAGATCAATGTGAAATGGCTGATATCAAATTAAAAAAAAGTTATAAAATTCCTATGGGTAATAATTATATTCTATTCCTTCTATTAATTATCAATGAATTGATTATTATAGTTAAATTTTGTATTTGTTGAAAAGATATTTCCAAGCCAGCTACATCAAGTGAGGATGAATATCAAGTAGAGTATGCATCGGAAGAAGCAAGATTAGAAGTTGAAAGAGTTAAAAAACGATTAAAATCAAATCAAAGCAAATTTACGGGGCCACGACTTAAATTAGAAAATAATTCTAAAAACAACCAATTATATAAATCTCATAATGAATCTAAGTCTTCATCAGTTCATGGTTTTTCAGAAAATGATGAGGTAACTTTTTATGACTATTTAAAAGAAAGAAAAATATTCCTATAGTAATTATTCATTTCCTCAAGGATATGGCCTTTTTATCTGAAAGTGATGTATCTTCAATATATATTTATCCAGAAATTGATAAGCATAGTTCAAAAAGCATTAAAAACGAGACAAAACCAAAATTAAAAAGAAAAAGATCACAAACAAACAATGTCACAATATCAAAAGTACCAAAAAAAGTTGCATTCAGAGATGATGATTATGAAGACAATGTGCTCAAAATCGAGTCAGTAAAATCAATTGCTAATATTACTCCAAAAATTATGGATCAACCTAAAAATATCATTCAAATTGACATCATTGATGATAATTCTGAAATGCCCAAAAATAATGATATTTCTAAGAAAAATTCGACTTGTTTGGCCAGCATGGGATTATCGCCAATGGAAGATATAAAAACTATTAATGAATTACGAATGAAAAATTTAATTAAACAAATTATACTTGATATACCAGATATATGCCCTATTTGCTCGCAGCAATTTGAGTCTTATTTGGAAGTTCTGAAACACAAAATTGAATGTCACATTGATAATGAGGAAAATGATATACAATGTCCAGTGTGTAATGAAAAATTCTACTCAAGTAGTTCTTTAGTCGATCACTTGAATGAACATGTTGACATAAAATTATTTGTTTGTGCTCTCTGCTCAAAACATTTGCATACGGAAGGAAAAATGAGGTATTTACTTTATATATATAAAAAATTAAAAATTATATGAAAATGTAATTTTATTATATTTGATTGTTTAGGAGCCATTTAGAATCTCACGTAGATATGAATATTTTGCAATGTCTTGTATGTAATAAGAAACTTGGACGAATTCAACAGCTTTTTAACCACCTTGACACACACTTGCATAAATTGTCTATGGCATGTACAATATGCAATCGAAGTTTTGATAATAAAGTACAACTACAAGTACATATTAATGTTGAACATAGAAAATTGAAAGAAAAAATGTATAAATGTAAAACCTGTGGTGAACAAGTTGCAGAAGATAAAAAAGTCCAGCACTTTAAGAGTCACTCGAATTATGCATGTTCGCAGTGTGAAAAAACATTTGATTCAAGAAAAATGCTGAGGTTAGTATTGAACTAAATTTTGATAAATTTGAATAATTTATTACTTTATTATTTTTCTCGTTTGAGCCAGAGTAATATCAATTAACTGATAAATATTATGCCTAATTGCAGGAACCATAGCTATACACATCACAATGATATCAAATTTTCTTGTGATATTTGTAATCAATCTTTTTGTTCCTTGCCGGAACGTACACAGCATATGAAAACTCATAACAATGGATGTGAGACTATAACAGTATCAGACTCAGCAAATACATCTTCAGACACGAAAAAATTTCGGTGTAGAGTTTGTTTTGATATTCTTGTTTCTCGAGCTGCATATGGTAAGCATCTTAAAGAAAAACATTGGAATTCAAAACAAACCGCTGAAATTTTAAAGGAACTTACAGATTCATGAGTGATTAGTCATTAGATATAAATTCTGCTTCTTACAATTGAAAATGTGAAGATACTTAATAGTCCTAGGGTACGTTTAAATAGCCTTGGCTTCGCTACGACCGATAAAAACGTGCTCTGGGGCTTTTTTTTCGCGACTTAAACTGGCATATGATTTTTCATACCCAGACTTGAAAAAATAATTGAAGCTGTTGAAAATTATTTTTACCAGCCTTGAGCTTAAAAATTGATTTGTATTTATATTAAATGCAACATCAGTTTAATATTCTACACTTTATATTTATACTTTACCTCTTACAGAGGGTAATTCCTAAATATATTGGCTGGCAGTGATACTTTATGTCTATACGGATACAGATTTAATCTTTATTAGATAAAAAACATAATTTAATTTAATAAAAATTAACACCCTAACTCAATTAGATTGCGAGGTTAAAACAAAAAAACTCACTTCTTATAGTGTGCGAGAAGTGTTACTTTCTGCGCGTCAATCCGTGCGGAAAAAATTGTAAAATTAATTTCCCGTACGCTGTGATAAAAATACATTACTTACCTGGGGCGGTTGTCCATCTTGTGCGAGTGTCAGTATACATTTCAATCGCAGCATGGGTTGCAAAGACACAAGTTACCGTCTTAATTACGTAATGTACTATAAATTCAGATCATACGAAAAAATTTTAAATATTACAAATTGTATATAAATACACAAATTTTATTGTGAAGTTATTATTTATATTAAATTACGAGCGTAAATATTTTCACTATTAGTAACTTTTTACTAAAATTGAAAGCTAAAATATGTTCTGTAACGTAATGCAGATTAATACATCACGTCATGAAATATATCTAATTAGTTAAACGAGTATTACAGCAGCTCTCATAATGTGTAAATTTATTATATTTTGTAGAGTTTAATTTTTCTAAATGCAATCAATGTGTACGTAAAATAATAATTTAAAATTTTTCTCAAAGATATATGTACTTTTTTCTTGTATTCACGTGTAAGATATTATTATTTCAAGTATCATTCCTGATAAAGAAATTAAGAAAAAATTGTACATACTAATTTGTAGGTAATGTATTATAAATGATTGAATTATAACCTTCAGTTAGTGATTTATCTCTTTTACCAAATATGATAATAATCGAAAATATTTATATTCATTACTTAAAATGGAAAATTGATCAGACGTAGTACTCGAGAAAAATCGGTATGGTTTTTGATAATACATATCTAGTTGAATGATTAGAACTCTTGAATATAATTGTAAACTAGTTTTTAATTCATTGCTAATCAACCGATTACGCATTTGTCTCAAATTGTGTAAAATAAAAAAGTTAACTGTGCCTTAAAATCTACTTATTTATATGGCACATATTTATTGTAAATAATTAAATCACATATAAAATTTTTTTGACCTTGAAATGTTTTGGTCCATCGTGTATTTTAGCTTCTAGATGTACATCCGTTATTAAACATTTTTTGTTTGTAACAAAATAAATTATAAAATGTTAATAATTTCAATGAAATAGTGTCTGAAATTTATTCGTATCGAAAAAAACTAATATAATTTTATCTATTGAACAAAAAGAAAACAGAATAGTTTCGAGAAAAAGCTTGATCATACAATTTCCTAAGGCGAAATTCGCCCAAAAAAAAATTTTTTCCCGTAATTGTTACTGAATACATAAAAAAAGACGTGAGCTATACAGCATCAAAACGAAGGTCATATAACTTTTTAAAAAAATATTTGGAAGAATTTTCAGAAAACAAGTTTGAAAATTTTATTTTGGCTGTTCTGGGCATCTTCTAAAATACGATGAAAAGTAGAATTTATTTGAACTTCTCACCTTTATTTTTGAGTTAGTCATTGGAGGTTTACTCGGCAGGAAAACTATCTGGGAATACAAAATAGATCTCACTTTATCATTATAATGAATCGAATTTGAAAATTAAATTTTTTGAGTCACTTAAACTTGAAGTAACATTTTGCTACTGCCAAGAAAGATCAAAATATTATTTTAGTCTGGGGGAAAATTCACTAAAACTGTATTTTGCACCTATATAGCAAAAAATGAAAGTCTCAGAGTACGTGAAACTTATCAGCTAAGACGAAGCCGAGGTGCAAAATATACTATTTATTGACAAAGATAGTGAAAATGAAAAGTTGAATGCGTGCTCGAAATGAAAAGGTAAAAATGGCAAAACTCATCGACAGATTCGTCGGCTTTGTATATTGAACGCGCTGCAATCGCCGAATTCAAGAAAATGTTTTCGAACTAAATAGGCTTTTAAGCAGCTAGCATCCAATCGATCGCGAGCTCTTTTCATCCCAAAGCTCGTCGTTTTAATTAAAAGCCCGAAAATCCATTGTTCGCTTTTCATTTTATACGGGACAAACTGTCGTCGGGCGCGTAAGCGTAACAATGTTGCACGTATACAGGTACAGAGATATGTATATATGTATAATCCAACGCCTAGCGTTCAAATAATGGAAAAGCAAATTGTATAGCTGTGGCATTTGTCGCTGGGAGAAGTCTTAACAGAAGGAAAAAAGAAAGGGCGAAAAATTCTCCGACTCGGCGCCGTAAGAAAGCGCCTCGACGCTGCCGACGTTGGTCTTGGGGTCTTGTATATTGGAGAATTTTCTATTTTGTCGCTACAACAATTGCAGCCGATCAGAAAATCTTCAAGGAGATGAAATTTTATATAAATGTCTGTGCAGCGGCCGCCGCAATATTTTCGCTGCTGCTGCAGCTCGGTGCAGGCTGTGCACGGGCACGCGCGAGTGCGGGAAATCCTCCGGAGAGATTTGCGGTTTTCTTCGCCCGAGCGACGCGCGTATATATAACTGTACTGTAGGGTACCTTCGACACGCCCAGCGATTGCGATAGGTCCTAAATTTCTTCTCGTGTAATATATATATAAATGTATAGTCGAGCGCAGTGCAGCACATCATTGAAAATGTAATAATATCCTACATGGGTACATCGCGCACGAATCGACCGCAGTAAGTGAATCGATAATCAATCATCTTTCTCCAACCCCTACTGCTACTTTCAATCATTTTCCACGGCTTCGGAGTGTGTATGCGAGTGTTCGCGATTGTCAAAAAAAGAAAAAGAAACAGAAAATGAAGTAAGCTGCCTTCCTTGTTGGTGAAGTAAAAAATCATTGTTTCGACCAAGTGCGAATGGTCCTGCTAGTAAGGAATTAAGTTAACCGGTTAAAGTCCCTGGAGCAAAGGTTTTACTTCGAAGACAAAATTGCAGAATTCGAGGGCGGTGTTATTCATGTTCGCGTTTTCCAGCGATTGTGGTTTTCTCTCTGGGCTCGCGTCACCGAATATGAAGTCGTTACCTGAATGTACACCGACGCATCCCAGAATACCTAGCTATTGTCCTGCTTCATTGTAAAGGTATTTTACGCGCATAAGAGGAGCTTGCGAGTACGGGAGAGAAGTAAAATTGAGACTTCACGAGTACGAAACTCGAATTGTCTTTTCGATAGACTTTGCAGCTGCATAGCTGGGCCGATATTAACGCGAGTTTTCGACCCTCGCTACATATTACTCGCTTTTCAGGCATTGCGGCAATAAAGTGTACACGCGCAGCAAAGCTCCTTATGCGTTTGTTCGGCAGCGCGGCTACCGAATAATGTGGTTGCGGCACGTCCTGCGGTGGTACATAATACGTTTTTCTCGCTTTCTGCCTCTGTGCGTCGTGGCTGCTGTGCGACTGTCATCCTTATACTCTCGGCGCGCCTTGGTATATATTGTACGGACGCAGTCGCGAAGCAAAGCGTTTCAGATGGATTGTGCGGCTTATCAAGAACTCGTGTTTCGTCGACTTCGAAAGAGAGAGAGCGAGAGAGAGGCACGGCAGCGAAAGAAGGAGAACATCGATCCACCGAGTAAATCTCGTGGATTACTCCGATAAGAAGAATTAATGCTACTTAGAAGGCACTTTGCTCTGCGGTATATCGTACACTACAGCTCGCAAGCACAACTGCTTTACTGCACCCCCGCAGCATCAGCCAACTTGAAGCTCTTATACGTGTGTCTCGCAGATCTCCTTTCTCTCTCTCTCTCTCTCTCTCTCTTTTACTCTCTTCTAACTTGCAACCCCAACAGCCGCATTTAAAGCTGCTCGGCCTAAATATTTCACGACGACGCTCTTCGTTGCATTACGCTCGACTTGCGTGTGAAAACTGACGCGCGCGAGGACACTGCTCGCAATTTTTATAACGACGGTTTACATTACGCGTCGCATCGATAACGCTTCGCGTGCGGCAAAAAAGCAGCTGAATGAAAAAAATGTTGTCTCTGGGCGGGTCAGTGTTATAAATGAGCGTATCATTACACCAGTATGAAGGAGAATAATGAAAAAGGTCGAGCTTGCCGAGGCCAAAATGCTTGATTATTAGTTTTTGAGCTCGCGACTGTCCCTATGTATGTACGAACGAGCACAAACACACATTCGAAAGAGGGAGAGAGCCGGCTCGACTGCAAACTCATCGTATCACTCGTGGCTATTATTCATCCGGTCCGTATATGGTCTCTTCTTTTTCAACCGCGCGAGTAGCCTCATAAATCTGCTGTGCAGGTAAGCAGAGAGGGAGAGAGAGAGAGTAGGGGATACAGAGAGCTTGCGTGAAGGACGTTGGCTAAGTATCCGTAAAGAAAAAGAAAAGCTCGCGTTCATTTCTGTCCAGTGCGCAGCGAGCTGCACTTGTTTGAGATATTTTTCATATTACGAAAGGATTTCTCGAAGAGAGATAATTTTTTCGTCATATATATAATATATATAATTCTTAATTGCTCGAACTTGTTAGAGTCAGTCGAAAAAGTATCAAAATTTAAGAACGGAAGCGACGCCGACACATTCCGTAGCGTAGCACCTGCACTGGCTGGTTTATATATATCTATAGATATCTCGGAGAGATGAAATGAGCGGCGCGTGACTACTGTGTAATAGAGCTTGAAGCCAAGGCGCCTGGGCATTCGGAAAAATGCCCTTTTATATGGGATAAAGCTCGAAAGCACAATCGGCTCTCTCTCTTTCTCGTAATAAGGGACAATTAAGAAGAGAGAGAGAGAGAGAGAGAGGAAGGGAGAAAACGGGCCCTCGTTATACGTGGAAGTTTAATTAAAAGTTGGTCGCTGCTCGCGCCCAGGCAACACTACACGCGTTACCTTATATAGCTGCTCCTGAGCGCGCAAGAGGTTAGCCTCTTTTCCTTTTTCCTTCGTGATGGTCGATTAGCGTGCGATTTTTCTCTCTCTCTCTCTCTCTCTCTCCCTTTTCTTGCCGCTCGCTCGTCAAGAAGTTTAATCTGTGTAAGAATGGCAGAGCTGCTCTTCTCTATCCGTCTATAAGAGAGCAGTCCTAGCTGCGTACATAGCCGAGGAAAAATGTATTAAAAAGGGAGCGACGACGACGATGATGAGGCCGATGGTATGCATTGTGCGACGGAGTGATTGGCTGATTTTTACACCCCGAAAAGCTCACGCGCGTACGTACACGGCTATATATACGGATCCGAGCCAAAGCAATTGTGGAATGTTTAATTGACTTTGAGCTGATTTTGCTGGGAGCTGCCGAAAGGGAGGGAGGGCTGAGAGCAAAGTTTACGATGTGATGCACCTCGCGTATATATAATATATACGACGCGCGAGAAAGGAATCGTTTTAAAAGTCCGAAAAAGAAAGGGAGCGGGAGTTGGTTTCTCGCGTAGAAGTAGAACAATTCAAGAGGAAATTTATGCTGTCGATGAGAAGAGATTTTCCGCGAGAGAATTTTTCAGGTAATCGCTCGAGTATACACTTTTCCAAATGCAATTTTGATTGTTCTATTGTTCAGTTATTTTTGATAAAGTTATTTTGTAACTTGTTACAATTGAGTTAAGTCTCCAGTGGCACATTTGAAAAG